GGTAACGTGCCGTTTTGATGAAGATGAATGGTGCGCGGACACACGCGCGCAAGGAGGGATGAGTTCATGGCCAAGACAGAGCCGTCTCCAGCGCCATTTTGGAAAAAGCAACCATCGGACGGAGGGGTTGAGGTAGGTGCTTATCCAAGGCGGTAGTTTTTTGTTTGCCGCTGATCTATCCAGTCCTATCCTATACCCCAGAAACGCACATGGCATCCGTGCCATGAATCCCTGAGATTCTGCAGGTAGCGCTCTTGGCCCCAAGACGGTGGATGCGGTAGAATGATGTACCGTTTCTGGAATACTGCGACAGCCCCAACTGTGTTTGAACAGAGTTGACAACCCATGCGCGGAGGGAGGGAGGGAGGGGGAAACGGACGTCGTCCTAGCTTCCTTCCCGCGCATCCAGCCCGACAAGGCTAGGTACGCAGCCGAGCCCGGTCGGGGTTGCCCTTGACTGATAGGATGACGGGTAAGGTCGCTGATCCATCGTTCTGGGGGGGGGGGGGGGGAGGGGATCATGCCATGGAACCCCGGCGACACCACAAGCAGAAGAAGTCCGTTGATGCGGTAGCACAAGACGAAGGGCGCCAGAAGCCGTCGTCGTTCATCGACACTCGAGCGACGATGCCTCGTGCTCCGCGAGCTCCAGACCTCTCCCGGGGAGAGGGGACGCACAATCGAGTTTCGACATGAAGATCTTGCGTCTGCGCGAAACAGGGGGTCGGGTGAATGGGCGCCTTTGACGGAGGGGACCGACCCGACTCGTCGAAATGGCGTTGAATATATACGTTGAGTTCAGGCTCTCTTTCGTGCAGTAGATTGGCCTGAGAAAATGGTATGGTTTATGAACATCGATACCCATAGCTGCAACCGAGCGCGACTTTTGGCAGGTAATTGAGTATGACTGGCTGCGTACTAGGCAGACGTGGCGTTGACTTCACGAGGGTCGTCGATTTTCAGAGCTGGGTATGGCCTGCAAGGATGCTGGGGCGCAACCAGAAGAGCACATAGGGAAGTTATCCGTATGGTTCGGCATATACTAGTCTATGTAAACTAGCATGCGCACTGCGCCAACCTACGAATGGATGCAATGGGACGTCGGGAAAAGGGACAAGGAGGGTTCGCGCTCTCGCCGGCCGTGCAGCGCAGCGCGGCGAGGGACTCGAAGGGATTCGGTCGTGGAGGTTCACAAAGTTCGTCTAGGTGTGCGTCCTTTTACCGGTAAATGATTCCACGGAATGGCTGTCAACCGGTACAGCTCCTGTCGAGTGAGAGCCGGTCGCGCCGAGGTGGAGGTTGATGAGCCGGACGGCATCGTCGCATTCCCGCTCCCGGGGTGTCTCGTGCCCGGTCGGCCGAGACCGGAAGTTAAGGGACAGGACACAGGACGGAGTACGCGGTACACTGTTAATTAGGGAGTTGGTAGACCGGGCTGGCCGCCGTTGATGGCGTGGGCGGGTGGAATGCGCGCTGGGGAATGGCGTTGCAGAAGAAAGAAGACGTTGGCGGTGGTAATGGTGGCTTAAAATGGTGGTTCAACATGGTGGCTGTCAAGGGAACATACATGCCTGTCTGACGAGGTTATGCCGAATCCAATGGCACGGATAGACCCTGTCATTGCCTGCGGTGATTGGAGGGGCGGGCTGGCCTGGCCTGGCCTTCAGAACGGTTACGGCCTCCTGTGGGTCTTGGATGGTGGTACTGCGACCTCGCCGCGTCGCAATCCGAACACCCGCTCGCACCGCTAGTGGCTCCCGCTTGCTTCCTGCAATACCAATACGTCTACTTGTAGATAGGCTTGGTAGTGCATTCTATGCATCGTTTGCGGTGTCGCCGTGGCTCGGTCGAACATGCCATTACATACATGGCAGCTAATGCCATCCATGAATCAATCAGTCAGTCGGTCAGTCAGTCAATCAATCCACCCTTCAGTCGACCGCTCATGACGTCCAAACGAGGCCGTTTCCAACGTCAAGGGAAGCACGAGGTTGAAACAACGTTTCGCTCGCTCGCACTCCCCTGGCTCGGTGCTGCATGCATTGCAGCACACGACTGTGTAAAGTACAAGGTGCCACCGCTATGGTACCTGGTGTACGCGTATGTATGTACCGTGTAGGTATGTAAACCAGGTCAGGTTTAGAATGGGAGAGGGCTCTTGGAGGCCCCGCGAGCGGGTACCTGACCGGGTAGCTTCTCGAGCTCGGGGTAGCTCGAGGGTGAGGGTGAGTGCGAGGGCTCCCTGCCCATACACACCGTACCGTAGTATGTCTGGTCACTTAGTACCACTTAGTAGCTAGCTGTTGGCTGCACGCAGCTTTCTCTCGCAGCTGCTGATTGCGCTCAAGGTTTTCCGTCTCGGTTGTCTTGTGGCCAGGGAACCGGGTCTGCACCGGTGCTGTCATTCTCGTCGTTGACCGCGGTGCCTTTTTAGCTCATTGTCAAGGGAAGCAAGCAGCAGTTCGTCTCTCGACAAGCGAAAAAGTGAGACCGGACCCCTTCGTTCAAGCTTCGCAGGGGGGGTCTGGTCTGACTGCCAGCCCAGCTTTCTTTCTCGGGGGCGGCCGTCATTGAGCTTGGAGAAGACACAGCCCAGCCATCCATTGGCTAGCCCAGCCCAGCCCAGCCCAGTCTGTCTTCCTGGAAAGTGAGCATGACTGCTGCGGGTGGGGCGTTCAAGGGGCGTCGGTCGTCCAGCATGGGCTATCCGTTTAGACGGTGAGGAGGGCTGGGCCGCTCGAACCCCCCCCTGGCTGTCCGTTCTAATAATCCTGGTACCACCGCTGTGCCAAGACTGGTTTCGAGCCGTGACTGAATCCGAAAGACGGCTGGGGGCGTCGGGATCACTACCGGTAGTCTACCTGGTAGGGGATGGATTCCCTGAACCTGCCGTCAAGGAACTGTCCATGCTCGTGAGCGAACGACTGAAGAATCGCAGGGAGGCGAGGTCTGACGTACCATGTAGTGTAGGATGGGTATACGGCGCCGGTTCGCTCTGTCGCATTGCACCCGACCGTACGTAGGATCCAAATTGCAAAGTAGAACGTCATGACGCACTCTTTCGGGTATTGTTTTTCTTAAGGGGGTGGGTTAGGTTGGGCTGGGTTATTTCCTTTTCGTTGCCCATTGAAGCGATCGACAAGCGGGAGGAAATACGGTGTGGGGGTCTGGTCGCCGGCAAACGTGCTCAGAGATTGGGACACTTGCCGAAGCTCGACAGCTCGGCCCAATCAATACCTACGTGACTAAAATGCGGCATTAGCCAACGTCACACATCTCTCTAGGCAAACAAGTGTACAAGCAGCCCCGTGCTGCGGTTAGTGAAATGCCTACTCTGGAATGTATGGCAACGCTCGCGGTGTGCAGGCAGTACTCGAAGGGATGGATACATACGATTGACCCCTGTGCAAGTAAGCTGGGGCTCATGCAGTAGAGGCCGATGTGGTTGGCATCGTGCATGCCGGCGGCTATGTTGTAATGGTGTCTCGGCGGGGCCCAAGGGTTGATGGCTGTCTCTGAGGAGAAAGGACAAAACAAAACCTGTACCCATCATCCCATGTCGTGTTAAGCGACCGAGAGACGGCAGTGATGGGTCGAACTATTCATGGATTGGCAAAATCTCCGAAAGATATCGAGGCAGGGTTGAGGCATGAGGATGGCAACAAGGTTGAGACCTGGAGATCCGGCTGCACGGCGCAAGTGCTGAAGAACCCAATGGAGGGAGGCATACCTAGGTAGGTATACGCCAGGACAGGGAAGCTCGAGGCACGATGCACGTGCGAGCCCACCGGGAAGAAGAGGACGACAGAGCATCCGCCACCTTTGAATTAGTCAATGTTGACCAGGCGCGGGAGGGCAAGTACATGTACCTACCTATAGGGATGGTTGACAGGGACGATGGGATGCCGTTGTTTTTGAGACATGCCATGTCAGACAGAAATGGAACGAGACGATAATCACCATTCATACCTTGGATATCTAGGTAGGTAAGCAGGCTGGTAGTGATGAATACGGAAAGACGTAGAAGGAAGGCACTTGCTGCTTGCTTGCCGTCCGTGGCGCTGCGCTTTCCTCTGGCGATGGTTGGATGCAATTAAATTGAGGCAGCTGCGAAGAGTCAGAGCCTGCAGGTGTCGCGCATTCCTCAAGAAGAGAAAAAAGTAACGCGATACACTTAAGCCCACCACCGGGCGGAAAACAGACGGCCGCCAATTGCCCGAATGATTCCGTGAGCAAATCTGAACCAGCAACTAACTATTCACGTTCCCCTCCGGTTAAGCTGACATTACATACCCGGCTAGGATGGGGGCATCAGCCACCCCGGCCGCTATCTTCGACGCCGTTACTGCAGTCTGCATACATCACACATACGAGCGCGCATCAGCCGACGGGCATGTATCTGGCTTCCAAGTCCAATTTCACCCTTACCTGATAGATCGTCTAGCTGAGCAAATATCCTCGAATGTCAGATCACGTCGCACGGTACGCGGCTACAGTCAGCAGCTCGGTGTCACTTCGGACGACATTGCCTCTGGTGGAAGACATCTGGACACTAGTGACTGCATACACGGGCTGAGAAAAGCGAGACGGCTAGAAGGCTAAGGTCGCTTGAGAAAGACAGACAAAAAAGCCCACCAATGACGCGTTGAGTCTGGCGAGGACCTAGCTCCGGCTTCTTGGACTGTGACGTCTTCCTTTCCTTTTGGCCTCGCGTCCTCGGTCGCTGATTCCCACTCAGAAGATCTCCTTTCCATCTGCCGAACAACCTCCGCACCGAGTCGAGCCATGCTCCTTGCTTTTCCCTATGTGACGGTGCATCGGTATCAGAGACACGGCATCTCAGGAGCTTCAACCCAAGGACGGCATTGAACTATAGTCATGCTGCCGCGCCTGGCTGGACGCCACAGGACGGGAAGTATTAAAAATAGCCTCCGTGTTGCAAAAAAAAAAAAAAAAAAAAAAAAAAAAAAAGGCCATGGGATGGGCGCAGCACGCAAACTATGGTTTGTTTGGCTTTGGTTGGCCCAATACTTCGGCTTTTGCAAAAGACCAGCGAGCGCGGCGAACAAATGGCCGTCTCGGTCCAACCAACGACGATGGTCAGTAATGGACACCGCAGTACTACGTACGAATCCACGCATACGACGGCATGCGGCACAGAAGGCAAGGAGCTGAGACATGCGCTCAGCACGCATGTCCAAGCCAAAAGACCAAACCAATCCGATTGTGAGTCCTGCCACAACCACAATTGGATGGCTGTCATGCGTGAGGCGAATTATTCCTGCCCGGGGAAAACATGTCTTTGCTACCGGCGCCACAGCCTGTCGTTTCGAGGAGCCCGGCACCGATCACCAGCCACCCGCGAGACGCTCCATCTCCGCGAGAGACAAGCGTCAATACTGTCCCACGACGCCACCTCTACTCTCTGCCTATTCTGCTACGGCAAGAGCGCCCCATTCCGACGGAACCCCGGTCGCCGATGGCAGCGGCACAGCAAACTTGATCAGCCATGACCTCCGCCCTTCTGACCTTGCCTGCTTCCTCGGCTCCATAGCTTTCTCACACAGTTGCACACCGGTGCTAAGGTTTCGTCAATAACATGACCCCCGCGACGCGCCAGGCAGCATTGCGTATATCCAATCTTACCGGCGGTCTGGAGCTTGAGCCGTGGATGATCGGGAGCTACCCGCACGAAGATGCGCGAGGGCGTGTCGTCGCTCCTTACCCGAAACGCAACGTTTCCCGCTTTCCACGACTCGCGAGTCCTTAGCTTCGAGAAGCAGACTTTGGCCGAATCAAGAAGTTGGCCGACATGGACGTCGGACACTAGAGCGCCCGCGGCAACGCGCGGTGCCAGAGACCGTGCGCTCGCATATTACGATGGTTTAAGACAGAAACTTTGAGCCCTCCCCCCAAACAGCAAGCCTCGCCAACGGCGCAGCGGCCCTCCCGTATTTACCACAAGCCGATGCCGATCCCCTTGTGCTTTCACGTTGCGAAGGGTTGCAACAGAGCCGTCTCCACGCGTCGGGTATCATCTGTCTCAACGTCAACGACTCTACATAACAAAGCGTGTTCGGCCAGCCTCGAATGTAGGGAGTACACCACGCTCCCAGTGAGCTCAAGGCGGCATTTCTTCCTCATCCGAATGGACAAAATGGCGTTTTCCGTCGCCGATGCGGCGGCGCTAAGCCATCGCTTAGCAGCAAGCTTTCAACTCTTTTCGAGTGGACCATTGTTTGCGACTCATGCTGCGTAGTGCCAAAGTATCAAAGTATCGATTGCGAAGGCTAATTACAATGAGCCCCTCCCAAACTGCAGGACGCTACCTTAGCTAGCCCCGCTATCTACTGTCACTCTTCGAACCGGCTTGCGAGCCGCTGGACTGGCGGGATGGAGACACACAGCCAACGAGCGGGCGGACCAAGGAAGAAGAAACACGGCTGAAGTAGGTAATTAACTCGTAATCAACGAGCAGTGGCGGCAGTAGTTGCTCATTCAGTTCCTCAATCCGGGGCCATTCTTCAAAACGCTGCCGTTCGAGGAGTCTCTGCGGGAAGACGCCGACACAGCTGTGAGGTGAGTAGCAAGAAGTATACGCCGCTTACTCTGGCATAGCATCCGGGCAGTGACAAGGCCGCCTAGCTAGCCGGTCAACATTCCCCAGTCTGGCAAGCCACAAAAGGTGCCTCGGTCTAGGGCCTCCTCCAGGACCATGGGAGAGGCTTGAGCTGAAGGCCAGTACGGTACATGGGAGCGTGCTCGCCCTGGTCCTCGTCGTTAACCCCTCCCCTTGTCCCGGGCTATGGCTGGCCTTTATGGCAGACCCCAAAAAGGTTGAGTGACTTCTACGCTACTGCGAAAAGGCGGGCTGCAGGGAATCCGAGCAGCACACCCTTTTGCAATCCCCTTGCCCTTGCCCTTGCCCTTGCCCCCTTCTTGTGCAGGCGTTCCCTCTTATTGAGCCCTGGACGGCTTGGGGTCGCTGGTGGCCTTCCAGATCGCAGGTGGTGTATCCGTACTAGTTTATTATACTCACACATTCGACGGATCACCCCCCCTGGCATTCCATTCACCTTCACGAAGTACACTACTGGCCTAGACCAGTCCCAACTCGACGGTGCCGATATCCTTGCCTCCCGCATCGCATCGTACCGCTCGCGAACCGTCAACCGTTACAAGTGTAGGTAAGGAGAACCAGCTCGGTGGTACGAAGTGCAGGTGTTCAGATGCCGGCACTGGGCAGGCAGTAACCAGGCCAGAACATGTGCCCGAGAGGAATCCGTCGGAGCGACCATGTCCAGATTTGTGAGTAAGGACGGCGCGCGCACCCAAGCTCTCCATTCTACAAATGATGACATATTCACGACCGGAAGGATTCTATATTTTAAGACCCCCCTCCCTCCCCCTCTGATGTCTGATACCTCGCCAATCATGAGATCACCACCAACCAACGTGCCAGGCAGCCAACCACCTTGCGCATGATACGCGCGTGACAACCAGTTAGGACCGAAGGATGTACAGATACTGCTGACAGGCTGCAGCAGCACATGCTCCCGCAGCACTGTTGTGGCCGCGGCCGACTGTCAATTGTGAACTGAAATGCAATGGACGGATGGATGGATACGCACGCGCACGTACCCGTACACGCGCACTGGCTGTGCCTTGCCTTAGTGACTGTGTGTGCCTGGCGCGGGGGTCAGGATTAGTACAGACCAGAAGGGGCAAGCAAGCAAGCAAGCAAGCAAGCGTGGTGACCACGATCCGCCAGCATCATCTGCTGACAGAGCCAGTTCGAGCAAGGTACGAGTTGAGTCGCCCAATAGGGAAATCGATGCGCTGCTGCCTCGGGCCAATCCTCGGGTTCTTCTCCCGTGTGTTCTCTAATCCAAACGATGTTGAGATGAGTACCTATACGTATTTCTATCAATGGCCAGAGTAGGTACCTATCTGATGGGTCAGGCCAAAGTTATGACGCAAACTAAGAATAGGTGCGCTTTCATGCCAAATGCATGGTCGCATTTACCCGTCTCGACTGGCACTTTTCGCGATTCAGTACAGAGTACGGATACAGCTTCTCAAGACATTATGTGCGGTCAGTATCCAGAACATCTGACGCAGCGTCTTTGCAACGGCATGATGTTGAGATTCCTGGTACAGCACTGCCTGCCTGGCTGTCTCGCCGCGCTGTCGTCGCCGTCGTTGTCGCCGCTGCATACCGTGTGCCCCAGTCGACCAAGCGCATGTCCCACGTGCCGTGCCGTGGGTTTGTTCCAGTAGGCCAGTGACAAATGACAGTTGCATCGCGACATCCATGAATGCGTTCCCAATCCTAGCGGATCATCCACGATCTTTTTTTTTTTTTTTTTTTTTTTTTTTAAAAAGCACCTGGCCTGGCTTGGCCGGTTGTCCCCTTCTTGCCTCCTTCCTTGCCGTGTCTTGTCTTGCCTTCCTTGCCTTGCCGCGCCTCTGCTTCCGCTTCCCGTCCCTGGTCTTCCGGTCGGCCCCCGCTCCCTACCCTGCACGAGGACCTTGCTTGCTTGCTTGCTTGCTTGCTTGCTTGCTTCCTTCATCCAACGCCATCTCATCGTTCAACTTCAAATCCGACATCAACGGCACGATCAAAGCTAGCCGTCGCGTCCCCGTGTCCTGCGGGTTGGTAAGAGCTTCCATCCCCCTACCACCCGTAGACTTGCGAAACTAACTTCAGGCGAAATTCCGCGGATCAGTTCCTCTCCCCTGGCGGTTGGCGAGGCGATCCTCAAACACGACGACACCACCCACAAGTCACGGCACAAACTTTGTTCGCCTCAGTCGGCGATTGCCAGACTCGTCTGACTTGAATCTCGTCACATATCCGCGCCTCCATGCCACGACTGCACCATAGACGCCCACGCCTACGCCCACGCCCACGCGCGCACATACATAGTAGGTAGATACGAGCAATGCATCCCTGGCCCAACTCAGCCTTCTTCCCTTCCCCCCAGTTTTTCTTTTGAGACGACTCGAGACGAAACGAAAAGAAAAGCGAGCCGACGTGCCAGCTCCCTCTGCTGAAACACATGTTGTTCGTCTCCGGGCCACACCTCTAGGAGACGCCGACTCCTATTTCCAACTCCGATACTTCTCAATGTGAGTTGGTTGCACTGTTTCTCTCCTAGGTTACAACTTCAGATGGCGCCATCATGCACTCCCCTCCTCCAGCCCACTCGTCATTCCCCCACTCACCATGGGCCAACCAACCACTCTTCAAAAACTACCCGATTGCCTGACCTGAGTCAACCCGCACTGCCGCCAAAGCCAGAGCCAAACCCCTGTGACGGTCTGCTTCTCTAACCGCCCGCCGTTGACGTCGCGCATGGTGCGCTGGCAGATCGATTTGGGCGCATACTAGAGATTTTTGAAGCCGCAGGAGCCCAACATGACCTTTTGGTCACTTCACCAGACCCGCCGTCCTTTTAGCTCTCGCGTCTTTTCTTTACGTGGGGCCCTTGTTTCCGCACAGGTACCGTCCGAGTATGGCGGATATGACCAAGACAGTTGATGCTCTCGCAATTGCTTGGTGGTCAATACGATGCTAATTATGACCCTTGTGCAACAGCGCGCGGAGAGACCTAACCAGAGCCTCCCACGATTATCCCTGCGCACGCTGTGTCGCCCATCCGAGATCCTACAGCATCCATCTCGTCCCATCCAATCTGCCGGTCACATTCTCGAACATTGGCTTCTCGGCTTCTGTGTGACTCCAGCCAGGGAGGCCCTTGGGCTACTGCAATGGCGCGGTGATTGCTTTGCAGGAACACGCACACGCCGCTGTGCTACGGCGACCTGAGAATCCAGCAGTCCGGGCCGTCTTGCACGTACTATGTACACCAACAACTCCATACAGAAAATGCCACAGATGGCAGACAGCTGCACTGGTGTGAAAACATGCTGCCCTCCCACAGTGCACACAGAGCACGTACCACATCCAATGAATGATGAATAGGGAATCCTTGCTACGATTCTCGCACCAACTTGCCGCGGCTCAATCGGGGGACCTGCTGCTGCTGCTGCTGCTGCTGCTGCTGCACCTGACATCCTTGTCAGTCCTTGATGAGTAACCCAAGCCACACCTTTGCTCGCCGTCGTTGTCTTCTCGTTGTCATTATCGGCTCAAGAGGGGGGGAGGGGCGAACTGCCCGCGATACCGCTGTCTTTTAGTGCAACCGCGTACTGGGCCAGATCGAACTCGTCGCATCCCGAAGCAGTGATGGTGAGCAAGTACGCTACAACGACTGAGGCTCGAAAAACCAAACCGATGACGTCTGAGCACCCTCGTGGTTCTTTGAGGTTTCCTCGAGGTAGCCACCACCCGCGCCCCCCCCGTTGCGCCCATTTACTCTAGGGTCCGACGTTTGGGTGACTAGGGTATTTCTGGGTGCGAGCAAGGGCTGTCGATTTGCTAACGGCGACCGGTATCGACAAGACAGGCAACGCTCCACCAGACTACCTCAAGCGTCCGTACTATAGTACATACAATAGGACCCAGGCTAACCATCCCAATCCTCACCAGCCGCAGAAGGGGGGGAGGGGCGTTCAAGCTCCTGGATCTGGCCCGGCAGCAACAAACGGTGAAGCTACCTTAGACTGCCACTTGCATCGCCATCTCGAGCTGTCGACGAAGCTTATATTCACAGAGAGCCAGCCACACCTTCTTTCACTGAATACCTGTTACTTTCTTCGTCCTGGACTGCTCGTCTGGCCTGGCCTGGGCTGCTGGGCTAGAGGGCTAGCTAGCTGGGTAGGGCGTTGTACCCCTGTGCTGTTGATGGGCCCTTTCCCATACGTACGGTCTTCGTTGGTACTCGTTACGACGACGTATCTCCAGCCTCTTGGAGCGGTGAAGATGAGTGTTAGTCTAGACTCTGCACATCACGCCAATATTATTCTTCAACATTATCTATTCCCGCCTCTGTCGTCGCACCGGGGAGCCGTTCCGTTCACGCCTCTCTTGTCGCAAGCTAACCCTACGCTTATCCACTCACAATCATTTAGCCGGGATTCTATCGCCCACATTTCTCTTGGAGGGTCACTGCATCGTCCAATGGACGTCCTCTGGGAGCAGCTCATGACACCCCAGCTTCTCCTTAATCAATGTACCGAGTGGTTAACTCAAGGGACTTCGGCCTTCTTGGGCATTGGCGTTATCGCTCATCCTCTTTTTTTCACCCATTTTATTTTATTTTATTGTGTTTGCCTCTTCCTCTTCGGGCCTGTTGCCAATCACTTGAGTCTCCCTTGCTCTGCCTAAATATCCGGCGTTGTCTCCTACACGCCTCCCGCCACTTGACTCTGCTTTCCCTTGCCTCGCCTTACCACACCCATACACACACACACACACACACACACACACACACACACGCGCGCGCGCGCGCACACACACGTACACATACACGTCTCAGTCACATCAACAAGTCGCTCCGGCGCTGGGTTAGCTTCCTCACCACCCCCTTTTCGACGTAAACCTTCAGGGTCTGGCATTGCATCATCATCCAGCTTTGCTTGTGCTACTCTAGTACAACAATCCCCTAACCAGCCTCAAGTATGCTCTCCCATGGACCTTTGGTCAAGCCTCCGCCCCAGCCGCTCTCGTCAGCCCTTGCGGGAGGGAGAGAGAGAGGTGTTGCCAGCACCCGTGGCCCTTGCAAGGCCGGCCTGCATAAGCTAATTCGGAACACAGACAGAACCACGCACAAGTCAGGCCCCCTAGCAGCGGGACACAGAAAGGCCTGCAGCCACATCCCAGACCGAACCGCACGGCCCCGGCGAACAACGTTCGTCCAGCTCCCTGGTCCATCCCCGGAAAATTGGTAGACCGTCACACACTACCCAAACCGGCTCGACCAGCATCTAGGTACTGCTCCAACCGAGCAAGGAGCTAACTACACCACCCAAGTTTCTGTCCCTGCTACTGTTAGCCACCTTGGTTCAGAAAAGCCAGAAGATTCATCGACTTGTTCCTTGACTCTTCCTCGTCATCTCCTACACTTGATCCAGGTCGGCACACCCAAGCCCGCAAGCCTCATATTCCGTGCATCACCGGGCTACCCTCCCCTGCACAAGTGTAGGTACTGCATACTGCGAACAAACGCTGCAGAACCAGAACCATACACCCCCCCTTCCCCCTCAGCCAATACCTACTGTACGGTTAGCTACCCAGCCTTTGCCTAAAAACCCCGGACCCGGATACAACAAGGAAAGAACCCATCAACGCGTCTTTGACACCATCCCACGCTCCATTGATCGCAAAGAACGGTACGTGCTTTTCATCTCTAGTTCTCGTCTTCTGTTCCCCCTTCGATGGACGCGCGCGGGCAGGAGTCAAGTCCTGTCCTGATTTCAGTCGTATTTCCGACGGCCGCCGAGATTGCATTTCAATATGCATCATCTGAAGGCGATGCTGTTCGGCGCCTGTCCGCATAGGGCTTCCATTACGCCCAAGCGCGTCCTGTTTCAATTTCGGTAACGTCCCATGTTGCAGTCTGCGCATGAACTCGGCCTGCACGACTCAACGCATTCCCCCTCCTGTGTGCCATGGCCCTCGTCCTCGCTCCTTGTATGATTGTCTTCAAGGGGGTGTGCTATCTTACTGGGGCTCACCGTCGGTACCCGGTCGCGTGTTTTCGCGCGGTCGCATGAACTTGCTCCGATCAAAGTTGAGAAAACAAAACACTTGATGCTGACTTGAGTCGACTTGCAGCTAGCTGGGATATCTTTGTTTCACAACGCCGTCAACATCGGACAGACCTGCCCAACATCACAGGTTCACTCCTACCCACGCCCGCATCCAAGAACGAATTGAGATTTACCGGACGCATCAATAGCGACACCTGACCAGTTTACTTTGCCTCAAGGTGAGTGCGCGTAGCAGGCCTTTCCCAGGCTGCTTCAGTCAGCCAGCGAGCTGGCCTGCCTCCCCCCTTTGGTCCTACGGATCTCAACTTTTTCCTTGCCTACGCGCGTCCATTGAGCCGGATGACTTGAGGGAGAAAACCTTGAACCAAGCGGTGCGGGGGAGGCAGAGGTTGGGCACCAGGACACCTATACCTCGACGGTCTAATATTTGCCAGGCTGGCTGGTATGGGACAACGAACATCCCCGTTGGGATGATTTGGAGTCTGGCCAGAAGCCTGGGCAGGCCTGGCACGGAGAGCCTGGTTCAAGGTTCGCTAGCTACAGATGACAGATGCTAACAAAGGCGCGCAGAAACCACCTCGACATCAACCCATGACTATCAGAGCCATGGCCCAGAATAGGCAGCCCTCAGGGGGCTACAAGCAGGAGCACGACCACGTGAGTTGCCTCTTTTCCTTCTTGACAATCAATTCTCAAACATACCTACCAACTGTTGCCGCCGCCGAAAGGCGGCATATCCATCTACCTATCTTCTATCTACGCTGGCTCGTTCCCACTATTTACCCGTGTTCTTCTTCCCTTGCACATTTTTTTTTTTAATTACTCAAGCTATCGCGGGAGCGCATAAGGGTGTTTGCCTCAGCATGAGAGACTAGCCGGCTCAAGTGCTTGCAGACTTGTCAGTCGGCTATTCGCTTGGGCGGCGAGTCGTGACAGGCGGCAAACACGGGCCTCGACTGAAGCTCTCGAGTGGGAGTCGCAGACGAGGCCAAACAGGGATATAGGGTTTGAGCTACGTGCATGGCTGGCGTCAACAAGACGAGGCCCCGGAGATTCCTGGGATTTCCGTGGCTTCCAGAAGACGGCAACGCTATCGCAAGCTTGACCAGGTCAGGACTCCAAAAAGTCTGGGATTGGGCAGGGTGGCTCCTGTTTCACCAATGACCGGGGCTGTCTCAGCCATCATTGCATGAGTGGGCCCACCCGACCTCGCTGTACCACAACTGCTATTCCCCTTTTGCACATTTTTTTCTTTTCTCTTCTTTTTTTGCCCTCTTCTTTTTTTCGTCCTGTCGAGAGTTTGGGGGGGGGGATTTGGGGAGAGTGAGAGAGTGAGAGGGAATGAGTGGGTGAGGGGACAGAAGCGGTTAGCCGGGGTTGGGCAGGGCATGGTCAGATGCCACCCAACCCGGTTCGAGCCCCGGGAGGCTGGTTAAACCTTGGAGACATTGGGAAAGCTTCCTTCTCTCCTCCCTCCGTCCCAGAGACAAGCTTGCAGTTCTGCCCTAAGTGGTGCAAGAGCCCTGGTTTTGGCCGAGTCTCTGGGGGGATATTTGCTCCTGTTACCCCCTGGCAAGCCACACGATTCGCAAGAAGCTTTATTTCTGGCTGCCACAGGCATGCAGGTCTGGCGCGTTTTGCTCGCCCGCTGTTCACCATTCCCAGTGAGCGGAGACGACACATTAGAGTGATGGCGAGCGCACCGAGCCGAGAGGTGGCTGGTTCGTTGGAAATGAGGTACAAACACGGCGGTGCGAGGCAAAATAACGGCGGCCAACATTTCAACGGCTACCCGAACCTGCTTAGACGCCGCCTAGTGTTGTCTCGAGTACAACGGGTACCAACCTTTCAGCTTTTTAGCCTCAGTGAGGCCCGGGCCCTCTTCGCTGCCGTTCGGGGTTGTTCTCCGCTATCCCTCACGTGGACATGGAAAAATTGATAAGCGAGAGCGAGAAACAAAGATGGTCACAGCCCCCCCCCCCCCCCCCCATTTCTCTCTCCAGCATCACGGCCACGTCACAAAAGGAAAAAGAAAAGAAGACGTGTTCGGCTCAAGCAAGCAGCGAGCTCGTTCTAGTCGATGAGCTCGCTCGCGATGCACGCACGGGATGTAGCGCACACCGTCTGGTCGGCCATACCCTGGCAAAGCAAGATGAAGATGAGGTGACGATTGTAGAGATCTAGAGGCATCGGGGGGGTGGGGTGTGTACCCCCCTTCTTTCGTCGTCCGCCTCTGTCCTGCTCCACGGCACACATAAGTCTTGATGGGGGGCGGCTGCCAGCAGCCTTCTCCAATCGTGGGTGGCTGAGCAGCATTGAGATGGTGGAGGAAGGGCGGCGAGGAGGAGGGGGGTGTTTCCCCAGCCGATGCATCAGCATTCATTCGTTTGCCATGACGATTCGGAATCGGCTGCTGTTGGGTGGGCATTACTCTGCGAGCGTACTTCCTTCCCGCCCTGCTTCCTTTCCCTCTGGCTCTCTCTTTCTCCCCTCTCTCTCCCTCCCTCTCTATCTCTCTCTCTCTCTCTTTCTCCTCTTCTGATTGTGTCTTGGAGGTGGAAACTTGAGATATGATTTCTGGTGGACGATGCTACTATGCACGACGCGAGGCGAAGCGGAAGTCGTTCGTTCGTGTTTCGGCCCGCGCGCCAGCTCTGCGGGAGGGGAAATGGGGCAGATGCTAGGGCCTGTCTGCCGCCGCGCACTTGACTAGTCGTTCGCCGCCCATTGTTCTCGCTTTGGAGGCAACGGCTGGAGAGGGTGACATGGCTGCTCCAGGATGGTCGCAGGCCATGGTGACCCCATCTTCTGTCTCTGCTTCTTCCCTGAGCCGGCTGTTTCTGGGGCGGGAACAGACGGATGTATCGGCAACCTCTGAGCACGCCCATCAGACACCAGTTCGAGCAAGTACTGGGTACAGCGTTTCCGCATAGCCCTCAGCACCGGGTTCCTGGTTGTCCCCCGGGACGTGGGTGATACATGGGTCTTCGGCACGGTCTCAGTGTCCCAAGTGCCAGCACCATCCATCCCCCTCACTCCCAGTGCCAGCAGCAGCAGCAGCAGGCATGACGGAGCAGACCAGGAGCCTCGGAGGAGCATCAAGCGGGCATGGGGGCTTGCAAACGTCAGCGCGGGATTCCTGTCCCAGGTCCCAAGTAGTAAGGGTCTTGTCCAGACTGGCTTCCACAGACTGTTCCTCCAGGCACACACACCACACAAACACACACACACACACACACACTCACATCTTTTTCCCTCTCTCCCGAGTCCTGGCCTCTCCGCCTCGGTTTCCACACCGCCTTGCACCAAACAGATGCAGGATGGGCCAGGGCAAGAGGTGGGGGGCCAAAGCAAGGGAGTCGGGAATCGAAGTGGTAAGCTTCCTCTATTCAAGGGGCCCCCCCCCCCACCCCTTTGATGGCTGGAAATGCACGGCAGTGGGCCGACCAGAGTTGCAGTCGTATTTGCAGTTGCAATCAACTCTCTCATCCAAGTGGATAATGGGAGGCGATTCAGACACGAGAGAAAGAGAGAGAGAGAGAGAGAGAGAGAGAGAGAGCGCACGCACATACAGACACGCACCCATATACACCCCCCCCCCCCCCCCCCCCCTCCTTCCCCCAATACCCAGAAAGAGAGAGTGGCAGAGACAGACAGAGGGTATCCGGCGGCATCCCGGTATTATCCTGGTCCACTGCCTAGCCCCGGACGAGGCATGCCTGATTGGGTAGTGACTCCAGCTCGGCCCTGCAAGTGGGTGTCGCCATTGGTCACTTCATCTACAATGCAGGAAACCCCTGTCACGTTTCTCCCATGCGCTGTCCCACACACCCATGTATACGATACGTACACAAATACAGGCGCACCCCACTCCTCATTTCACCCCATCCTACTCATAATATACACACGCCCCTCCCTCACAGCCTCCCATACCATCCATTCCTTCACCTTCTCTTCATGAAGACGGAGGGTTCTCTGTAAGGAGAGACTCGGTGCCTTCCTAAGGTAAGGCTCGCTAGTCTCACCCCTCCATCTCACTCTCCAGCCCCTCCTTCCCTCTTGTCCCATCTTCACCTCTTCTACACGTACAGACAGACACACAGACGGACAGTTACGTCCTTTCCTCTCCTCGCCTTCCTTGCCCTCGTCCATGCCGCCATGCCATGCCATGCCATGCCATACCCACCCTCCTTCCTGCCAATGCACGCCCTCCCCGGTCGTTATATCCCCTGTCCTTCCTCTTTCTACGCGCCGTCTTCGTGCTTTTGTGCCTCTGCAAGTTGCAGCAAGAAAAAGCATCGAGAAGCTCTTCTCTGTCAGGCTTGCCGTCTGCATCAAACCTGCGTTCGCCAACCGACACGATTTCACTCGGTGCCGCTCTCTATCTCTCTCTCTCTCTCTCTCTTAACGCTCTTCTGGTACGGTAGCCAACTATTTGCTTTCCCTGTCACTTTTCTTGCTTGCACAAGTCGCTGCGGAAACAACAAGACGAAAAAAGAAGAAAAACGAAGAGCAGCGCGCACGCGCACACGCACACGCACACGCACATACACATACATGTATGCTTGTTCATAACCCTAGCTGCATTTTTTTTCCCCATACATTCTCTCTACCTAGTTTTTGTGTCGTACTTTGTTTTGCGCAACCCGCTATCCATATCTCTCTCATCTCGTTGGCTTGTTTGGCGTATTGCGATTACCACTCTGGTATTGATCCCGCACACCTCTTCACATCACTTCATTACACATCACCGTCTCATCAATATACATCACACACCGAACATGGCCTCTGGCTTGGGCGTGTGTACAACTAGCAGATGTCTGTTCGTTACCTTGCCTCCAATTTTTGCCCCACGGCCTCGGTAGCGCGCTTGCAAGGACATTGCCGTTGACTCGGTTGATATCTCGCACTCCCTTATCCACACACACACACACACACACACATACTCTCTGTCTCCGTCTCCTAATTCCTCATTCCCCGTATGTGCCGCACCCTCGCATTGTGGTGGCCCAAGGTATCAAGGTACCGTGCCATTGCACCCGGCCCCCTTCTCTCTTGGATTACCTTGCATTGCGCCTTCTCTGCCCCGAACAAGAAGCGACAGCGGTGTTGTATCAAGCTCCACCGCATTCGCACCCCCCTTCCCCCGGTACCTTCTATCGTCTGCTTTTGACTTGGCTCTGGCTCTTGACATTTTCTCTTGTATTGTCGTGCGAGTTGGCTCTGGTCCTGGGTCTCTCCGCTACTCTTCCGGCTCCATCTCGAGTGAGAAGAGGATACACGCGATCCGGACGCGGCGAGTAAGATGGAGAACAGTTCTCGTCCCAAACCGCCTCCTGTCCCGACCCCGGCCCCGGCTCTCTCGCCTCCCCCCCCCTAGTACTTTGCACTATCTGCTCATCCTGTCCCAAATCATTATTCCCCATCTCCCCATCATTATTACCCACTCCAAATCCGACCTTGCTCCAATGTTCAAATAGCTACCCTGTTCCTCTCTTGTACCCTCACTCGCCCAATCCCCTCTCCTGCCCATATTCCTGCTGCACCCTCGCTCCGATCGCCATCTCTCCTCCATCCTTCATACTCCCTTGTCATCTCATTGCATCTTTTCCCGTCCCTCAAGCTCCTGCTGGTGGTGTGTTCCTGTCGCCTTCTCCAACAACCGTTAGACACCCCCGGCATCGCCCATTTTATCTACTCTCCCCCGACTCTCTGCCTGTACTCTCTACCTTACAAGCCCTCCTCATCGTACTACCTTGTCCCCCCCCTTCCCCAGTCAAGAAATTCGCCAGAGCCAGCTAGGCTGCCTACCTACCGCCTTCTCGAAACTCGACGGGTTCCGCTTCCGAGTCACCCTCGTCGAAGTAGTATCTACCTACCTACCTACCTACCTATCTACCTACCTATCTACATTCCTGCCCAACCTCTGTTCATTTTCCTTAACCGAAGCTTTTGCTTGATTATTCAGGGGTAAAGTAAAGCCAGAGTAATATCCTTCCACTCCTGATTCCTACCCTCACCTCCGATCTGGTCACCGCGCTGTAGTATGCGCCTTGGCCTTGGCCTTGGGTCCGGAGCTGCCTCCTTTCCAAAGCAAAAAATCCCACTTTATACCAGAAAAGGGGTCCCAAACTGGGTCTAGCACGCCTCGCCCGCGCGCAACCCTCGCCGACGAGCCAAGGAGGGGAGCAACAGGGGCAGGAAGGAACCACTTCTCAACATCCGCACCTGCCCTGGTACCTACCTGGACCCCCCCCCCCCTTCCTCCCCCCCGTCCCCTGACAGTGTCAAGGTGCAAAAAATAAAAATACAGACGCGCCGCGCCCTGCCTTGCCTCACTTTGTTTTTTCTCCCTCCTCTTCTGCTTGTTAACACTCAACTTTAATACGTCGAAGCGTCTTTGGATGAGGGACTAATGGGTCTTTTCTCTATGCAGCATCACCCCCACCATCAGCCCCAGGGTCAAGCGCCTACTCAGCAGCAGCAACACCTGCAGCACCAGCAACATCCTCGACCCTCGAGCATCGTCCATCAACAGCATCATCCCCAGGCCCAGTCGCAGCAGCATCCCTCCTACGCCTCTGCCGGACATCCCATCGCGCCCGCCTACCAGCAGCAGAGCCAGGCCACCAGCGCCCAGCACTCCCAAGACGCTCTTCCCTACTACACGCATCCGAGTCCCTACAGCACTCCAGGCGCGACAAGCGGATACGCATCCGCCGGTGAGTCTCTCTGACCCTCAACTAACCCGTCCGAGACGCGTATCCCGCGCGCGCGAACCGCAACGGGACGCGTCTTGGGGATGGCTTCACTCGAGAGAGAGCAAGACGTGGCTAACGACGAACCCACAGATCAATCCGACATGATGGCCGCCGCTCAAATGCCGAGACCACCTTACCCTCCCATGTCCTACCACACGCCGCAGTCGAACTCGCCCGCGTCGGTGGCCTCCCCCTCCCAGCATGATCAGCACCGTAGCATCTACGGCCAGCCGCCGTCCCAGCCTCTCCAGCAGCACATGTACTACCAGACCCAGCAAGCGCACTACCCGTCGATGCAGGCGCAACCTCAGCAGTCGCCGTACGCGCAGCACGCCGCCCAGACGCACCAGTCCATGTCTTCGCAGCCCAACATGATGATGTCTGCGCAGTCTCAGCAGCAACAGCAGCAGCAACAGCAACACATGCCCCAGCACGCGGCGCAACACAACCAAGCCCAGATGACCAACAGCCCGCGCGGTCAGATGAAGACGGAGCCCCAAGTGCCTCTGCAGCTGCAGAAGCCGCAGACGACCCCTATGCAGCACGCTCAGCATCCTCAGAACGGTGCCGCGCTCAACACCCCCACCGGGTCGACTCCAGGGGGCGTTAACCCCAATGCGGCGCCCGGTCCCATCCCGGCCACCACGCCCCTGGTCGTCAGGCAAGACCAGAACGGTGTTCAATGGATCGCGTTCGAGTACTCGCGCGACCGCGTCAAGATGGAGTACACCATCCGTTGCGACGTCGAGTCGGTCAACACGGACGAGCTGTCGGCCGAGTTCAAGACGGAGAACTGCGTTTACCCAAGAGCCTGCTGCCCCAAGGACCAATACCGAGGCAACCGCCAAGTGTACGAGACCGAGTGCAACACGGTCGGTTGGGCTCTCGCCCAGCTGAACCCCCCTCTGCGCGGCAAGCGAGGCCTCATCCAGCGCGCCGTGGACAGCTGGCGCAACAGCAACCAAGATCCCCGGCTCCGAAGCCGAAGAGTTCGCCGCATGGCCAAGATGAACACCAGGAAGTCGGTTCAGGGAGGGCCTCACCCCGGTGGACACATGGGCGGCCCCAGTCCGCCAGGGATGCCTCAAGGTGCAGGTGGCATGGGACCCGCGGGTGCATCATCCAAGATGCCTGGAATGAACATGGGTCATATGTCGCACGCCAACGCTCCGGGTGGAGGGGATGAAGTCGGTATGTTCCACCAGATGTGATCAAGAAAAGCCCCTCAGCATCTGCAGCGTTTGCGAGCCCCGTCGTTGTTTGTTGATTGTCGTTGCATCGCACCGCACATATACACACTGCCCGGCACAACCCCTCCCCAAAGATCGTTGATTATGTGATACCTTTCCCCCCTTTTCATCACCTGCCTGTCAGCCGTGCTCGAGAACGACACGAGCTTCATCATAAACACAAATCCCTTTTTTTTTTATCATCTCTGTGCCTTTATTACATTATTCCTCTGCTAGTTGGTCAGATGTCTCGGGAATGGGTTCGTCGCACTATTGTCTTTTTTTTTTTCTCTCTTGCGCTTCCTGATGTATAGCGCCCGGTTTTCGGCCGCCGCATCAAAGCAACTGCCACGATACAGCAAAGCTCGCCGCGGGTCGAGAGGGATTTCCTTTTCTCTACGGCACAGATCTGTACATTACCATAGTTGCTGCACGCAGTTGCTGCTGTTGCTGTCGTTAGTCACTTGTCCCGAACTTGTCGGGCAACATGCGGTATATCTCTTAGAAGAGATGCCGGCAAAAAGTCGCATTGCTTAGCGTTTTTTGGCATTCAACCCCATCCTTTCGCGTCCCTATCGCCTTGGCTTCTGTTGTCGTCTCGTAAGAGAAGACGACGGGAAGAGAAGAAGACAAAAGAAAACCAAAGCCCCAAAAGCTCATGCCATGGCACTCATGTACCTCCAAAACAAAAAAAATCGGAGCCCCTCCCCGAATACTCCCTTTTGTTATCTTGAGCGTTTCGCGTTGCCGTTGATTCGTATTATCGGGGTTGTCGATCAAACATATTTACCCCTCCCGTACTCCGCTCGTCCGCATACGCCTTTCCGAAATCCGTTTCCATTATCGTTTTAGTACCACTTTGGCTGACTTATTTATATCTGAACAGGAGATGGCGAGTACATGGATGAGCACCATCACCACCACCAAGCCCCCGCAGGCCAGGCTGGCGGCGACGACGTGAGGCAGTCGCAGGTTTTCTCCAGCAGTTACGGCAGTCATGGCGGCTACCCAGCGCCCAGCTCCGGTGCAATGTCCCATATGGGCAGCGGCTCTCACGGCGGTGCCGTCACTGCGCGCCGCCACAGCCGCAGCGACAATGGCGAGCCCGAAGACCTGTTCCCAAACATCCCAGAGGCCAAGAAGCGCAAGTTCATTCTCGTCGAGGACAATGTCCGAGGCTCCCGTCTGCGTGTCAGAGTCACGCTAGACGGCGTCGACACCAAGGAGATTCCCGACTCGTTCCGCAAGGGTGCGTCCGTCTTCCCCCGGTCGTACTTCCCGCGCGAGATGCAGAGCCCGCCGCCGTCAGCCACTGGCTCCAAATTCTTCCAAGAGGATGCAGATGAGGAGGATGACGGCGTCGAGGAGACTGAAGGTCGCGGCTCCCGCAGAGGCGCCGGCAACAGCAAGTCCATGGTCAAGGTTCCCATCGGCGAGAACACCGAGGGCGAGGTTGCCATTCCGCGTATGAGGAAGAGTGTTCGAGGCAAGGAGGTTCGGCTGAACGACCTCGGGTACCGCATGGCGTGGCTGCAGAGCCGTGTCTTTGCGGGACGGACTGTGTTCCTCCAGAGAGCCTGTGAGTGTTCCGTCCCCAGTCGTTGAGTGAAGCGAGACGCTAACAGGCGCAGTGGACTGCTACCGCAACAAAACCCGTTCTGCTATCGAGTCCATCATGCAGGACGTTAAGACACTGGCACCCCACTACGAGACGCGCGTTGGCAAGCGGAAGTGGAACGAGAGAATGAGGAAGGGCGAGGCCGAGGAGTAAGCGGCTCACGCTCGACTCCCGCTCAAGATTGCGAACACTACTATGCCCATCTGTGACGGTTTCTTCTCACTACACACTTGGACGGACCGCATTGTTTTCCACAAACCTCACCATTCAGCATCGTTCAAGCGTGTCGCACTCATCATCAAATCGGTTCGTGCATTTTCCAGTGCTTATTTCGACTTCGTTCCGCGCGCATCGTTCATACCTACGTCTCACGACCACACAGCAACACACACACACACATGCGGGCAACCAAAAAAAAGTCAAAACATTTGTATTTATATGTGCCTAATCAATTTCCGATAAGTCTAGAGAGGAGGCGGGGACAGGGGAAAGCGGAGAACCGATCTTCTCGGACGATGACATGACGACGACTGCTATTTTTCTTCTTCTTTACTCTCTTTTATCCTCTCGACCAATGGTGTGAACCGTCACTCTTTGAGGGACGGGATGGTCCAGACAGGTTCGGACAGATGTGGCTCGGCGGAGGCTACCACTTTTTCGTTCATGCAGCAAACAGCACACGAGCTTTGCTACGACGCCTTGGACCCACGACGAAAAGATATGAGGCGGATTTCTGCTTTTTCCCCTGCTCCAAAAAGAAAAACTTCAAGGCATTCGGTTCTATTTTTCCTCTTTCTCTTCAAGTTGGGCTTTCTCATTTGGTTTGAGGCAATCCAGGTTTTGCTTCCGGTGGAGGGGTGAGGTCTATCGTTTTTTTGTCGATTTCTCGGTACATTCTTCTTCTTTCTCTTTCGTCTCATTCCTTCTCGTTTTCGGTTACTATGCGGGAAGGGGGAGTCGTGTGTTGATTCCCGTCTTTTCCCCCATCGTGGCCCGCGCGCGATATATTCTTGGTTGCCCAAAATTCGATTCTGCGAGGCGTCGAAGAGAGCGTACTTGCTGGCTTGAGATATGCTTCCCCCACCTGGCGGCGGCGCATAAGGAAGCCAAGAATGGAGGACTGACTGACAACGGGGCATGGAATGGGTTCTTCTTTTTGCTATTTTTTACTTTGGGGGGGGGCGGAACGAACGGGGTTTTTATAGATTTGGCAGTTAAAGAATCACTTTTTTTCTCCCGGGAGTGTTCTTCATGTCCAGCGCAGAGACTCCCATGATGAAAAGAGAGAGAAAAAAGCAAAGATTGATGCCATGTGACGTAACGTGTGATTTTTTGATAGCGGGTTAAGATTAATGTCGGGTTCCAAAAGGAGAGCGACTAGAGTTTCGTCGCTGAGGGCTGTCGAAAGCACTCGCAGTAGCATGCATGCATGGTACGGTGGTGCGCGGCAATATTACACATTGTATATATTACCCCGTCCTTTTATTTTATTTTATTTTTTGTATTTCTGTTTCAGCATCCGACGTGTTACCCGCCTACGTCTTGGCCTCGCCCTGTACCAGATGCCTGGGCGGGGCCCTCTCCCCCCTCTGGAAGACGAAGAGGGCCTCGTCCTTGCCGGCGAAGCTGGGCAGCGGGATCTGCAGGACCTTTGTCCACTCGGGCTGCTCGCGCTCCATGTACTCGTCGACGGTCATGTCGCGGAAGGCGGTGTAGCCGTTGCGGTTCTGGGTGCCGACGACGGCGAGGGTGTCGCCGCGGTAGGCGTCGACGAGGCGGCGGGTGAAGCCGCCCTCGGGGCCGCCGGCGACGGCGCCGCCGACGATGGGGTAGACGAGGAGGAGGACGAGGTCGCGGCCGCCGGCGGCGTCGGCGCGCAGGAAGGCGGCGCCGTCGGCGGCGATGGTGTCGGGGACCCAGGTGACGCGCCAGGCGGACTGCATGTTGTCGACGGGGTGGACGGCGGCGAGGCCGTAGGCGCGGAGCATGTGGGACCAGTAGCCGTTGCCGGAGCCGACGTCGGCGACGGCGCGGCCGGCGGCGAGGGTGCGGAGGGCGCAGAGGGCCTCGTGGGTCGGGGCGGCGCAGCCGAAGTGGTGCATGAGGACGGGCAGGACGTGGTGGCTCTGCAGCCTGGCGCCGGGGCGGCCGGTGGCGTCGGTGGGCCCGCACCACTCGAGGTTCCGGCAGGACCAGGCCCAGAAGTCGAGGTAGGGGTTCGGCGGCAGGGCGGCGGCGGCGGCGGGAGACCTGACGCGGGGGACGGCGAGGGCGTCGGCGAGGGCCGGGTGGACGTGGCGGCGGGCGAGGAGGTGGGCGGCGGCGGCGGCGCGGACCGAGCCCTTCTTCGCGTTGGCGAGGAAGGACTTCAGGGCCGCCGGGGTCGAGGTGGTCGGCGAGAAGATCTGGATGTAGGCGTCGATGTCGGCGCGGGGCGGGGGGTCGAGCTGCGGCGGGGTCAGCTGGGGGGGTGGGAGATGGTTGTATGCTTGAGTGATTGTGATGGGTGGTAGGAACAATATGGAGTATGTGACCTGGGGCTTGAGAAGGGAGGTGTTATATGAGAAGGAGAGAGAGAGAGAGAGAGAGAGAGAGAGAGAGAGAGAGAGAGAGAGAGAGAGAGAGAGAGAGAGAGAGAGAGAGAGAGAGAGAGAGAGAGAGAGAGAGACAGAGAGAGACAGAGAGAGAGACTCTGGACGCACCGGCTTCCCGTCGTTGTCGTCATCGCGGTACCACGCGTGCATGCCGTTGGCGGCGCCCATGGCGACGACGCGCTGGACCTCGGCAAGGCGGACGGCGGTCATGGCGTGGTAGACGTAGTCGTCGCGCTCGGGGAGGCGGAAGGAGACGACGATGGCGCCGTAGAAGTCGTCCTTGGCGAGGAGCTCGTTGGCGCGCTCGCGGCGGGCGGCGTCCTTGGCGTACTCGTCCGGGGAGAAGGTCGGGCTGCCGACGCAGTAGGTGAACTTGCCACCCTTGGCGGCCGCGGTCGCGGGCATTGCGGAAGAGCGGGGGGCGGTTGTTGTTGTTGCTGTTGCTGTTCTCTGAAACGCTGTGTGAGTTTTGTGCGGAGGTTTGTGTGAAGGTTGAGAGGGGTTTTTTTTTATTACTTACCTGAGACGTTGTCGCGTTGGGTGGGGGGCAACTGATTGAAAGGAGAGACAGTCGTGCTCGGAAGAGGTGTGCGGGATGTCCGGGATGTCGTTGGACTTTGGCCGGGAGATCGGAGACGTCGGGAGGGCCGGAAGGGGGGGAGAAGGGGGTGGGTTTGAGGTTCGGGGCCGTATTTCTCGGAGCGGACGGATGTCGTCATAGCTTTTTTTTTTCTTCTTTTTTTTTCTTCTTTCTCATTCTTTGGGTCAACCCCCCCCCCCCCCCCCCCCTCCCACACAAAACTGTGCTCATCAAAACACACACGGTACGGAGCACCTGGGGCTGCTCCCCCGCCCCCGGAAATGAACGGTTGATTATTTTCCCATGTATTCCATTTTCGTACCGATGCCCCCTTTCTGTGTGTAGAAGTTTGCTCACGCTAGGAGCTCGTTGATTCGCATTTTCTTCCCCCGTATTGGAAATGTGCACATACCCTTTACCCTTGGGCTCCTACCTACATACTTTAGCTAGGTACCGGGCGGCATTTGTCCAGCAAGCAAGTACGCAGCCAGACAACGTTTGGCCGGGTTTCGGGGGCCAGATCTGCGTTCCGGGTTCCCCGCTATGTTGAGGCGGAGAAACGCGGAGAAACAGGGCTGCATCACCACCAGCTGCTAAATACGCTACGCCATTGCCAGTTTTCTGACCGACCGAATCCTTGGCCAGATCTGAATATCCATCCCTGTTAGCAATTGTCCGCATCTCGAAAGGCCGGCCGCGGTCCGACGGTGTAAGCCATTCGCGGCACGCCGTACCTACCCTATTGCCATGCCGCGATCTCATGCCGTAATGCCGTAGCAGGATCCATCCGCATACGTAGGCTTTATGACTCGAACCCGGAGGCTAGCACAAGTCTTCCCAGCCCACCCGTGGCTTCTTCCTTGTCCAGAATAGGTAGCCGGCCTAACCATCTTCTCGGGAGTTGACCGTACCAAGCAACCCCAGCTTCCTCCTGGCCGCCATGGCCTTCTCTCTCCCTTCTTCCCCCACACCACCCAACCCCAAATCTCCAAAGCTGCCAGGGTAGGGCCGATTATGCACGACGACTGCGGGGTAGAACAACCCGAACCATTGGATCGGGCGGCGCGTTTGTTTTTTTGTTTTTTGTTTTTTGTTTTCCCCTGTCGAGTACAGGGTATTGTTTCTTCCAACACACGGCAAGCTATCGAATATCTGCCCCGGCGCCGGTACGACCGTGACCGCTTCACGATGGACGAGTGACGTAACCTACACGCCTTAGCTTGGATGTTACCCCGGCCCAGTCTGGGGTCTCGTGATTCGATGCCGGGATCGCCGCTCTTGAGCCTCGGTGGGCTATCGTCTCCAGCTTGGAGTTCTAACCTAGGTAGATTGCCAATGTCCGGTCTTCGCCCAGGCGCCCCCACTGCTACCCCGGGTACATAACGCTCGCGACTCGCCGCCGTTGTGGCTGGCGAGAGAGTGTGAGATGCAGCGTACGCCAGTCAAGCACCGTCGGCACCCGCAGCTCACCACCTCCTCCGGAACGCCATGGCTCGATTCAACCTGCTCACGGCCCTCTCGGCGGCTTGTGCCACGGCCTCCGCCCTCGTCCCGAGACAGGCCGTCCCGGACAACAACGCCGCCGCCGCCGCCACCGCCGCCGCTCCCACCGTCGACCTCAAAAACGGCTCCTACTACGGCGTCTACAGCCCCTCCTACGACCAGGACTTCTTCCTCGGCATACCCTATGCCCGCCCGCCCGTCGACGACCTCCGCTTCCACGTGCCCCAGCCCTTGAACTCCTCCTGGGAGGGCACCCGCAACGCCACCGAGTACTCCCCGCTGTGCTTCGGCTACGGCAGCGACACCTGGGTCCTGGGCAACCACGTGTCCGAGGACTGCCTCACCATCAACGTCGTGCGCCCCCACGGCGTCGCCGCCGACGCCAAGCTCCCCGTCGCCCTCTGGATCCACGGCGGCGGCCTGACCAACGGCGGCAGCGCCGACCCCCGCTACAACCTCTCCTTCATCGTCGAGCAGGGCGTGCGCATGGGCACCCCCTTCGTCGCCGCCAGCATAAACTACCGCCTGCACGCCTGGGGCTTCCTGTGGAGCGACGAGCTCAAGGCCGAGGGCGCCGGCAACCTCGGCTTCCGCGACCAGCGCCTCGCCCTGCACTGGGTCCGCGAGAACATCGCCGCCTTCGGCGGCGACCCGGCCCGCGTCACCCTCTGGGGCGAGAGCGCCGGCGCCCGCAGCGTCGCCGCGCAGATGCTTGCCTACGGCGGCCGCGACGACGGCCTCTACCGCGCCGCCATCCTGCAGAGCGGCACCGGCTTGGGCACCAACTTTGGCGAGGTCGAGTCCGCCGCCGCCACCGCCACCACCACCACCTGGCAGGACTACTACGACGGCATCGTGGCCAAGGTCAACTGCACCTCGGCCGCCAGCACCCTCGCGTGCCTCCGCCGCGTGCCGGCCTGGGACCTGAGCAACGTCATCAACGCCACCGCCGCGACCCCCGACTTCTCCAACGTCGTCGACGGCGAGTTCCTCGTCGCCGCGCGCCACAAGCTCGTCAACGAGGGCCGCTTCACCCGCGTCCCGCTCATCATCGGCACCAACACGGACGAGGGCACCCAGTTCGGCGTCAAGGGCGTCAACACCACCGAGCAGTGGCGGGCCTACCTCCGCTCCGGCGGCGCCGGCAACGTCACGACCGACGTCCTCTCGGCCCTGTACCCGGACATCCCGCGCCTCGGCAACCCGGCGACCCTCGAGGGCCGCCCCGCGGGCGCCTACGCCTCGTACGGCGCCATGTGGAAGCGCGTCAACGCCTTCGCCGGCGACCGGGCCCAGCACGCGCCCCGCCGCCTCTTCGCCCGCCGCTGGGCCGCCGCGAACCAGACCGTCTACTCGTACAACTTCAACGTGCTGGTCAACGGCCTGCCGCCCGTCCGGGGCGTCGACCACTTCCAGGAGGTCGCCTTCGTCTTCGACAACACGGGCGGCCTCGGCTACGAGACGGCCGTCGCCGAGGACCCCTTCCGGGGCAAGCCCGAGACGTACAAGCAGCTGGCCGGCGTCATGTCGCGCATGTGGGTCGCCTTCATCGCCAAGGGCGACCCGAACCAGAGCGGCGCGAGCAACGTCACCTGGCCGGCGTACCGCGCCGAGAACCCCGAGATCATCAGCTTCGACGCCAACGTCACCTCGCTGGCGCGCGTCCTCCCCGACACCCACCGCACGGAGCAGATGGAGTACCTCATCCAGAAGCTGTGGTCGTGAGTCGGGCCGCCTGTAATGGGTGAGTTGGGGGGGCGACTGTAGTAAAGAAATAGTTAAAAAAAAAAAATCAAGATTTTAGGAATTTTTCACAAAGCCATCTTCTCTTCACTCTGGCGATGTTCTTCTTCTTCTTTTTACCAAATCACTTTTGTATTAAAGCGCACTAGACTACGTCCCCCGGGCCTTTCGGTACGTCCGTGTCAACCATTTTGTCTTTGTCTCCGTTGTTGTCAAACCCAAACTCCGTTCCGAACCCCCCCTTTCGAAATTTGATGACCTCGATGAACCTTGATGACTAGACAGATTTGCAACACTGATTCCCAGAGAGAAAAAAACAAAGCAAAACAAAAACAACAACAAACTTGTACTGGCTATCACGATTGGCTGCCGTCGATGGACCCAAGAACCGACCTCCACGAAAAGGCGGGGGGGGGGGGCTTTCCCGTATGTTCCGTTGACCCTCTTTGATAAACCGTTCCGATTTACTCCTGGGGTTCGGCCGAGTTCTGGCCAATTATGGGGGGCACGGGAAAGGAACCGGGGCCCCGCGTGGGAATATCGTACCCCCCGGGGCCCAACAGCGGGTTTGTGAGGAGGGGGGGACGGGGCGCGAACCGATCCTCGACGCCGGGATAGATGACCTTGGGGAGGTCGGTGGGCGACGGGGGATTTCCCATGGCCCGAATTTTGTAGGGGGGAGGGTTAAAAGACGGACCTCGGGTGGCGGTAGAGACAGGGGGCACGGGAAAGGAACCGGGGCCCCGCGTGGGAATATCATACCCCCCGGGGCCCAACAGGGGGTTTGTGAGGAGGGGGGGACGGGGCGCGAACCGATCCTCGACGCCGGGATAGATGACCTTGGGGAGGTCGGTGGGCGACGGGGGATTTTCCATGGCCCGAATTTTGTAGGGGGGAGGGTTAAAAGACGGACCTCGGGTGGCGGTAGGGACAGGGGGCACGTCCAGGATGGGACGGGGCAGGTTCAGGATGTGATGGAATTCGTGGGCCCGGGTGAGCTGCGGCTCCGCCTGGCGGCCCTTGACGACGGGTTCGGTGGGACGGGGGGGCACTTCCGGGTCCTCGACAATGGGCGGCACCCCCTCATGGTCCTGGCGGACCTTGATGACGGGTTCGGTGGGACGGGGGGGCACTTCCGGGTGCTGGATGGGACGGGGCAGGTTCAGGATGGAATGGAAATCATGGGCCTGGGTGAGCTGCGGCTCCGCCTGGCGGCCCTTGACGACGGGTTCGGTGGGACGGGGGGGCACTTCCGGGTCCTCGACGACGGGCGGCACCCCCTCATGGTCCTGGCGGCCCTTGACGATGTGTTCGGCGGGACGGGCAACCTCCATCAAGGTCAGCCCGGGGCGTCCCTCCTGATCCCACTTCTTCCTATCCCCCAATCCCGCTGCGGGCATGGTGGGGTAGGGGTTGAGGATGTAGGTCGGGGTGTAGTCGGGGGCGGCGGGGGCGGTAGAGGTGGACGAGGCGGAGGAGGCGGCGGTGGTAGTAGAAGCGGAGGAGGCGGAGGAGGCGGAGGTGGCGGTGGTGGTGGTCTTTGGCTCCTGGGGCCTCTTGGGCTTCTTGGGTCCCGAGGGTGTCGAGGCGCAGGGCTTGGTCGGGCCCCATTTGTGGCGGCACTTTTTGCCGCGCCACCCCCCGGGCCCCCCCTCCTTGCTAGGCGCCTCCAGGGCGAGCGTCTCCCTTTTCTGGATCGCCTCCTTGCGGAGCATCTCCTTGCGGAGCTCCTCTTCGCGGAGCTTCACTTCGCGGAGCCTCTCCTCATGGAGCTTCTCTTCACGGACCCTCTCGTCGTGGACCTTCTGCTCTTCGCGGGACAGGTATTTGAGGTGCCTGTCGCAGCCGCCGCACAAGTTCTCGCACTTTTTGGAGCGACACTTGAAGAACATCAAACCGCTGCCCTGGCCTGTGTTCCGCTCTTTTACGGGGGCGCTGGTCGCGGCGGCGGACGCCGAGGATGTCTCCGCCGTGGGTGTCTCCGCCGAAGAGCCGGAGCCGGAGCCGGAGCCGGTGGTGGTAGGGACGGCGGTGCCGGTGCCGGTGGTGAAAGGGACGGCGGTGGTAGAGACGGCGGTGGTAGGGACGGCGGTGGTAGGGACGGCGGTGTCGATGAGCGGGGTCGGAAGCTTGGACAGGGCCAAGGACTTCATCCTCGCGACTTCGACGGACATGGTCCTCTTCGTCTGCGCGCTGTACCACTCCTCGAAGCCGAGTCTGGGCTTGCCTGTGCCGATGGGCGGGGCCGCGGTGACTTGCGCGTCCCGCTTGGGCAAGATGACGCGGGTGCCGGTCGTGGCAGTGGACGCCGAGGAGCCTGAGCCGGGGGTGGTGACGGTGGTGAAGGAGTTCAAGGCCGGAAGGTTGGGCGGGACGTCGACCTTCTTGTGCTTCCGCTGCTGCCTGAGCCACTCGATGAAGCTGGGTTCGAGCGTGGCTGTGCCGATCGTCGGGCCTACGTCCGGCTCGTCTCCTCCGCTCTGGGTCTGGGCGCCGACCAGGAAGGGGCCGGCGGCGGCCAGGAGGCCGGTCAAGAAGACGACGTGTCTCATCTCGGGGGTTTGTTCTGCCTTTGTGGAGCTGCTGTGGTGTCCAAAGACGGGCGAGCGGTTGATGATGAGGAGGAAAGGGGGAAGAGAGAGAGTGTGTGAGAGAGAGAGAGAGATGTCGGTCGAGAGGGGGGCAGCGTTATATAGACATCTGGCTGGCGGATCCGGAGAAAGTAGGAGATGGTGAAAGGCGCACAAGGTGGTTGTTCTGGGTTTGACTTTCGCTGGAGAGCCCCCCTCCCCTCCCATACGGCACCATGAGAGGTGGACAGATAGTGTGATGCGTCGCGAGGGAGGCCGCCCAGGAACCCTTCAGGAAACCATGGTGTCTCTGGCGGAGAGTTCAAGGCGGGCACGGTTCTCGGAGACCTGGGGGGAACTGGCGGACGAGACGCGACATATATGTCTTGTCGAGCGAGGCAACCACCCCAGAGAGCGGCTCTTGAGGTAGCGCGCCGCAGAGTGGCGGAACTCTCACCAGCCTCAAACGGCCAACCTCAACGGCCGGGGACATCAAGTCATCCGTATGCGAGAGGGATCCAAGTTTCAATGTAACTCAACTAGTCTCGGAACCCACTCCGGCCTGAAGCTTCAAGGGTGATCAATACCACGCCAGGTAGCCGTCTGATTGCATCATCGCAATATAGCACAATACTGACACCCCAAGTCCCACACCATGAGAAAGTAAAGGCGAAGAGAGGAAGTGCCAGACCACTTATCAGGGTACCCAAGAGTTGACAGACAAACACCAGAACTTGTTCCGTGACCATACCCTGTGTCTCCGTCGCGACCACAGCGGCAACGCTCTCCCTCCAGGACGCCTGAAAACCAGAAAACGTCAACCATCTTTCAACCCCTCCAGCCCCTGTTCTCACGCGAACAAGACCATGGTTCCGATGTAGACTAAGAACCGCGGAATTCGACACGCGCTTACCGCCGAGGCCGGAAAACGGATATCGAACTGCTGCTGCTGCGGCTTTCCCTAGCGCCGTCAAGGCCCCCCCAAACCCACACGACCAACCAGCATTCTCTCCTCGAAACCCAAACCCCAAAAACCCTCATCCTCGCAAGCCAACACGTCATAGTGTTCGCGCGGACGCAAGACCAGTTCGTGCGAGCCGCCTCACGAGACCACTTACACTGGGTCCTTGGATGGCTCTCCCTGTCGAACCTTGGCGCTACAGGTGCGCCCCCTTTTGAGCATTCGTCTTGTCTTGGACCACGGTAAACAAAAAGTTACGCCTTCGAATGCATGTGTTTGTAGGGTTTTTACATTGCCTTCGTAGCCGCTATCCTTTTCTCTTCCCTTGTAGATAAAAAACCATACATATCCCCCCAAATCGTGATAAACATGCCAAAAAGTTTATTTTTCTTTTTTTTGATGCAAGGTATACGCTTCTCGCTTCATAGGCTCATCGCCACATGCTGTCATGATCAAAACTTGCTTCTCTACATGACCCTCCCCTCGTACATTGCTTCCATCACCTTCAGCCCTCAATGGCCAGAGGCTCGCGCTCGCGGTCCCGGTGGTGACGGTGGTGGTAATCATCCCGACGCCTTGGGTCCTCGTAATCGTCGTCGTCTCGACGGTGTCTGCGGTGACGGTCCCTGTCGCGATCGTCGTCGTAGCGGTCATCGTCGTCTTCTTCTCTCCTGTGGTAACGGTGCCTCCGCCTGTTATCGTCATCGCTATCCCGATCGCGGCCGCGGTCGTAGTCCCGCTCGCGGTCTTTGCCAGACTCTTCACGCCTCCGCTCTGTACCATTTGTTAGTAGTCCGGGTCGTGCAAAAGTCCAGGGCTGTTTACATACCTCTCAAGACCTGCGTGGCGGCAGCATAGGCCTGGATTTCCTCCTTGCTGAGAACGCGAAGGACGATGACGAAATCGTCACGAACCTCAAAGCGCTCCTTGCCGATGGTCAACGCCTCTGGGTTGACAATCTTGCGACTGATCTTGGTCCATCGGGCACCGGGTGGGACCTCCTTTAACTTCTTGTCATCCTTGTGGGGCGCAACGCCCTCACGAACGGGGTTGTCTTCTTCCGGGAACCGGCTGGGCGCCTTCAGAATGCCCTTGAGAGGTTTGGCATCGGACTTGTCGCGGGGTGGTGACACGACGCGGACCTGCTTCTCGTCCGAACGAGGCGGCGTCGTATCACGACCGCGGTGGTCATCTTTGGACGAGACAGTGCCTGAGTCGGCCGAAGGGACAGAGACGGGCGACTCCCGCTTTGGAGGAGGCGATTCCTTCTTGGGCGAAGGCGTGCGTTCCTTCGTTTCTCGGATAGGGAGGTCGGCGTAGGTTTGCTGGTCCGACCTGTCATCTCTCTCCAATCGGTCGGGCCTGTCCAGTCGCTCGGATCTCTCGGGACGTTCCGATCGTTCAGGACGTTCCGATCGTTCAGGACGTTCCGATCGTTCAGGACGTTCCGATCGTTCAGGGCGTTCCGATCGTTCAGGGCGCTCCAACCTTTCGGAACGTTCCGGGCGTTCGGCGCGATCCGACCTGTCCGCAAGTATGGGCACCTTCTCCTTGGGTTTGTCGTCCTTCATGGCCGCCAACTGCTCCTTCAACTCCCGGATATCATTCGTGTTGGTGGGGTTGAAGCCAATTGTCTGCCTCTTGGGCCGCCTGGACTTTTGCTCGTCGTCATCTGGAGAGCCATCGCGCTGTGATGTAGGAAGGCTGTCGCCCGTGGGCCGAGCCTCGACCTCCCGGCGGCTGCGGCTACGGCTCCGTTCTCTGTCGCGGTCCCTGTCGCGGTCACGAGCCTCGTCATCTTGATCCGCGGTTGCTCTGCGTGTCTCGATAATGACAGGGGCACGGTCGCGGGGGTCTCGAGACTCGTCTCGAGGCCTATATCTTTCAGAAGTTCGAGCTCCAACGTCTTCCTCGTCGCTACGGCGGCGAGACTCCCGCTCGGGCTTCTCGGGGCGTTCGTCCTTCTCCTTCTCCTTCTCCTTCGCTGCGGAGCCGAGGCCAATCGCGGTGGCTGCAAGACCAAGTCCCGCACTCAGCTTGTCGCGCAACCGTTTTCGCTCAGCTTCATCTTCAGTCGCCGTACTCGTGCGGCGCAGATGCCGCTCCTTGTCATCCCGACGCTTGGACTCATCATCCGAGCCCCTCTTGGCGTCCGAGGGGGAAGTTCGGTGGCCGCCGCGCGACTCGGGTCGGTATCCGGGACGGGAGTCAGAGTGGTGCCCGTTCCGAGACTCGGGGCGTGCTTCTCTGCGCGGCTCACGCCGGTCTTCAAAGTCGCCGCCGACAGGGGCCGAGTCTGTGCGAATGCCAAAACCTCGCGAGGATACACCATCATCGTAGTAATCGCCGCTGCCATAGACAGGTTCGTATTTACGATCAAGGTCTCTGGCCTGCCGCTGGGCACGGTCGTCGTCGCGGCTTCGGTAATATTCCTCGTGATGGCTGGACCGCGGGGGGCCTTCTTGGTACACCGAGACAGGACGTCGAGAGGCGGTGGCACCTGCGACTGTTGCGGCGGCCACAGACGGCGCAGCTACATCCAAAGACGATGGGCCACCAACGGAGCGTCGATCTTTCGGGCTAGGAGGCACCGGTAGATGAACAGGTGCTGCGGGAGCTGCGGGAGGAATGGTAGGGATCGCCGGGTCGTAAACATTCGTAGTCGAGCGGTTGATCTTATCGAAGCCCCGGGTGCTGGGCGGGGGACCGGATCGCTTGTCGTATCGGCCAGTATCGTTGTAAGGGCGGCTTGCGCTTTCGGTTGTCGTCACATTGACACTGGGGCGGTAGTAGCCCCGGTCGATGCTCTCTCTGCGGCGAGATCGTGACGGGGGCCGGCTGTGGTCCAAGTCGTAGCGTGCGAGGTCGCTTGGTGTAGTGTATTCGTAGCCGTCTCCGCCGATATCGATGGGGGCACTGGCGTGTCGAGTGCTGCTGGGGTAGACGGCGGACGACCTCGACGGGCGGTATGTGTCGAGTCTGATTGCGGCAGGATCGAGAGTTCGCTCGCGTAGACGAGTAAACTCTTCGTTATCCATTGTGGCACTGTAAGAGCCACCTCGGTGGTGGCTTCGGGAACGTATGGAGGAGGCGGGCTGGGTGTAGAAGGTGGAATCGCTGGAGCGATAGTCGTCACGAGTCGGGCTGGAGTGTCTGTTGCTCGAAGAATGGTGCGACGACGAGCTCGCCTGCGGTCGGGCCTGGGTTGTTGTAACAATGACTGGACGAGCGGCGGTAGAGTCGAGGGTTGACGAGCGATGGCTACGGGTGCGGCTCGCTTCTCTCAGGCCTGTTCCACGAGCAAGAGGATCCTTGGTGACGGCGTAGGTTGTTGTGGTAGTCGCCGGAGTAGCCGAATGGTGATGGTGGCCCCGAGAGCTAGCCGGTGCGTATCTAGTCGAAGACGTGGGCATGACATGAATATCTCCTCCATACATGGAGCTGTAGCCGATGCTTGTTGGAAGCGAAGTCCTTGCGGGATTGAATGTGGGAGACCGCGGGCGGGCGGTTGTGTATCGCGAAGAGGAATAGCGGTGATCCATGGTGACCCTCTAGCGGCTGAGCCGGTGACGAGTCGTCTTGGTCGATTTCGTCCCTCTCGTCGCTGCGGTATTCACCGCCAAAGTATTGTGCAGGAGGACTACTAAGAGCCTCGGGGGGGGAACAGCGAGGAAAATATATGAGGAGGGGCTGCTGGAATTGGGTTGGGCGCTGACCGGCTTGGATAGATAGATAGCCCAGAGACGGAGAGGGACGGAGGTAGCGGGAAGATTCACGTCGCAACCACGTGAGGATTCCGCCCTAATGAATTCCTTCTTGGCTTTTTTTTCTCTTCCTCTTTTTTTTTCCCCCTTCCACCTAGGCGTGCTTTAGCGTCCGGTGGCTTTCCAGGCCTATTGCTCGTTCGAGGGGGTGTTGTGGTGTCTCACGTTGTTGGTCGGTTTTCTGGACGAGACAATATACCAAACGGACGGGGCCCTTTTTTTCCTCGCCCTTTTTCTTTTTGGAGGAGGGAATGTAGTGTAAGGCAGGGTGCGAGGGAGAGAAGAAGGAGGAGGAGGAGGAGGAGGAGGAGGTGGTGGTGGTGGTGGTGGTGGTGGTGGAGGGGCAGTCGTTGGGAAGCCCACCGAAGCGGAATAGTCGTCAGTATGAGCTGTGAGAATGGCGGGGTCCGGTCTCCCCTCAGTTCACCTCAGTTTAATTCAATATCCAGTCTTGCTTGCGCTTATGAGGGCCCCCCCGGTCAAATGGGACTGGGGCTAGGTGTTGTCGTCGGGTTCGGGTCAGGCCAGGTGGGCTAGGTATGTCAGGCTAGAGTGGGTGGACTGGACTGGCTTCAGATCGCTGTCGAAACGTCCAAGCTCGCAATGAAGTTCTAGTGTGTACTGCACTGCACTGCTGCACTGCATACACCTGCAGCTGTGGGAGAAAAGAGGGGCGAGTCAGCTTTCTGAGGAGCAGGAGAATCGAGGGCGCATGCAATCAATGCAATGGGCAGAGTGGGCTTGGGCGTGGGCGTGGGCTCAAAAATAGGGCAAAGATATGAATCCATGCACCGTCCCCATACGAGTTCCAGACAAAACAAGACGGTGGTGCCGAGTATGGACGATGCGCATGACATATGGTGTAAGGGTTTATGGCATGTAGGAGGATAGATGAGGATATGAGAAGGGAATTAACATCAATCACCAGATGACAAAGATAACGTCACCGAGGCTGAGGCTGCTGGCGAATAAGAAAAAGAGAGAGTAAGACGAGGATGGGGGGCGAAAATTGGGCGATGATTGAGAGACACTGTAGCGTCAAGTATTTTTCTGGGAGGACAAGGGGGGGTTATCCTGGGCGCAATGACGACGCTACGAGTCGACTGATCCTTGCCGACACGGAGTAAGGATCGCGGGGAGGGGTTTGCTTCAATCATGGATGGCCCGGGGACACCCTTCAGCCAAGGGTGAGAAAGCACTCGACCAGCAAACGATCAGCGAAACGGCCAGGCAACTTGACTGGTTGCCGAGAGCTTGTCTTGTACATTATCATCCGTAGCGCAGTTACACTGCCGGTATGGTGTTGCGTGCCGCCCATGATGGTGTGCTGGTACGTATGTTGACGAAGCACAGAGAGGACCAAGGACTTGGTTGATAAGGCCAAGGAATGTCACCGCGCGGACGTTGCGGCCGGCCTGCCGTCGCCAAAAGAATGTTCTTCTAGTAGGGGTCCTGGGAACACGACGAGGGGGCTGCTGTTATCCGGGTTCGAAAAACGGCTAGGTGCCACTCCCGCCTTGTCAAGGCTGCTGATAGGTAGCACAGATATAGGAATTCTTGTGAGGCGCTGAAAAGATGGACGGAGCCAACAGTCAGTTGTAGGTATACACCCCCATCCGGGCTGACACAGAACGATTGGGTTGGCAGAAGATGGCCGGGCGTGCGCCAGCGTCAATGCCAACGCCAATGCCGTGCTGTAGCGCCCCCGCCCGTCAGCGACGAAACCACCGAGAGCCTGACAAACTGCGACTCGGCTGCTCTATCTCGACTTCTGCAGTTTGGTTTTGCCCTTTCAGCCCACCTCAGGCAACGACGACTACCACAGACAGGTCGCTACTTGGCCACAAAGAACCTAGTCAAAGCCGCTCAGACTCGAGATACAAGCGTCAGGCCGGTCAGAGGGGTGCATGCAGCAGCGGCTTGCTTTGCTAGGGCCGTTTCGTCTCTGCAGTCGAGGGAGGTAGTTCTTGCAGAGTTCAGACGAAAGAAAAGCGAGCAGACGGTTGTTTGCATGCCATGCCATGCCGTCCTTGTCTCGATATCTGCGCATCTGCGCGCCTGCGCTCTCTTGTGTAAACTACGTGGGGCCTCGAGCAGGCACAGCAGCAGGAAAAGCCGGCTTTATCCTGCAGAGTCGTTCTTTGAGGTGCAGGTAGCCGCCCAAGCGAGTGTTTTCCAGTCGAGCGGCACCACGACGGGGCCGAAGCAGGCCATCAGGCGTGGGTGAAATATGATGTGATGACACACAGGCTGTTGCTTTGCTGAGCGCTGACGCCTCGAGTCAGGAGACAGCAGGCATTCAGAAACAAGAATATCCCCCGAGTGGCGGGAAATACACCTGCGAAATTGGTGCGATTAATTTAGTTCGACCCGAGGATTCGATTGGCGGTGCTGATCAGGAGAGTGAAACCTTGGGGGACAGTGACAGGTGAAAGAGGCGAGACCACACGCCTCACGGCGAGGCAAGGTACCAAATTTGCCATTGATGTCGGTTTGCAGGCCGTTGGCAGGTTTGATGGCTTCTGGTAGGGCTTCGCGGGTGTGCGAAACGGTCGCTCCCTTGCCGTTTCGGGAAGCCGGTTGTCGTCCGTGTCGATCACGACGATGACGTCCTGCTGGACGACCGCCCCAAGACAAGGCCCAGGACGCGGCGATCTTGTCTTTTCCAGGGCTTTTTTTGAATTAACCGTAGTAGTAGCTCTAGTTGGGAATTACCATACAATAGTTCAGAGGTCGAGTGGCACCCGACAGGTCTCGCCCAACAGACTCCACCAGCGCACTCTCCCGGCAAGGCACACATCAGATGGGGTGCGTTGGGGGGTCTAGGGCGTAACGACAAGCTCGGAGCTGTCGGTTTCTCGTGCTGCGTGGGCTGCTACTGGATACGGTGCCCTGGTATTGTGCAGATGCAATGCGGCCGACATCTTGGAATGCGAAGTGGGACAACCCGGAACAAGACACTGCAGCGCCCGCCGGAGCAGGTGAAGATTTCGAGTGTTGCTTCATTTATTCGTTTGTCAAATAGTGCCTTGCCATCTTGAACGTCGCAGCCGTCCCTTGTGCTGTGCGGTGGCAGTGACGCCGTCCGAGTGGGTGCTAGGGTCAGGGTATCTAGGGGAGTTTCGGGTCCCTGACTACCTAGCAACTAGGTACCGAATAAACACGATTGCTGTCAACAGAGTGAAGGCTGGAATTGGGGCGACGTCAGTTGGAGCGGTAATGATGAATGGTGGTCTCGGATGGGACCGGTGTTAGCGCGTGGTGACGATGAGAGTCTCTGAACCCGGACGGGCTTGTATCGAGGTGAGTCAATGAGGAGCGTCGACATTCGTCCTTTGGATACGTATCTCAGTCAGCGGTTGAACTGTACCTAGGCCGTAGATGGACCAATAGGCAGAAAGGAAAGAGGCGAGGATAGACTATGTATAGTACTCCGTACCTGCTTGTGAGTCGACACGATACGTGCGAAGTTGGGCGGGCTGGATTGATTTGGCGACGGTGGGCTTGCCAGAGTTACGCTAACAGGATGTTTCGAGACGGTTCGGCTCAGAGAAACGACAGTACGGTAGACCTCAGTCGGCACCTTCCTCAGGTACTAAAGTATTGAAATAAGGCGACCCTTCCTCAGGCATCTGGATGCACGTGCAAGTACGACGTACATTCCATTAGGCAGGTACGGATACGTACATTAGAAAGCCCACATCATAGGTATCTACTCGTGGCACGGAAGGGGCGTCCGGTCCAAGATGCAGTTTCTAGGAAGGCGCGCACTGCAGGCCAATCTCATCCAACCTGGCTGTCAAGACGGAAGGAAGGGGTATGTATCTACCTACCTAGGCAGGCAGCCAGGCAGACGTCTGCTCCTGCTGCCGCTGCTCCAGAGAGGACAGACGGAGAAAGAGACAACGACCGGAACAATCCAGCAACGCCAACACACCTGCCGGGCGAAATGTTGTCATCTCCCGCCGTCAAGCAACAACATTCATCGGCAAAACACCACACCAGTGCCAACTTGACCGACCGTCCGTCCGTCCGTCCAGACATCCCGCCCAGCCTGTCAGGCCACCGCCCCTCGCCGCACAAGCGATATCGACTTCAGCCGAGTCCGTTGGCCGCCACGAGGCATTATTGTCCTATTCTCTGCCTGTCCTGCAATTCGCCGAACCTAAACGGCCACGATCCCTTCCTGTCACAGACATCGACGCATCCAGTGTCAGCCATTTTCTAACCCCCCACCCACCGAGCCGCCACCCCGACTTTAACCTAAACCATCTCCATGTCTGAGTGGACTTGCTGCTGTGTGTGGGCTTGTCTCCCATCACTCGACATCCTGGTCTGTTGGGCTCCATTGCAACTTTGCGCCTCGATCCCGCGGCCGTCGGCACCGCCAAACTCCATGACCCATTTCGACCCAACCGCTGCCTCGTCCATCTTCGGCTTCAAGCCTCCTACGCCTGCCCGCTCCCTGCCCTTGCCTGGCTGTCCCTCCCCGCCGGCACGGTAGCCCTACCACGCCCAACTGTGGGACGCACCGAAAAGCATTTTTGAAACCCTCTCCGCGGCGTCGCCCTTTGATCTGGACCGGAATGTCATGGCACGCCCATCGACGGCAGTTATCCCATGCAATTTTCGGGCCCATGTTGAAGAACAACAATTGAGGACGAGACAGCCCCGCCCGCCCTCCTACCGACCGCCGGATCACGCCCACCGCTCTTGTACACTGCCATCACTACTACCATCACCAGGGGGGGTTCCGCCTCGGACTAAGGACTTTGCCGTCCCTTTCCATTGCATCTGCAGCATGTTGCCTTTCTGTGAGACGCATCCCCGAGGTTTCCGCATCTGCAGAATAAGCCACTGTGCAAACACCCGACCAAACAAGTATTGCCTTGCATCTGTCTGTCCGCCGTGACTGGAAACCCTTTCTTTGACTCGTCCTCCACCTTCAATCCGCACGCAACTGCCGCGTGGGGTCGTTGGGGCTGATCTTTGAGCCCCAAACATGCGATGCGACTCGAGAAATCTCCGTTGCCTGCTGCTGCTCACCGCCACAACTCCCCTACTCTTAGTTGCCCGGTAATTTGCGCCATTTCTCTCGACATCACAGGACACGCAAAGAGCAACAAGTGTAACGTTCCCCAGGACGCCTTAGCTGTGTGTGTGTGCAATGTGACATGCGATAACTTGATACAAGGGATGGCTGTCTATCCATCCGCGCAAACCACCCGATGTAGATGGTAGCGATGTGATGATGGCCCGTCGTTTTCTACCCCGACAAGGACCATCCCGTCTGGAAGGATTCGCCCAAACAGCCCCTGCCGAGAGACATGGCCGTGAGCAATGATCTTCCTGACGCTTCGTTTTGCCTAGCCAACAGCTCCTAAGCTGGCCAGCTGGGAAAATTTTCATCCACCAGCAGCGCATCTCTCGTAACTCTTCGGGATGCCCAATCCCACTCGAGCCATATCTCCGTCAGACAACGTTGGCAGTTGGGCTGGGACGGACCCGAAGGCGAAGGGGGGGGGGGCATTCTATCGAAAGCCCGTGCCGCAGAAGCCCAAGACGGGGATCCCCCGGCCTTGACAAACCTCAAGGAACAGAGGCATGTCGTTGGGTTCTCGCCCGCTCGGTCGGGCACATCCATCCAGAAGCCCCTTTCGCCGGCCGCCCACTTCACGTTTCTCGCGCTGCAGGCCCACGAGCAATCCCTACCTAGAGCGCCATTGTTTGACTGGCGACTTTGTGAAAAAAAAAAAAATTGAAAAATTGCAAGTCGCAGTGCTCGCATCTCGATCTCTTGACGTTTCACCCAGATCGACGGTTGATAGCGGGCCCTGGGGCGATACGTGCGCATGCTTGATACGCCGGCAGGCTTTTCTCTGTGCCAACAGGATGCGTCAAGCCACCTACCTACTAGTAGTCTCGGTTGAGCTGTGGCCGCCGAGACTTTGAGGCCAGGACTGGTCGTCTTCCCACGTGGGCTGCCATAGTGCCAAGGAAAAACTGCAGTGCCATCTGAACTGAGGCCCGCCGATGTCTTTCAGAAGCCAAACAGCCAGCGCGACTGACGGATTACCAACCCAAGGACGCCCACAACTCATGCGTTCCTGGTTTCATGGAACCATCCAGCGGCGCAAGTTTATAATATAAGGGCGTGGCAGGTCAGGCCTCGTTCTGAACAGTGTACGGGGCCTTGCATGTGCCGCCGCAATAACGTCGAACCTAGCTCCGCGGGCCGGCCCAGCTTAGCCTCGGGAAGACCCAAAACATGCAGTCCCGGTCTCGAGCCTTTGAATCTGCTTCCCATCCCACACGGCTGTTGCTGGAAAACAAGAAACACGAAGGCCCCCCTTGTTCTCGCACAAAATCCGTTGAGCTTCGTAAGCACTCATAGTTCAGACCCGAATCAATGGCAAACCGACCGCGTACCCGAAACTGCCACGTACACCGGCCAAACTGTACCGGCGCACCGGGTTTCGTTCGCCATGAGTCACCCCCTCGCCTCACTTTGACTTCACCAGGGGGGAAGCTAATCAGCCCGCTCATCCAAGCCCGAAAGAACCTTTCGGCACATCGAAGATGAGTTTTACTTCACGGGCCGGGAGAACTCTCACAGGCCAGAAAGGGGTAAAAAAAAAAAAAAAAAAAAAAAAAAAACCTCGGTGGACCCTGAGTCGCGGGGGGGAGTGCGAAACTTATTCAGGTGAGCGATGCAGGGTCGTTGCAGACGACAGCCGTTGAGGCGGCAAACCCGGGGTTCGTGGTCGGCGGGCCGGGGAAACGCATCCGGCCACCATAGGACTGTCTCCGTCCGGAAATAGCGTTTAGGTGAACGGCCGGTTCAACATGGTTAGTCGGAGTTGAGTTGATTGGGCACCCCTGGCCGATGCGTTGGCCGCAGTTCCACGTCGTCCGCTTCGCCTGGCCACAGTCTGACGCCGGTCCGAACCGCGTCGGGTGAAGGCAGTCGATGGCGCCGGGCTAAAGGGGGTTGGGGGGGGGTTGTTGTTCTTGATGGCCAGGTCGATGCTGGACTGTTTTGAGACTAATCTGTCAGAAACAACGGCCGTGGGGAAAACCTTTTGTCATGTGGATAACGGTTGAAACTAGTAGATTGAAAACGCTACCCTGCTATAAGCCCAAATCCTGAGAGTTGTCATCATCATCAGCCGTATCGTAACGACTGGAGTTCGCAACCCCCTTCTCTCTAAATGAAGAGCATCCGCCTATACCCACTCCTCCGTGTCCCCAGACACGAGATCGTGGAGGGGGGGGTTTTACGCCAAACTGCCCATGGGATCCCACAGCGGCAACACGGTCGGCTCGGTGCCGATGACGGCGCGGACCTCCTTGCTCAGGAAGCGCGGGTCGACGACGGCCTGGTAGACGAACTCGTCCATCCAGGCGTCGGTCATGACGAACCAGCCCTTATCGCCGGCGGTCTCTCCCCAGCTGTTCTGGACCCTCCACCTGACGCTGCGGCCGTCGGCGTCGAGGTGGACGGCCGTCAGCACCATGGCGTGCGTCATGGCGCTCTCCCCGGTGCGCAGGCGGCTCGCCTTGTCCATGCCGAGCAGGGAGACGCCGAAGCCGAGCTCGTAGTCGACGATGTCGAGGTCCATGACGCCGGCGGCCGTGGAGCTGAACTTGCCGACGTCGGAGCCGAAGAAGACGGGCAGGCCGGCCTTGATCATGGCGACGCAGGCGGCCTTGAGGGTGGCCATGTCGACGTTGACGTAGGTCACGCCGCGGCCGCCGACGACGTTGCCGAGGCGGTCGACGGTGAGGAGCGTCAGCGGCTCGTGGCGCGGGTCGTGGACGAGGGAGACCATGGAGTCGATGACGGAGGACGTGATGCGCAGCTCGGGCGAGTAGATGTCGCGGGCGAAGGCGGCGGGCGTGGTGCGGAGCTCGTGCGGCTTGCCGTTCTTGTCGAGGTACGTCCACGTGAACTCGTCGCGTGGACCGGGCGGCGGGCCGAGGGCGATGGTGAGGATGGAGAGGATCTCGCGCATCATCTTGTCCTTGGCCGATGACAGCGTCTGGGCAGTGGCGGAGCCGGAGCGGACCTGGCGGCGGAGGGCGAGGGCGTACTCGCGCAGCTTGGTCTTGACGATGGTGTTGAGCACGCCCGAGTTCATGGCGTTCCACGAGTCCGGGTACAGCGCCTGCGGGACACATCCGTACTTCTGTATGAGGTTGTACACCATGTCCCACTGTCCCCCGTCGCTGACGATGTCGCCGAGCAGGGCCTGGACGAGGCGGCCGTCGAGGTCCTCGCCGGCCGTGTCGATGATTTGCTCGAGGAAGTAGTTTGCCTTCTCGAGCTTGTCCCAGAAGAAGAGGTAGGACTGGGAGAGCTCGAAGGCGTCGAGGTTGTAGCGCCGCATGAGGGCGACGCGGAAGACGTTGGTCGACGCGAAGAGCCAGCATCGCCCGGACGAGCGCTGGTTCGTGATGGGCGCGCCCTCGAACGGGATCCGCGTGTTGAAGACGTGCGGGTCGGCGAGCTTCGCGGGGGTCGACGCCAGCACGGCGCGGGGGTCGGCCGTGCTGAGGGCCGTGAGTGCGAGCCTTTGCACGTCTTGTTAGTCTTTGGAGCGTGTGGCCCGGTCTAGGTGCTTTTTTGGCACAGCCGACGGGGGCAGGGGAGGGGAGGGACCTACTTGTTCTTGGGGTCCTGGAGGAAGCGCGACTGCCAGGACTGCGTCAGGTGCACGGGGAGGCCCTCGGGCTCGCGGGTGAGCCTGACGTCGCCCTTCTCGTTGCTCTCGCTGCCGGGGTCGCCTCCGGCGTCGACGGAGGAGGCGCCGTCGTCTCCCTCGGCGGCCATCTGGAAGCGGCGGAGGCGCTCGATGAGGGCCTTTTCGTTGGCCGCGTCGGCGGCGGGCTTGGACGGCTGGGAACCCATCTTTATGTCTTTACAGGCGGGTGTTGCTTTTTGTTTGTTGCTTCGCTTGGCTCGAAGCGATACGCGGAGCTATAAGTCGGGGTCGTCGTCGTCGAACCGAACGATGGGAGTATAACGGTGTTGCGTGAGAGTCTTTGATAGGTTGTGAGACAAGACACACGGTCATACAATTGACGACCGGACAGTGCAGACTCGAGAGAAAAGGATAGAGAGACAGAGAAGGGGGGAAGAGCAGCTCTGCTTTACCTCGGGAGTTGTTTCAAGTGACATGTGTTGAGGTCGTAGCATCCAAGAAACAGGCTACACACGAGTCGTAACCTCCTCCCAGATCCGGACCACCACCCCTCCCCCTCGTTCCTTGTCTGTCTCTGCCCATCCTTTGCCAACCGATCCGCCTGATACTGATGCCGATAACGAATGCAGAAGAAACCTAGGCTGCGTTGCCTTTTGCTAGCAAAGGTCGGGGAGGTCAAGCTTTCCCCAGGAAGGGTTAGTGGGGGTGCCGGCCCCTTGCGTTGTCTCTCTTATCAGTTGGAGTTGGAGCTCGATAGTCCGGGGCGGGCGGGGGGCAGTGGGGGATCTGGCCATACAGCGAAGGGCATTCGGGAGGGTTTGGAGGGGGAGGACAAGTGAACAGGGATCGCTACAATCGGATTGGAGCGAGAGCCACGCACGCGATACAGGAAACCATCAAGGTCCCCCAAGGAGCTCGAAGATCGTGTCTCAAAGGATCCTCACATGATGCAGGCCGAGGGGCATTCGAGGGCGCCGGGCCGGTTATGTGTGCGTGTGTGTGCCGGTTGCGGAAGATGGGACGGGACGGTTCAGAGAGAGGTGAGCACGCAATGATGGGGGGGATCCAAGATGACAAACCAAGCCGTTGAAACTCAGTTCCGCTAGTCAGTTAATCACGCATTCCTCTCATCCCTTTTTTTTTACCTATTTGGTAGCCGGTAATTTCGCCATCTGGCTGGTTGGTTCCTTCGCCGACTTTGCCTGCGCACCCGACGACAGGGAACTTCTGGCGTGTAGGGCTAGCCGGGCTCGTGTGTCTGCAAAATACCTCCCAGAGATCCGGCTGCTGCAGGTATGCTGATAAAAACATGGGCTACTTTGAACACGCTTGAGCTGTATCGACGTGCCATTGTTCACACAATAGACGAGAACCCCGTTGAGGGTTCCACAAGCATTTCCGGAGCTCTGGATCCACAACGGCGCCGACCGGTGGCACCAAAGCCGAGCCGATTCGTGTCGTAGTCCCACTGCCCGCAGAACGTAGGAATGAACATCTGCACCGGGTGTGGCCGTCGTCGGCCGCTATAAAAACAAGACTTGACAAACCAGGACGATGGGGTTGATCCAAGAAACAGTCCAAAAAGCTCCAGTCGTCTAAAAGACTTGTCCGAAGCAGCATCTGTGAACCCCGGCACCACGTCGGTCGAGTTGTCATATCACCTACTGGTTTGGTAACAGTGCATGAGTCTCCGGATGAGCTCGGGAATGAAACCCGGCGAAGCAATCGCCAAGGTGCCCCAGCTGGCCGATGCTGACTTTACCGTCGTTCTGAGTCTCGGTAAGCGGCAATAACCTTGCGGGACCAGTCTACGAAGTTGGCCGTGTGTCCGCCCCAGCGGCTCCACGTGCTGGGAATAGGGTACCGTTGAACCAAGCTTCGCGGACCTCGGCGGGCTGGTGGTCCCAGCAGAGACGATTAGTGACGCGAGCATCGTGAACCCTAACCTGCTCGTTGGTACACTTAATTACCCGACACGTATCTGGTCCTGGGGTCAGAGAAAAACGTACGTTCTCCGGTGGGGACAGCCAGTGGGACACTCAAGTAGATGCTCTTGACAGTATGGGCTCTTGCGGCATCGTGGCCTGGACCCCGGATCGCAAGCCTTCTGGCAACCGGAGGCCTCGCAGCGGGGGTTTGGTTTATCGAGCTTGCCGCTGCTGTTGGCGCTGGCGGAGCTCATCGAAATCTCGACGAATTGGGTCAAAGGCGTCACGGGCAGCCCAGGCAACTCGTCCCGAGGCAGACCAACGTCTCACATACTCGAACGGAGCTGAACCACACTGTCTTCGCCGTTGGCATTGGACGATGGAGACGCTCGCATGGAACCGCTCGCTGGTGGAAGAATGGTGTAGGTCTCCTCAGAGTTGGGAGACATCGAGTCTTCGTGGTCGGAGTCGCTGTGTTCCCGTGCTAGGTTGAGCGGTGGACTCTCCGCTTCCGCGCCCCCAATGGGCGGTTCTTGGAAAAGGAGATTAGGCCGGTTTCCGACTCGTCGCCGAAGTCTACGGGCAAAAGAGCCGACGGCGTCAGGATCCACAGGCGTCCAGTTTTCGTGGTCGGATTCACTACGCTCCGAGATAGTGCGCATGCCAATGCGTCCGCGGAGCCTCCGCATGAGCCTCTCCTGTCGCCTGCGAATGATTTCGGCCTCCGTGTCTTCATCCCATTCCTCATCTGAATCCTCAGAGCTGGAGAGGACTTGAGGCGCCGGGCCTGGCGGTCGAGAGGGGGCCGAGGCTGGTGAGGAGAAGCCTGGGGGTTCGATGGCATCTGTGTAGTCCTGATTCATAGGATTGAATTCGGAGGGTTCTTCGAGGGTAAAATTGGCCGATGAGCTGGTGGCGGTAACCTCGGGCTCACCTGATCAGAGTCAGAGTGAGTCAAAAAAAATAACCAGACACCATAAATGCTTACTTTGCCTGTATCCCTCACTGAGCTTCAGCAGTTTGCCAAGACCCTCCTGGTCAAGACCCTTTCCGTGATTGTCAACGAGAACATCGTTAGCCTGCGCCATCAAATTAGTGCAATTCTAATAAGTATGTAGTAATGGGGTTCGCACCCCCTGCATGTACTTGCGCTGCTTGTCAATTTGGCGCTTCAGCAATGTTACAGCGTTCATAGCCTGGAACGGGACTGGGGGCTCTAGGTGATCCTTTACAAAGTGCTTGCTGCAAGAGCTGTTAGCAAAGCATCTTACCCGCGCGGAATAGGGTACAGGAAGCCCTCGCTCCAGTGGTTGGATCTCACTTTAACTCGGCAAGCCGCGGGAACCATCTCCCGCAGTCATCCCACTCGCACTGAACTGGCTCCTTGGGAGGCAACCCGTTCATTTCCTCACCCGTCGTGCTGTGTTCATCGTCGTCGCTGGGTGTGGAATCGTCATCGATGACGTCGGCAGCTTTAATCTCGAGGCCTTCAATGGCTAAAGGTAACGCTTCGCAGGCGAGGTCTTGGTAGTGTTTGGCTAGATGCGAGCGAAAGTTGTTAGAGTTACCGCCAGTCTCTGATGACGGGCGCCAGTTATCGCAGAGCAGACAAGATTCTGTATCAAAGTGGTTTAGGGGCTTTTCGCAAGCCTTCAGCATCACCTTCCTCTGCGTGGCAGATACGACCGATGGGTGCTGAGAGTCAAAATGCGATTCCAGGGCCGAGGCGGAATTGCACCTTGCATGACACAAGACGCATTTCCACTGCCGTCTGTGTTTGTCGATTTCGTGCTGAAACCATTCGTGGGAAGTCTGGAATGGCCCCTCTGAACAATGCTCGAACGAGCAAACGTAGGTCTGGAGGTCGCGATATACGTGGTGTCTAAACATAGGGTTAGTTTTACCCTCCGCCCTCTGACCGGTTACAAAAGGTTCCAGAGACCCACTTCCAATGGTATCGATTCTTGATGATTTGAATTGTGCGACAATAAGGGCATTCCACGGGTTCACCGTAACGGAGCTGTCGTCCGTCCAGCCACATGTCTGTCAGCTGTGGGATAATCCGGCCTGAGTAAGTCTCTCCAACAGCTGTTTGGGCGAAGGACGTGGCCACAGTGTATATACTTTCCTCTCGAGAAGAGCCCGAAACAGGTTGTTTGATGCTGTCGGATACAGCAATGGTGTCATGGAAAGAAGTCGCTTTTGTCGTAGCTCGTTCAGCAAGCTCGTCTGGTATGGGGGTGTCGTCAACACGAGCCAGCTTCGTACGATGGTTCTGTCGATATCGAATATATTCCATTTGGCGAGCAGTTCGTTGCCCTATCCTTTCTGCTAACCAGGGATGCTGCTTGAGTTTCGGAAACTTGTCCTTTGCATTGGTGACGAAGGGCCCGGGATCCGACTGCGAGCTTTGGGGCCCCTGCTGCGAAGTGCGTCCACGAGGATGACTTCGACGAAGCAGTGTAGAGAGAGTAAACAGATACGTGATGCATGATTGAATGTTGCTGAATAATTCGTTGATTTCCGTGGTGAAGCCGTGATCCCTTTCATCAATACTTCTAACCACGGTTCCCACCGAGTACTTGATGATTTCTTCAGTAGTAGCTGGGCTGGTTGTCCTGTTAGGTATGTTACCCAGCGCGATCTCGTTAGCTGAAGAAAGCTGGTTAGCATTGGAAACAAGCACATGCCGATAGGGCTCTAGATCCAACCTCTCTTCAGAGCAACCTCCAGACGTTGAAGACCCGAGACCACGTTGGTTCTCATGCGCTCAGCTTTCTTCAGTCTCGAGTCAAGCGAGCTTGAAGACTGTGGACTCTGCAGGGCGCCAATGTTCAAGGCCCATACGTTGAAGCGGCCAGCCTGGTCAGTTGCCTCGGGCTCCAAGCCATGGTACTCGTTTGATGGGAGAAGGAGGTCTTGACACAGTTTGGAAAAAGCGGCGTGGCAGCTATGAGCAAGCGAAGATATCGTCAAAAGGGGGGGAGCCGGAGGCTCGTTCCCATCTCGGTTGTCCATTGCAGACCGCGCTTGCTAGAGTTTCTCGGTAGTACCTGAGATTGGGATGGGAGAACAGCTCATGAGGTGAGAGAGAAGATTGTGCATGAGCCGAGAGAATAGATTGAGTGATCCCAGAAGGAGCAATGGAATACGGTCGAGGCTACGTAGGTATGTAGTACTACCTAGCCAGGAACGGCCCCTCCTCTCGCTTGCCTCAGCCTGCAGCCATTTGGACCAATGGGGCAGGTCAGCTCATGCAGCCGGATAGGATGAGTAGCTCAGCCCATCACCAACCCCGTGGTCGCCGAGCCTGATTACCCCGCTGACAGTCGTGAAATTCTCAGTCGTAGCCGTCTCTACCACTTCATCGCTCATTCCCGGGTGCTTTTGTCATAATTCTAGTCTTGGGGGGGACAGCATGTCGGGACTCGAGATCGCCGGCGTCGTCCTCGGGGCCTTTCCCGTCCTCTGTGACACGGCCAAGGATCTCGGGACGGTGTTCAACAAGACAAAATCATGGTGGCAGTTTGAGACGTCCTTTGAGAACTTTGTCTCGACGATAGCCACCCAGGAGATTGCCTACATACAAGTCCTGGAGCGCTTGCTCGATCCCTTGGACATCACGGACGGAGATTATGACGGCCTACTGAGGAACCCGAGGTCGACCCTTTGGCACGAACCGCACATCCAAGAGGAGCTGCGGCACCGCCTGCCACAGAACAAGTTCACATGGTTCATGTGCAATCTGTCGGAGCTCAACACGGCAATCGAAGGACTGCAGAACCTGCTTCCTATTGACAAGGCAAGACCATGTTGCATTGCAGCCTTTGCCTGACAACTAATCCATGATCCAGTCCCCAAAACTGACCGAGTGCACAGGTCTACTACCTGGATTCTACTAATCTCGAAAGCGAGCTGTATCGTTTGCAGACGAGCTTCAGTAGCGAAAAGGACCGCCTTCTGAAGCGTATCACGAACATCAACGACGACCTGCACCAATTCTTCGACAGAGCTTCAACAGTGACCAGACCCCCCGCTACGAAGCCGACGATCCCGTTCCGCGACCTGCATAACCAGGCCGTCACATTTTACGAATGCCTGGCCCGCTGTTGGAAATGCTGCTGCTCGGCTGCGCACACAGTCGGCATCGCGACTCATCCAGCGATTCAAAAGCCGCCTCGGGCGGCCGAACGCGGATACTTCAATGTCCTTTTCGAAGCCGAAGCTAATCCCAAGCAACTACGACTGCAGGTCGAGACAGTTACAATTGTCGACTGTATGGCAGCCCTCGACCCTGCGCCGGCTGCACCAACCATCAAGACTGACGCGGCCATTGAACTGAAGAGTCAGATGCTCGTCAAGAGCCAACTCAAGTCGGCCTCGAGCGCAGCAAGCGAAAACAGTATTGCCACTCTAGCGCTCACATCCTTGTCGATATCGGTACAGGCACGCAAGACGCCGCCAAAGTCCATACTCAAGAGCGCGGCGAACAAGTTGAGAAAGCTTCAACATCGGAAAAGTCCCGACAGCTCCCAGGGGCTCAAGACCTCGACCGAGCCAGCGTCGCTCTCCAGTCTCAGTACGACTAGCTTGTCAACCAGTACCACCACACTCACCAGTGGCTCGAGTCTAAAAGAACCCCAACAGAAGTGAGTTCAAACCACTTTCTCCCTTTCCCCTTGACGATTGAGGTTGACCGTCGTCTAGAAACGGATTATCGCGTTCTCAAAGTGACGACTCGTCCACGACGGTACGATTCGTCGACGCAGAAACCCCGCCATCTTCGGCGCAGACAGACGAAGGTCGAAATAGAGAGGTCAAGAGCCTCTGCGACTTCGTGACGGGTGCCGACACTCCCCAATGTGACAAAGGTAACACGCTATCGCTCGACGAGGGCCGGCGGGTGATACTGGAACCCGAGCCATTGGATCAGAGCACCCTCAAGGCGGCGACTACGCAATCCATCGACCATTTCCTCCAGACTACCAAGGCGAGACACAGCCGTCTCTCCGTCGGCCTCAGCTTCGCTCTCACCCTTCTCTGCCTGGCCACGTCGTCGTGGATACCGACGCAGCCGTCCAAGGACGATGTTTTTCTCGTCTGCTGCGAGTCGAGCGGCAAGATGCCGAAGCGGCTGGGGCCCTACTTCTCGCGGACCTCGCGCGACATATGCTCGTCGCCGCCGTCCGGCTCCAAGGACAGCGGCCGGGTGTGGGACGCCAAGGCGTCGCTCCTCCTCCTCGGCGTCGTGCTCCTCGAGCTCTTTCACGGCCAGACGCTCGAGCAGCAGTCGTCCTGGGCCGAGTCGCTCGGCGACGACGGCCAGCCGAACGAGAGCACGAGGCTCTGCGGCGCGTTCCTGTGGGCGTGCAGGGCCGAGGAGTCGCTCAAGGGGCACTTTGGCAGAGAGCTCGGCGGGGCGCTGTCCGAGGCGATCCGCAAGTGCATCTGCTTCGACTTTGGCCGGGACGACGACCGCGGCGACCTGCGACTCGCCGAGGTGGTGTACAGAGAGGTCGTGGTGCCGCTGGAGAGGTGTTGCCCGCAAATGTGAGCGGCCGACGAGGATGATGTAGGCGGGGAGGGGGCAAACAACTCTTGCTATGAACAAGGGCACCCACCGTATAGCCGACACTGCCCCATGTAGTAGCCTCATACATACTCTATACAACATGCATGCACGACTGTCATCGGAAATGGGAGGAATTGCAAGTAGTCAGTCAGTCCCATGTACTCCGTATTGGCCGTAGACACAAAGGGCCACCCGCGTACCATGTGTTCTGCTATGTTGTTTAAGACGTATAATGGCATGAGTCTAGGTGGTTGGCACTTCGTGTCAGCGGCACCCATCGAAGCATGGTAGCCATTGGGCAAGATTACGAGTTCAAAAGACACACGAGCAGCGACGGTGGCACCAACACATGGATGATGGATCATATACAGAGCTATATATCTACGCGAAAGACTCCGAGGATCCTGTATCCGGTATGTTTTTTGTCCATAAAAAAAAGTCGTCTTCAAATTCTCCATTACCCTTTGATCATCTGTAATTCGTACATGACATATAAGCTAGATACCCAGACATAACACGATGCGCGTTTACAGACGAGAGCCGTGGACGACCTTGACGTCGACGACGAGCTCGCGGCCGCTGTCCTGAAGGACAAGGGCGCGAACGCTGCCGCGGCCGGACTCGAAGGCATTGGTGAGGCGGGTCCAGAGGTTGGACTGGTCAATGACGGGCAGGCCCTGCTTGACGTCGCCGGTCTCGGTCATGGCGGTGACGTGGCCGTCAGAGACGTCGAGGACGCGGTACTGCTTGAAGATGGGGCCGAGCATGGTCTGGACGACGACGCTGGGGGCGGGGTTGGCGATGAAGGAGGACTCCTCGTGGAGCTGCTTGGTGAAGAGGTCGACACCGAGGTAGCGGTACTGGCCGGTGGCAGCCGAAGTGGAGATCTTGATGACCTGGCAGGGGCGGCCCTGGAGCATCAAGAAGTCGCCGAGGCGGATGTGGTGGCAGGGGATGGTGACGGTGTTGGGGAGGAGGGGGGGACCGCCGGCGGCGGCGGGGGCCGGAGAAGCGGAGCGGCGGGAGACGGAGGAGCGCATCTCGGCAACCTCGTAGCGATCAGGGCCTTTATGAGGATGAGCAATCTTGTCAGCCAGCTTGTGCAGGCCTTGGCGGAAAGAGTGATAGTGGCCTGGCGGTGCGAACACCTTTCAGTCTCGGTCCACATGAAATGGGGGGAGCGAACTGCGCAACCGAAACACAAAACGAGCCAAAGCAAAGCACCGCACTGGGGGGGGGGGGGGGGGAGTGAGTACTCGGGGGGCGGGGGATGAAAGCTTACCCTCTTCGTCGTAGTAACCCATCTTGGACTTGTGTTGGGGGCGGGAGACGTGAGCGGTCTCGACGGTCTCTTCGGTAACCTTTACGGTTTCCTGGTACTGAGGGCGAGGGCGCTCAGAGTGGGATTCGACGGTGTACTCGTCGACGTGAGAGTGGTGAGAGTGACCCGCGTGGTGAGAGTGACCCGAGTGGTGAGAGCGGGCAGGAAAGTGCTCGACGGTGACTTCCTCGCGGTGGTAGGTAGGCTGGAAGCGTTTGCGGTACTGGCGTTCGATCTTATCAATCGGGTTTACCAGGTGCTCGTGGTGGCGGGTGTCAACCTCAACACGAGTGTCGTTGTGGATATGAGTGTCGTGGAACTCTTGAGTAACGTGCTGGACAGGAGGGGCAGGGCTGGACAGGAAGAAAAGAAGAGAGAGGTCAGTCGATGTTTTGATGATGGGGGAGCTCGACGGGGAAGCTTTTTCGCTCCGGGAGACATATTTGATGTGACATGCGGTTACTTGGCCAACTAGGGACTAGGGTGCCGGGGGAGGGAGACGTCCAGGGTCCATGACTGGCGGCTCGTAAAGGACAAGGAGGGAAATTTGGTGAAAGACCGGGGCGTGAGCTGAGGCGGTCCCGAGGCCGGGGGTAGGGGAGGGGGTAGGGGAGGGGAGGGAAGAAGCGAGGTGTGAGAGACAGACAGGTTGCCAAGGGGAGGCGGAGGATGGGGTGAGGAGGACGAGGAGGAGAAGGCGGTGACGCGTGTAGGTGTGTGTGTGTTGTTTGTTTTGGGGCTGCATGGGGAGGGGGCTGGGGGGCTGGCTGGACGAATCGATGGATGTCGTACCAATACCGTAGCCGCCATTGCTGCCCATCGAGCAAGCAGCACACACGGCTGACGGGGGGGGAAGGACACACAAAAGTATCTGATGATTCCCGGCCACCCCATTAGGGAAAGAGAGAAGAAATAAATGACAGGACAGACAGAGAGAGAGAGGGGGGGGGTGACAGAAGACGCAGAGGAAAAGAGGTCGACATACCGGTACTCCTCACGGTAGTGGTGGGACTCGTGGTGGACACCGGGACGGTGGTAATGTTCTTCGATACGGACCTCTTCTTCGCTGAAGCGCTGTTCTTTCCGAGGAGGAAGCTGCTGTTCGGCGGCGGTGGCAGTGAAGGAAGAGTATTGACCTTCCCGTCCGGGCTTGAGAGGCTTCTTCTCGGGGAGCTTGATCTCAAGCTGCTCGTGAGTCTGGGTGACGGTCTGGGTCTGGGTTTGTGTCTCACTCTCCTTGTAGGTGGAGGGAAAGACGCTAAAGGGGACGGGGATGCGGGCTTCAAAATCCAGATTGGCGGCCTAGGGGCGCAGAGAGGAGAATCTTCTAAGCGTTCCCGGAGTGAGGAAGGCAAAGAAGAGTATCCTCTTGCTTCGTTTTCCTAAAAAAACAAAGGGGAAGGGAAAGGTGGAAGAAGCCGGTCGTTCGAGTGACGCGCGCTTCTTGTGCTTTTCTCTTCTCTTTTGGATTTTGGAGGAAAGGGGGCTTGTGCCGACAAGAGGGGATTGCGAGATGGGCAGAAAGGGCGGTTTGAAGCTTTGAAGATGGATGGGGGAGGAGGGAAGAAGGAGGGAGAAGAGGGTCGGTCAAGATGTGCGATGCGGATTGGGTTTTGAAGACGGGGGGGCTGGGGAGGAGAGCACCGATGGTTGGACGGAGCAGTAGGCCAGAAGCAGGTGAGCAGCGGTGATATGCAGAAAGACGAGGGTAGCCAGGGTTGCCGGGGCAAAGGACTAGGCTGGGCTGGGTGAATGCTGTGTGTCTGGAGTTTCTGCGTGCATGTGGGACTAGAACTGGGATAGGCGGATGGATGGATGGATGGATGGACGGCTACGAGTGGATGCCGAGGCCGTCAGGGACTTGGGACTCGAGCGGATTGTCTCGTCTTGTTTTTGGCGTGAGATATCGAGATGAGATGGGGGAGGGTCTGGCTTGTCTTGTCTCGGTGGGGTGATGCGAAGGACAGATTGTGCGAGCAGAGAGGGTACGGATACCGAGAGCACTGTACGGATACTAGTTAGTGTGTATCGTAAAAACAAGCTGGGTCAGAGAAAGCTGCCGAAGCGAGCGTGTGTTGGGTGGGAATGTTTACATTGGCTCGAGCAGCTGTGGATGGATGTTGCATTGTTTATTGCGTCCTGAACAGGATTGGTCTGGGGATTGGGAGGAGAGGGTGGAGATTTGACATGGGATGGCAAGGAACGCAGCTCCAAGCTCCATCCGAGCTTTGATACCGGAGAGAGGAAGAGAGAGAAAAAACCTTGAACTGCGGGATGGAAGTGTGAAGGCCTTGCATCTGAGGTCTCCACGGGCTTGCCAAGTCAGGCACCTTTTTTTTTTTTTCCTTTTTTTTTTTCTCCCTCTGGCGCGGCAGGTATAGTAGGCAGTAGCTTCTTTCCGTCCGTCCCCCCTCTTGATGTAACCTGGGAAGGTACGAGTAATACATCGTACTATGCACTTACCTGACTGGACTGAACTGTCTAGGAACCTGGCTGGGGTGGGGCCTGGCAGAATGTGAACGTGAGCATTGGCGGTACGTACCTCTCTCTTCCTCCATTTCTTCCTGCCCTCCAACCTCGAATACACATACATACACATACGTAGTACATAGTAGATACAGCACAGCGCCTAGCGACACCAATTGACAGCTCGACAACAGAGATACGTCGCCAATTGGCCCAATGGGTCGTCTTTACCTCGAGATTCAGCTAGCCAAGTCAGTCACAGTGAACCTGGCTGTCTCTCAACGCGTGCAGCATAGCTGTCAGTTTGGCGGGAGGCGCAACGATGGGCTGCCCTAGAGCTTTCTGGTGCGGGTAGCGGACACTAAACCAAGGTACAGACAGGTAAGGTACGAATGGTGAACAAAGCTCGGGCACGCATGCACGCACACACACCTCGGGTACATTTGGCGTTGCGCACTATTTTAGGCACCTTGCGGCGCACCGGGCAATGCCGGCTAGCTAGCCATGCCATGCCATGCCATGCCATGCCGCCATCCCACCTCCAACTCCCAAGTCCACAGTGGGCCGTTCAGCACAGCTTGACCACGAATTGATAGACCGACTGACCGACCGACCGACCATCAGCCCGACCTTCGCTCTGCCTTGTTTATGTTCTTCCCTCCATCCTAGATTGCACCCGTTGTGGTCCATGAGAAGCTGAGAACCTTCCATCGACGTCGCCGGGCTGGTCCTGACAGACCCATAACGCCCAACGAACGGAAGAGGACCAATTTCCTGTCCTACGGCCTCGGCCAGTCAGATGCCGTGACAGATGCCATAAGCTCTAGCTTCCCCCAATCAACCCACTGTCGCTTGTCTTCCCTTTTGGCTGGCACCTCGACCACGAGGCGAAGAACAGACACTAACTAGCGAAACCGCCACGGACTGGCGCTGGCGTCTCTTGCCGCACTGCTGACGGCTGTCGTGGATTGCCTACCTACTGAAACTTGTCTGAATCGACTGATCGCATTGCGACCTTACGAATACCTTCTGTGATTACGTGTCGCAGACCCCGTCCGTCACATTTGGCAACTTGACTTGTCAACCCGCCCGTCGCAACCAACAAACACGACCTGGGGTGGCTGGGTACGACGATCTTCGTTTTGTCCACGGCCCAAATGCCCGCTATCGACTGTCTGCATGGCCCGGATAACCTGGCTGTGATAGCCCCGACACCCAATTGGCCAGTCTCGGAGTTTCCCCAACCACCCTTCAGCTCCCATCGCTTTGCCGACCCGGCGCCTGCTGCTGAGGCCCTGGCGAGAACCACCAATTGACCGCTTCTCGCACCTGTACGGGCATCGAACAATGGGTCAATTACATCGTGGAATCCCTCCATTGGACTGTCCGTCTGCAACCGCCGCACAACTCATGCAAGTTGACGGTCGCACATGCAAAACGAGGCTGGCTGGCTGGGCTGGCTGGCGTCTTGCTTCTTTTCCCAGTAACGATTGGGGGGCCCAGCGACGTGGCCAAGGCGAAGTACCCTACCACCTAGCCCACCTTACCCTGACTTAGGTGCCTGGCGGATCCCGCCCGCAGCGCCCGGATGGGGTCCTTGTCAAACCATATCCGTCCATCGATGGATCCATCCAGAGTCATGATGGAGCAACGTCTCCGACCCAGGTTTGCCCTCGCTCGAGGAGAATCTGGTACGAAGGAGGCTGGAGTTGTAGATAACCGCCAACCTCCCAGCTCTGGGTTGTCCCGGACTCCCGATTGAATCTTGCTTTCTCTTGACGCCTCTCACTGGCACCAAACCAGGCGAACCGGTCGGGCACGGAGCTCCCTTGGAGGGGCCCTGGTTGCCGTGACAACCAACGACAGGACCCTGGTTCTCGCTCTAACCGCATAGGGAAAGCGCCTTTTCGGTCCGGCAATGTCGCTTTTCGTCGCCGGCGATATCGCGGAAGGGATGAGGGTTTGGTTGTGTTGTGTTGACGGATCACATGAAAGCTTCCCTGGCCCTCAGTTTTGTTGCCGCGCCGCTGCCCGCTGTCTGTTGTCGGTTCAATGTGCACAAATGGCAATTTGCAGAGAGGTTTGTTTCGGACTCCAACAAGCAAAAAGGAAAACTAGGGACCCATTGTATTGCAATTCGAAACGGCGGGTGGACATTCGGATATGCCAGGTCAACTATTTACACCGGCAAGCGCAAAGCCTTGCCTAGTCATCGACTATCGGGTTTCGTTTTCCCTGGCCCGCGCAATCCACTAGGGTCAATTCGGGCAAAGGTGGAAAGCCTCTCTGAGCGACCGCCGAACCACCCATTCCGATTTGGAAGAACTCCATGGCGAAACCTTAATGGCCATATATTGAGCCAGCTGAAAGGGCTGGAGGTCTGCTGATCAGTCAGATGACATGGCGATAGACGGATCGTCCTAGACTTGAAGGAAGTGCGCCGTCGTTCGGTGTCATCGCACGGAATGCAGCAATAGACAGGTTTTGACAGCTCGCCTGTCGATCAAGATGCTTGCCACTCAAGTCAACGTCGCAGTTGACTCTGAAGACTGATGAAGACAATTGTATGCATTTTGGCTTTGATTTGATACGAACTGTTGACCTGATGCCTCGTCTACGTAGTTGATGGAACCGGTATTCCGACAGCATTAGATTAGTCGGTTGACATCTTTACTTGGCTACTCGTAGTATGGCGCCATGAAGAGCCAAACGGGCAGGCCCGGCCCGAGTTCTTATTTCTCTTTTTCTTTGATTTGGGAGCTGTCAGTCTTGGGGGTGGCGTTTGAAGCTCACTACGAAGAGACATCGAAGGTCTTTGATGAAGCTCAAAATGTGGCGTTACAAGTTTGGCGATGCGTCATCGCCGAACGCCCAGGAGCCAGACTTGAGCAAGCATTGCAACGATTGTCTATCACCCAATTCAGCCATTTTAGGAGTATAAATTTTCGTAAGTCTCTCATCTCGACAGACTCATCCTAAAGTTGAAACATATTCGCTTGCCAACAACATCTTGCTGAGGTGACAAAGACAAGCTCAACGGCAGAGAACCGCGCACGTGACGTCATCGTGGCGCACCCATATTTCTAAAGCTCTTCAGCCACGAGTGCCCCGCCATTATTCACTCGCATCACAGATTCTGTGCCCCTCAGTTGATTCATTCCCATTACGAAAAGCCGCCACGAGATACCCGGCGCAGAACTGCCACACACGTAGCCTACCTTACACAGCTCAAGAAAGTCGCCAGAGAAGCAATGAAGCAGCGATTCTCCTCCATCGACGTCAAGGTCATCGCCCACGAGCTCCAAGAGAGCCTCACCACCTTGCGACTGGCCAACGTCTACGACCTCTCGTCCAAGATCCTGCTGTTCAAGTTTGCGAAACCCGACAACAAGAAGCAGCTCATCATCGACTCTGGCTTCCGATGCCACCTCACAGACTTCACGCGTACCACAGCCGCGGCGCCCTCCGCCTTTGTCGCACGGCTGCGCAAGTATCTGAAGACGAGACGTCTGACGTCAGTCAAACAGATCGGAACCGATAGAATTTTGGAGTTTCAGTTCAGCGACGGCCAGTACCGACTCTTCCTCGAGTTTTTTGCTGTAAGTACCTATTATTCGTACCGGAGTCGCCGGGACACGTTAATGACCTTGCCTCTTTGCAGAGCGGAAACGTCATCTTGACCGATGCCGATCTCAAGATTCTTACACTATTGCGAAATGTTCCCGAAGGCGAAGGACAGGAGCCTCAGAGAGTGGGACTGAACTACTCCCTCGATAACCGACAAAACTACAAAGGCGTTCCGGACTTGACCAAGGAGAGAGTGAGGGCTGCGCTAGAATCGTCCGTCAAGAAGAGCGCGGCAACTGCGACGGCAGGCAAGAAAATCAAGGTGAAGCCAGGCGACGAACTGAGGCGCAGTCTGGCGACGACCATCACCGAGCTTCCCCCGATCCTGGTGGACCATTCGTTCCAGATCACCGGTTTCGACGGCAAGACAAAGCCCGCCGAGATTCTCGAGAACGACTCATTGTTGGATGCGCTGTTGAAGGCCTTGACTCAGGCACGAAGCATCGTGGAGGACGCGACCAGCTCGGCGACAGCCAAGGGATACATCTTTGCAAAGTACCGATCAAAGGCCGACGCCGCGTCAGACGCCGCGCCGGCAGCCGAGGGAGAGGAAACAAAGAGGTCGGATCTCCTCTACGACGACTTCCACCCCTTCTTGCCCAAAAAGTTTGCCGACGACCCCACGGTTAAGGTTATCGAGTTCGATGGCTACAACAAGACCGTAGACGAGTTCTTCTCGTCTCTGGAGGGTCAAAAGCTTGAGTCAAAATTGACGGAACGAGAAGCAGCGGCGCGGAGGAAGCTTGATGCCGCCCGATCTGACCAGGAGAAGCGGATCGAAGGTCTCCGCGGGGCACAATCCATCAACGTCCAAAAGGCGACAGCCATCGAGGCGAATGTGGAGCGCGTCCAGGAGGCAATGGACGCCGTGAACGGTCTCCTCCAGCAGGGCATGGACTGGGTCGACATCAGCAAGCTCATCGAGCGCGAGCAGAAGCGCCACAACCCAGTTGCGGAGATCATCAAGCTGCCGCTAAACCTCGCCGAGAACACAATCACCCTGTTGTTGGGCGAGGAGGAAGATATCGAAGACGATGAATCCAACTACGAGACGGACTCGGACGCCTCTGACAGCGAGGACGAGGACAACGGCAACAGCAATAAGCAGAAATCGGGCAAGCGGCTGGAGGTCGACGTCAACATCGCCTTGTCGCCCTGGGCGAACTCGAGAGAATACCACGAGCAGAAACGGAGCGCCGCGAAGAAGGAGGAAAAGACGGTCCAGCAGTCCGTGATAGCGCTGAAGAACGCCGAGCAGAAGATCCAGGCGGAACTGAAGAAGGGTCTGAAGACGGAGAAGGCCGTTCTGCAGCCTATCCGTAAGCAGATCTGGTTCGAGAAGTTCATCTGGTTCGTCTCATCCGACGGGTACCTGGTGCTGGGCGGCAAGGATGCGCAGCAGAACGAGATGCTGTACAAGCGATACCTTCGCAAAGGAGATGTCTACGTCCATGCCGACATGCACGGTGCCGCGACTGTCATCATCAAGAACAGCCCGAGCACCCCCGATGCGCCGATCCCACCCTCGACGCTCGCTCAGGCTGGGACCCTGGCTGTGTGCAGCTCGAGCGCCTGGGACTCCAAGGCCGGTATGGGCGCCTGGTGGGTGAACGCCGACCAGGTTTCCAAGTCTGCGCCTACAGGAGAGTATCTTCCCACGGGAAGCTTCATGGTCCGCGGCCAGAAGAACTTTCTGCCTCCGGCCCAGCTGCTTCTCGGCATCGGAATCATGTTCAAGATCAGCGAGGAGAGCAAGGCCAGGCATGTGAAGCACAGGCTGTACGACGACGCTGGCCTTCAGGTTTCGGCTGACGACAAGGGTCCCGGGGAGCCTGCGGCGGATGCTGCTGAGACCAGGGATGAAGACTCGGATGATGCGTCGGACATTGGCTCGGAAAACGACGAAGACGAAAAGCCTCGAGGAAACCCCCTCCAGAACGTTGAGGCAGACGAGCAAGATGATTCAGAAGAGCATCTTGCTTCCGGAGAGTCCCCTGCCGAGGAAATGGACAAGCTCAACCTTGAAGAGAAAAAGACGAACGAGAACTCTGCCGACGAGGGGGACGAGCCAGCCGAGGGAGAGGAAGAAGAGAAGGAAGACGAGGACAGCGACCAGGCAGCCACGGGGCAGACATCGTCGCCAGCAGAGCGCACCGGTGCGGCGCCAAGCTCCAAGGCCAGCGAAGCAGCAAAGGAGAAGCAGAGACCGGCCAAGCGAGGTCAAAAGGGCAAGGCCAAGAAGATCGCCGCCAAGTACAAAGACCAAGACGAAGAGGACAGGGAGGCGGCGGAGATGCTGTACGGCTCCGCCCGCGGCAAGAACAGAGCGGAAGCGGAGGCGAAAAGCAAGGCGGAGCGAGAGGCTCAGCTCGCCTTCCAGAAGGAACGGCGGCGGGCGCAGCACGAACGGCAGCAAAAGGAGACGGCCGAGCACGAGGAGATCCGCCGCCTGATGAACGAGGAGGGCGTCGAGGTGCTCGACTCGGAAGAGCTGGGCAAGATGACGCTCCTCGACTCGCTCGTCGGCACGCCGCTCCCCGGCGACGAGGTCCTCGAGGCGATCCCCGTGTGCGCGCCGTGGAACGCCATGGGCAAGTTCAAGTACAAGGCCAAGCTGCAGCCGGGCGCGGTCAAGAAGGGCAAGGCGGTCAAGGAGGTGTTTGAGCGGTGGAAGTCGGACTCGTCCAGGAAGGGGGCGCTCGACGAGCGCTCGCAGGACACGGAAAAGATGTGGCCGCGGGAGGTTGAGCTGATCAAGGGCCTCAAGGCCGAGGAGTCCATCAACGTCGTGCCGGTCGGCAAGGTCAGGGTCATGATGTCTGGCGGGAGCGGCGGCGCCGGTGGCGCCAAGGGACAGCAGCAGGGCAAAGGCGGGCGTGGCGGACGCGGATCCAAGAAGAAATAAGGACGGGTTAGATAGAGGCCGAAGCGATGGGATCTAGCGATACATCAAGTCTATAAAGAACAGCGTCCTAGGCGCGCGCACGCACTAGCGATTCTTGGAACACGCTCCCCTCTCCATCCGTACCAAGCAGACAAGACCAGGAACCCAACCCCCACCCGCACAGTATTTGTCCGCCCCCTCAACGCTTCCTGTTCGCGACCTCGAAAGCCCTCAACACGTCCAGCCTTTGGGCGTCCGAGGTCCACTCGAAGACGACGCGGCCGCACCGGCCGGCGCGCACCTCCTCCTCCGTGGCCCAGACGAACGCGTCGTGCTCCTCGGGGTCGACGACCACCTCGGCGGCGGCCCCCTCCTCGCCCGCCGCGGCCTCGACCTCGACGAGGTAGGTGTACTTGCGCCACGTGTCGCGGCCTGCGGCGGCGCCTGCTGCTTCTGCTGCCATCGTGTCGGCTTCTTTTGTGTTGGCTGCCGCGGACGAGGCCTCCACGACACCCACGCCCACGCCGCCGTCTGCCAGGCCCCAGCCCTGGTCGCCCGGGACGGCCGTCGCGGGGACGCCGGGCCCGGCGCCTTCCCACTGGTAGCAGCCGACCAGGGCGACGAAGCGGGCGGCGCGCAGCCCCGTCTCCTCCCACAGCTCGCGGGCGGCGGCGGCGAGGGCGTCGCGGTCCGGGGGGTCGGCGCCGCCGCCGGGGAGCTCCCAGCGGTGCGGGAGGGCCTTTTCGCGGGCGGAGCGGCGGAGGAGGAGGATCCTGGGGGTGGCGGCGGCGCCCCCTGCGGAGGTTGAGGGTGCGGCCGGGGCCGGGGCGAGGACGGCGGCGCTGACGCAGAGGCGGTGGGTGTGGTGGGGCGAGGAGGACGGGCGGTAGGGGTGGAAGCGGAGGGTGTAGGGGAGGACGGCGGGGGCCGTGGTGTAGGACAGGGGAGGGGACGGCGGTGCGGGCGGCATATTTGGGGGGGGGGGGGGGGGGTTTCTGGAAATTGTGTTTGGTTGCGGTTGGTGTCGGAGAAGGAATCAGGATAACGTTGTGAAAGTCGGCGGTTGTGCTGGGATTTATTTATACAGGGCGGGTGCCTGGTTCACCTGGCTATTGGTGGCTTGCCGGATGCCCACTAGTAGCGTTTCTGTTTTGGATGCCTGGAGGTCGGACGTCAGACTCGGCGGGATTGGGCCGCTTCCGAACGCGGGTGCGGGGGTGACATCGGGAATTTGTGGAGCCGGGCTGTCGGGCGGAGTGCGGGGACGCCCGCGGCCGATTTTGGCAGGAGCCCGGAGCGCCTCCGGAGCGACGCGCCGGTGTGTCCGACGGCGGTTCGTGCGTTTCGTCTTTCGCTGGGGAGGTTGCAGGTTTCTTCGCAACGCAGAAATGACGAGTTTGATATGGAATGAATAGGTATGGACCAATGCGCCCTATATTGGTTGTGCCACTGTTGGAGACAGGAGGCGGACGATGAGCTTTCTGCCTTGTAATATGGCTGGGTTTGGACAAGCCTTGACGAGACGTATTTTACAATTGAAGGACAGGAGTACGCATACATATAAATATATATAGAGGCATTTATGCAGTGTGTCTTTGAGAAGCAATGCGTTCGGAACAAGCCTCGTCGCTCATGCCGATTGTAAAGCCGTTTACTCGCCTTGGCCCGGGCGGTCCTCCAGAATCTCAGAACTCTCTGCAGAGCTGGCAAAGACATTCCAACAGTCCTCCCGCTCGCCAGCAGAATGGGCCCGATCACGAACCTCGTCCCCCGCCGCGTCCCTGCGCGCGTACCTGTACGACACCCGATACCCGCGGTCGGTCGCGCGCGAGCGGACCGAGACCTTCTCGAACGCGTCGACGTAGCGGTACCTGTAGTCTTGCTCGCCGTCGTACGTGTAGGTCGCCTCGCGCTCGAACCTGTCGCCGTCCTTGAGCTCGAAGACGTACCCGCGGTCGTCTTTGTGGATGTACACGTAGTCGGGCACGTCTTCGTCTTCGTCGCCGGCATCCGTTTCGTCCGGTGTCGCCTCGCTATCTGTACTGTCTGTACCATCCGTAGGACCCTCGCTATTCTCGTCGTGCTCATTTCCGTCCTCGTCCTCCTGCTCCAAGTCGATATCATCCAAATCGGCATCGTTTAAATCGACATCATCCAAGTCAGCATCGTTTAAATCCTCATCGTCCCAATCCCAATCCTCTTCGCCGTCTTCGTCATCTTGGTGGTTTTCCGGATTGACCAACACGTCCATGAGGTCGATCACCCAGCTGATGGACCGGTATCGGAACAAATAATGAACACCCAAAACACAAACCGTGAACGGTAAGCGACGGAGTTTGTGAGGAAGCCAGTCCAGGAACTTCATTCCAGCCTGGCTGTACCAGCATTGAAGAGAGCCCGACGCGTCAGAGACCAGCTCGAATGCAATGATGGCCGACAACCGCGCCAGAAGCGCCCACAAGAGGAAGCGGGCTCGGTACGTCCAGATTCTGCGGGCTGTAAGCTCCGCTTCGGGGGCTTCATCGCCGTCGTCCTCAGCTTGGTTCAGATGTTCGAGAAACGTGGCGTTAAACCTGCCAAAGAGGAAAATCAGGGTCGCGTAGTGGCTGCAAGTCGTGTACAGCGAGAACGGCTCGGCCGACCTGCAGAGAAACGCAGGGTTCACCCGTGCGAGCGTGTGCCACCAGGACATGCCGCGGTAGTCGTCCAGGGCGCCGATGACGAGCGAAGCGACGGATGAAAGAGCGCCCCAGGCGGCAACGTAGCGCGGGTCCGGTACCGCCTGCCCCGGCGACCGCCAGAAGTGCAGCGGGAAGACGAGCAACGCGAGCGCCAGCTCGACGGCGAAATCGGCGCTCGATTGCAGGGCGGCGAGGCCGAGCTTGATGCCGACGTCGCGCTCTGCGAACAGCGTCAAGGCGAGGGTCCCGAGCAGCCAGCGGCTCTCCAAGCGCTTCCCCTGCCAGGCAAAGAACAGCGCCCTGAGGAGCACATTGCGGAAGAAGAAGCACTCGAAGACGCCGATGATGATCAGCGCGGAGGCAAGGACGGCCGCGTCGTAATAGATCCTCCGCAGCCATGGGGGCAAGGAGTCGATCTCCCGCTGATTGCGGGCTACTATCTTTTCAAAGGGATCAAGATTGTCTTCGTTGTCCATTGGGACGTCCTTGAGTCGTAAGCTGGCGGTTTTTTTTACAATAAATGGAATGCCGATGATGAGCTCTAGTGATCTCTGTCTGCCTAGGAGTCGCGTGCATCATGGTTTTTCCATGCTCGGTCATATAGAACTTGTACCACTTACTTTTGCTACATGACGGGCTACCTTTCTCCGATGTTATTGCGTGTGAAGATGGGAGATGACTTGGGATAGTCCAAGTGTAGGAAACGACCCGGACGGGTGCGCAATGGCCGCAGGAGCTGCAAATTTTGATATCGTGATCCTTGGCTCCGGACAACTCTGTTCGTTAGAGTTGCTGCTATCATTCCACCAGAAGAGACATAGACGAGGGAACAAAGACCCAAAAGAATATCTTGATTGAATTTAATCCACATCAATGATGCACCAGTTGAGAACGATTTCGGACTGATTGTGGTGTCTGGCTCTCTTCTGCATATCGCTTAGACCAACGCTTCCCGTCAATTTGGCATCTCAGTTGAGGGCTAGTCGACGCTCACGCCTGAATGAGCGGTGCGTCGATCGACGGCCTGGAACTTCAAATGAAGGGACAAAGTTGGGTTGATTGATAAAGCGACGGGGCGAATGAGCTTAAAGAAGCTTTCTCCTGAGAGTGTTGCGCCTGCAAAAGAAACCAGCGGGGGTGACGCCGATTCAGGGTGATGCGAACTGTGCCAAGTTGCTTCCAACATCCCGCACGCCAGCCGCTACCTGAGTTTGCATGGGAAACTCGTCCAAGGTTTGTTGGTATCACGACCTCGAGAATAGAGAGGCTGCCCGTTGTCCCAAGGGCGTGGTGGTCATGAGGTATCTGTCCGTGCAGGGAGTTCGTGAGCTGTGTGGGGGTTTTAGAGTCTTTCACTGTAAGGTATCCCCAGGTGTTTGGGGCGTCCCATGAGTGTATCCAGGTGTCTTGTCAGCAAGAGGACTCATGAAAGCCTGTTTATTCAAAGCATCTGAAGCAATTGGATAAAAACCCAGGTTCGAATTCATGTGTCCTGTCTAAACAACACCGAAAGCTATGCTTCTAAAGCAGGAAGTTCTGTCAATCAAGTTTGTCGCCATCGTTGTTCTTGTCTTTGCCCTCGCGACGCGAAACATTGGACATTGAAACCTCGGCGAGACTGAATCCTTCCTTATACTTCGCAAATTCGGAATCCAACCGACACTCGATCATTGTCGATAGGTCCCCATTGCGGTGGTGTTCCCAGGGGTCATAAACATTGGCGCTGAAGCCGCGTACGGTAGTCTCGAGGTCAGTCACTCTATGACCGAGGTATGGCTTACTCAATCCCAGCAGTCCCTCTTTATACATTGCTCTGTCCAGAGCACCCAGATTCAGACAGGTGCACATATGGTTGTATACCTCTGGGCTCGTGCGTAAGGATACAAGCAAGTTGTCGAGAATGTTCAAAATGAACGCGATCGCATCTTGTCTACGCCAGTCGATTATATCTACCACAGTTAGTGACAATTCTACGCAGAAACGCAGATGCTACTCACCGACCACAATCGATGGGATCGAAAGGTCCATGGTAGGCATTGGGCCCTGGCCCTTCAGAATTGCTGTCTTGGTAATATTCGCGAAGACGTCGTCTCTTTGAAAGACATGTGCGATCAGGAGCCATAGCACGAGGTCTCTGGTGCATTCGGAAGGGAGTTGATTCTTCAGCGCATCAATCCACATTGAAGAGAAGACCTCGACGACTTCGTGGCATTTGTAATAGTCAACGAGAACTGCAATCTTGGCTAGCATCTCGCAATCAACGCGGCGGGGAACGCTCCTCGTTCGACCATGAATGATGTTCATCAAAATGAGCAGCGCTTCGAAATCCCAGTCTGACGTCTCCAGATGGTAGCGTCCGTCAGTGGGATCAGGTGCAGCCTCTTTCCAGGTTCCATTGAGTTTCTTGTCGAAGTAATGCGAGGCCAGAATCAGGTGCCGAGATGAGAGGAGGAATTCGATTTCGGACTCTTGGTGGACATTGGTGTTATGAGATAACAGTGCCGGCTCGGCTTCTGAAGGCTCTTCTGGGAGCACCTCATTCGTGCGCTTGCCCTTCTTTGCCTTCTTATCAGTCTTGTCAGCCTTGTCAGTCTTGGACTGCGGGGCCCAGTCAGAGTCTTCCCAAACTGCAAAAGGCGCGTCGGGGTTGCGGAGAACGAGCACAACATCGCCCTCCGGGTCGATGAATTCGGACTCTTGGTGGACATTGGTGTTATGAGATAACAGTGCTGGCTCCTCTGGGATGGTGTGTGCAATTTCGTCAGCCATGGCGGAACGAGAGGATGAAGGGCATGTTGTCTGGTGGAAGCAAGTTTTGTCTCGAGCCTGGTAGCCTTCTCTTTATACCTGCCGGCATGCAGTCCGGTTTTCATGTTGGGACGGCCGGCGGTCAAGATGACCGCAAGGCGGTTTGAGAGACAGGGCATACGTAGAGTTGCAGGATAGGTACGGTCGGCCTCCCGCAGATTCGCGGCCAATCAAAGGCAGTGCGCCCGTTTGCTGCCTATGTTGGCTGGTCGGTTTGACTGCAGCTTGCGCTCCAAATGGTACTAAACGGTCAATGGAGATGAAAGTGTAATGGATAAATGAGAATAACGGCGGCAAGGAACATGCATGGTAAAGTGACATCGCTACAAAGGTGTTCTTTGCTAGCACTGGTCGCAGCGACACGCTGTATATGGGTACTTCATGCAGTCGGGCTCAATTTACACTCGTCTGCAATTGGTCACGTCTGCGGGCACGTTCGTGGTCCCAGACACCCTCGTACTCGTCATCATGGAGAGACAAATGAAGACGAATGTGAGAAGGCCTCCAGATGGACAGAAGCCAGCGGGGCCGCGAAGGCGCAGCCATGGCCGGCGGGCCGGCAGACTCCTCGGAAAGGGCGGGTCTTATTCGGATGAGAGATGCTCTGCGGGCATGCCCTGTATTGGCGTTCCCCACGAATATACAGGTAGGCACGGCTGCCCAAGCTCCGTCACCCTTAGCTGATGCTATGAATAAGCATTTTCGGATTTTCCAGTCAACTGTAAGGGTCCGGGAAGCGGTTACTAAGAACTTGTTTGGATGTCGAGGAACAGGAAGAGCCGGTGATGCCGGAAGTATGAGGAGTTGCGGGATCTTGGAGGGAGGGGGTAGTATGGTTGTTTAGGGAAGAACGCCAGGACAGATCTGAGAGTAGTAGCGCCTCGCTTGCTTGGCTTCGCCGTTCGATACATCAAGATGCGTCCGTCATAATAGGCAGTACTCGGTCATGCTGGGCTGCAGAGTTCCCCGTCTCGGCTTAAGGGCTAGAGTGACATGCTCGTTAGTCGTGCCGGTGTAGCGTTATCCAGAGGAGCTAGTGGCGCATCTAGTGTCCGAGCTTGCACGCCCCGCGGTTCGTCATGATGCCGCGCCCTGTCGCAGTTTTCTCCGAACCTATTGGTACATCATAGCCAAGGGCCGGGCAATGTGGTATTTGATGTCATCTGCGAGCGCACTGCACTGCATGGCTTCGATCCTATGACAGGGGTTTGTTAGTAAGACATACACCACAGAGGAGCTTGCAACAGCTGCACGCTGATATTCAGGCGCTGGCAAGTCTGAAAATAAAAGCTGAGCACCCTCCCCCGAGCCGCCTCCACCATTCAACAATTATCGCAACGCCACGATGGCAGGGCCAACGGAATCTTTGAGACACACTTCGGCCGTAGCAAGCATGGCAGGTGACGCGACGCAGAGAAGGGAAGGGCTTGCGGGTGGCGCAAGTGCGGGTGGCTCCGAGACACTGCCCGCTCGCGGACGTGAGCTCCACGCGCCTCGTGCGATGGGAGGAAATGATGGCATCCCTCGACAGGCCGGGAGCCTGGAAAAGCAACCGGCGACACGTGTCGATCAACCAATCTTGCCGCAAGGTGGCCCAGAAGCTGCCCAGTCTTCGCATCCTACACACAACATGCCCCAGACGATAGAGCGACGAGAACCAGAAATGGGGACAGACGCGGTCGGAACAACAGTCGAGAACAAAAATGTGCCCGCAACTACGTCAAGATTGGACGGTGGCGACTCGCCAGAAAGCAGCGGGACTGCTCCTGAACGACTTGAAGCCGCCAACCTCAACTCGTACGATGCAAACCGAAACCTGTCTCTTGGGTCTTTCGCGGCGGCCCCGTCGCTTCTGACGCACCCCAATGGCGTCCCCATCTTCCCGGGCATGTCTGCCGAGCAGCAAGTGTCGGAATCCACCGAGGCCACGACGCAAGCGGAGGGCTCCATCGAGGCAGACAGCGATGCGCTGGCGTCCATCTTTGATTTTGACGAAGCGAGCTCGTCCGATGGAGGCTACGGAACCGACAGCGCGACGAACGCCAGCACGTCGATCGAGTCGTCGGTCCGAGACTACTTGTACGAGAACGGGCGACGATACCATCGGTTTCGAGAAGGGCGGTACAACTTCCCCAACGACGAGATAGAACAGGAGCGGGAGGACATGAAGCATGCAATGGTGAAGCTGCTGTGCAACCAGAAACTGAACTTTGCGCCGCTGGGCGAATGGCCGCAGCAGATACTGGACATGGGAACTGGGACAGGCGCATGGGCCATTGAGAGTATGTTGCCGAGTCCCGTACGAGAAGGTTTCGTGATGCTGACGAGTGTGCAGTGGGCGACCGGTACCCCAGTGCAACAGTGCTCGGTGTCGACCTCAGTCCAATCCAGCCAGAGTGGGTTCCGCCCAACGTCAAGTTTGAAGTGGACGATGTTGAAAGCCCGTGGTTGTATCCGGCGAACCACTTCGACTACATCCACTCCCGGCACACGGTCATGGCCATCAAGGACTGGGGGGTCCTTTTCCAGCGAGCATTCGAGTAAGTACCTGTTGGGATTCCGAATCGGCGGTCGTGCTGTCTAACGACGTGGGCGGCAGGCATCTCAAAGCTGGTGGCTGGATCGAGCTCCAGGAAATCCACCACTGCCCCATGTCAGCAAGCAACTCGCTTTCGGCGACTCATCCAGTGGCACAGTATTGGGGTAATGTGGTGCGAGGGCTTGCGAACCTTGGTGTCGACCTGAACGCGGTGGCGGGCGAGCGATTGCCCAACCTGATGCGAGAGGCGGGGTTCATCAACGTGACAGAAAGGGTGTTCCACGTGCCGATTGGGACATGGCCGCGGAACAGAGTGCTCAAGACGGTGGGCATGTACTGGAGAACCATCCTCCTCGACGGGCTACAGGCCATCGCCCTCGGGCCCTTCACCAGGGGGCTGCAATGGTCGGCGGAGGAGACGGAGCTGTTCCTCGTCGACGTAAGGAAGGCGTACCACGATACGTCGGCGTTGATGTACATGCCACTGAGAATCACGTACGCGCAGAAGCCGACGAGTGTGTAGGAGGACGGCAAACAACAGATCAGGGTGAGGTATTTCTCAACTGTTCCCTGCAGGCTTCAAGACGACGGCTAAGAGATGCCGGTGACGGTAACGACGATGGCTCTGCAGATGGGTTAGCGATTGTTGTGTGGTTCTTACAGACGTACGTACAGTACAGTACAGTACAGTACAATCTCGGTGACGGACGCTCGCCTTACACGCGGGCAAAAGGGCGGGAAGCGCTCTCTTCGTCAAGGGGAGACTAGTAGTAGACCAGACGGCATCGATGGAAAAGTGCATGGCATTGTGTCCATCGTGATGGGATGTAAGGCTGGTCGGCGCCGGACGGGATTGGGTGAAGCATATTATCGTCAGTATTGGCAGTCAGTTGCATGGGCAGGAGCGATGCAGGGGTTGAATTACCTTTTCTGGTACTGGGATACCCGTACCTCTGGTAAGTACAGTACGTACCTCCCCAGGTACCGGTAGTTTACTACTAGTTTACTACAGGTACTATCAGGGGGGTACCGGTATGTGGGTACCGGGACTACCTAGACGGCCCCTCTATGGATTTCGCTTTAATCACGTAATACTCACAAATGATTGGTTCGTATCCGCGCCATCTCACTAAGTGCCGATGTTCACTCACTGTAACTTAGTACCTGTAACTTAGTAGTAGTACCGAGACAGGTAGGTGGTTTGACATTACACACACTTTACCCATTCTCTCCACTATCCTATCGGGATCCATCAACTTCCACGCTACCCATGTTTTTTGTCGACAACCTACGTGCGTATCGTATCGGACGAGACGAATGCCGAATACCGGTATTACCAAGAGACCAGCATTGCCTGCCTACCCAGCAACAGAACCACGCAGCTGGGCAGGGTACCATTGGCGAATCGATACGACGACTCCTGCAGCCATCCATCGCATTGCGCTTGGTTTCTTTGCCCATTGACAGGCCCCCCCGTCACCTTTTCCAAGCCTTCGGAACTGTCTCCTCCTCGTCCTCGTCCTCCTTCACCAGCGCCGTGGGATTGATGGTCTTACCACCGCTCAGAGCTCCGAATTCTCAAGGGGGAACAAGGGAACAAACGAAGAGCAAGGCACAGACGGCAATCCTAGCCCATGGCGTCGGATGCCAAAGCAAGGACCGCTGCTACGCTAGTCAACGTCGTCGCAACGATCCAGCACTCATCCCAGTTCCGTCATGCCCGCCATCAGGGAGCAGGAAACACTGGCCGCTTGCCTGGGGTTCCATCCCATTCTTAATTATCTACGGAGTATTAAACAGGAACATTACCCCCCTTTCCCAGTCCTTCGGGTCGCTGTGTCTCAGATGCTCCTCGTTCCCCTTTGGAAAATCTCCAATCTGGCACCACCATCATCAGCACCCCGTGCATTCCGCCCTCTGTTTCTTGCTGCGTGACAGCCCGTAACGACCTACCGGGTACGTCAATTAACCCGAGCCCGCGTCCGTGGGAAGTGTCCGTGTTGCAACGGTTCTGCGTGTCGCCGCTGCTGTGTTACATTCTGCCCCGTCGACTCACCATTCGTGTAAACGACGCGACGCTGCGAGCTACTGGGAAACTAAGAAGCATATACCCCGACTTACATGCAAGGTGTGTGATGCCCCGACACCCTCCTCGCCAACCATGCTCCTCCTAGTTGTCCAGGAACGGTTCTCCTTGGTTTTTTACTTTTTGTTTTTCCACGACACGACCGTATACACTACACTTGCTCCACCTCAAACCACGCTGACCTAAGAAGCGCCCAGCTTGACGGCTTGCATGCAATTGAAAGACCAAGCTGCTCCAACTGTCGCAAAGATGGACAAATTCAAGCTCAGCACATGGCTAGGCGTCGGCTCGTCTCTCGGTGCTGTCGAGGCGGAGGAGACGAAGCCAGAGAGCCCCGCCTCATCGCCGTCGAGACTGACGCAACTTGCCAAAAAGATAGCGTCGGAAACTGAAAAGCTCGAAAAGTACATGATGGAAAACAACCTGCCAATGCCCACCTTGGACCCTAGCGGACCCGGCGATTTTCCCAAGCTCCCCGACGACATTCAGAAGAGCCGCATGGAGATTATCTATGCGACTAGAGAGCTTGAGGCTCTGGCCCACGGACCTAGAGAGGATGTCAGATGGAAGACCTGGAGTGTGAGTAACCCTGCGCCCCTTCCTGTATTGCAGACTCTAACCTACGCGCAGTATCAAGACAGTCTCAGTCTTCAACTTGTGAACCACTTTGGCTTGGGTAAGTGGTTATTTGACGTTGGCGAGACTCGGTACTGATGCCAGACAGCGAAGCTTGTGCCCGTTGACGGCACCATCACACTCGCCGAACTCCAGTCCAAGACGTCACTGGATCCTGTCAACGTAGCCCGCGTACTCCGTCATGTCATGACGAACCGCGTATTCCGCGAGCCCACGCCTGGTGTTATCGCTCATACGGCGGCGTCACGGCTCCTGGCCGAAGACCAAGCGTTACAGGACTGGGTCGGCTACAACCTCGAGGACAACTTCCCGGCTTCGGGACATGTCCTGCAGGCTCTCAAAACCTACCCGGAAGCGACGTCGCTCACGCGCACTGGTTTCAACTTTGCGTTCGACACGGTGGACAAGGAGCCGATGTTCGTCACATTTGGCAAGGATCCCGCCCGCGCCAAGCGTTTCGGCGGCGCCATGCTCAGTCTCACGGGCGGCGAAGGCTACGAAATCAAACACCTGGTTGACAACTACGACTTTGGCGATATCGACGCCAGGGGGGGGACGTTTGTGGACGTCGGCGGCAGCCACGGCTTCGTGTGCGTCGACCTCGCAAAGAAGTGGAGGAAGATGAAGTTTGTTGTGCAGGATCTCCCAAAGACGGTCGAGTCGGCGCCGAAGCCGATATCCGAAGACGCCCAGGTCGCCGAGCGTATCGAGCTTGTTGCGCACGACTTCTTCAAGGAGCAGACGGTCAAAGATGCCGACGGTGAGTCCGAGGCCGCTCGGCGTTGTACGCGCAATGACACTGACCGCAGACAGTCTACTTCTTCCGCTGGATCATGCACAACTACTCGACGCCCTACGCGGTCTCCATCCTCAAGAACCTCGTTCCGGCGCTGAAGCCGGGTGCCAAGGTCGTCATCAAGGACCACTGTCTTCGCGAGCCCGGACAGGAGACGCCGTGGGACGAGAGGGTCATCCGCAGCATGGACATGGTGATGCTGGCTGTGCTGAACGCGCAGGAGCGCAACGAGGCCGAGTACCGAGAGCTGTTCAAGGCGGCAGACGACCGATACGCCTTCAAGGGGGTGACGCGGCCCGCGGGTTGCAGGATGAGCATCATCGAGGCAGTGTGGGATCCGGAGGGCGGCGAACAAGGCGCGGACACGGAGGTGGAGCCGAAGGGGTCCGTACCGACGGGGGTGAAGGAGGACTAACAGCCAGAGGAGAGGGATCGGTCCCTGGCATGCGACGAAACGTGATAGACGGCTTAGGCACCTGAGCTGCCGCATCTGATATCCCATTACAAACAATGCCGTTCTAGACCATCGTCAATGATCAATGTAGTGCCTAGGTTGGGTGAGGGTCCAGTGGCCGAGATCAGGCCAAACCCCACATCACATCTTGAGGTGGGACAACCCGGTCGCTCGCGCCAGTGAGGTACAGTACATGAGTAAAGTTACTCCGCATCCAAAGCATCCACCTATGGCACCCACACCTCCAACGAGGCCTGCTGGCGAAATGGCATCGCGTCAGATTTCGGCTGCTCCAAGTCATACTCTGAAGATTCTAGGTTCGATCCCTAGGTAGGTCGCAAGCCATAAATTTTTCTTTTTTTCTTTTTTCTCCCTCCCCCTTCCCTTCTTTCTGCGGTTGCTCCGTGGAAGCCAGTGGTTTTTGTTTGTATACTTTGGTTTCGTACTGTGCCAGACACGTGTTGGGTAATATGGATCACTTCCTCGCCGAAGTGGTTATTTGTTTCCTCTGTCGGAAAAAGTGTATATACACAAGTTGACTCGTGAATGATATCGGGAGTTTGCACAGGCTCGGCAGTGAGAGAGCTTTTGTGCTCACTGCTTACCGCCGGCTTCAGGGATCACTCGCCGTGACTGGGACGCGCCCATTGAAGCTTGGCATCGTCTGCTCCCCCCCCCGACAACTCCAATGCTAGCAACTTGTTGCCACGACAGCTTGATGGCAAGCGAGACGTGAATCCCAGAGACTTGGGTTGAGGGACTGAGGCTTCTCCATGTTCGGTCCCAACCTTTGCCAGGCAGATTTCCCCGGCGACGGGACGACAGGAAGAAGCAGGGCAGCAGACGGGACGAACAAGAGGCTGTCTGATCCAGAGGATATCAAAACTCGGCTGAAAATATATTGAAAACGATTCAGATAACTGACGGGACTGAAGGAAATACCGCCTAGCTATCTGTGCAGTGTTTGGTCTCAGAGAAGCTCTGATACAGAAGGAGCAACTGCTTTCCACTAGATACTTGTGGTAGGCCACATAAGCGGTCTAGCCCGGTTCACGAAGCAGATGGATATCACGATACGTATAATCCGATACGCAATACTTCTGGCCTCATCTCAATCTCTCGATAAGGTACAGAATACCCGATAACGCAGAGCAACTACTGGCGAGTTGGCAAGCAGAAGTGAAAGTCGTCGCCAGCAGAAGCTCTAAAAACACAACAAGCCGCCCGTTTAGCTAGCTACGCACATAGGAACGACTACACAATATAAGATGGAATCCTGGGGATTGATCAGGATACATACAATTTATGTTCCATCCAATTCCAAGCAGGAAGAAATGAAACGAAGCTGCCTGTTTATGAGGTAATTTGGCGTCTTGCCTATCGCGCCTGCCCTTTCTCACCTGCTCCTTCCTCCCATCTGAACTTGCCCTTGCCCTTGCCTGTCCTCTCTCCTCCTTCCTTTTACTCTTCCGTCTGTTTTTATTTACTATAGATGGAGAAATACTCCTTGCCCACAACTTCCACTCCTCTGCTCGTTCACACATAACTTCAGCCCTGTGAAAGCCATTCATAGGCAACGACAACAATAACAGCAAAAGCAGTGCGCTTTTGTTGGAAAATACCCTTCTCCCTGTGTGCAGCCCTTCTATCTATCACTCCTCATCATCCTTTTGTATACTAACTGAATATTCAGAAACAGGGACAAAGAGGACAACGCCATGTTCACACACTTTAAGAGGCTCCCACCAGAGATTCGCGCCGCAATCTGGAAGTTGGCCTTTGGTGGCGGCCACATCGTCAGCCCGGAGGCAATCAAACACACCCCACCAGCTGCCAGCTTGGCAAACAGGGAATCTTGGGCAGAGTACACGAGACTGGAGTTTATGGTGACCCTCGGCGGCGGGCGCGTCTACTTTGACCCAGAGACCGACATTGTTGTCTATTCGCGACTCACAGATTGCCCCCCTGAGCAAGGCGACCCTCGACTGCAGAATGACATCCACCGAAAGTACCGCAGATACGTCGCAACAAACGGGCGAATGCAACCCCCTCTCCTGCCCCAGCCCATCGCGAACCCACACCCGGGACTCAGGACTGCCATGATCATCACAGGGATATCGCATTCCAAAGACCACACTCGGATGACATGGGAACCTTTTTCGCGCGACAGGAAGGATTTGGTCGAGAGCCATAAGCGAGACCCCATCATGAAGTTGCCTAAGATGCTCATCAAAGACTTTCCGAATTTGGGGACTTTGTGGCGCGCGGGAAGCTGTCCGTGGAGCTGTAAATATCTCACCTATGATCAATATCTCACCTATGACCGCTGCACGGGCGGGTGGCCCCCCAAGTTCTTGCAATTCCGATACTACAGCTCGTCGGAGCGCGTTATGATCAGGGACATGCCGAAGCCTGCCAGACGCGAGTTCTGGAGGATCCAGAGGCAAGCCACACGAAGCCGCATCGAACAATCGTCGGCTTACAGAGTCGTGGCGGCCATCCACATCATCCGTGAGAGGGATATCGCACCTGCCGACATGACGGACGGCTGGAGAACCGTGCGGACGTTCGAAGAGGAGACGGCGGGAGGTCGGGATGAGCTGGAGTCCGACCTCCTGCCTGATAGGCTTTGGTGGATGATCCTCGGGGGAGAGATTGGTCGTTACATTGGTTAGGACGATTTGGAATTCATTTCATCCGAGGAAGAATCCAGACCGGGAGAAAGGCAGGCAGGCAGGCAGGCAGGCAGGCAGGCAGGCAGGCAGGGAAGCCGATCGCGACATGCAGGATACCTCACGACCCGGGGAAATATCGGATTTTATAGCGTCGATCGAGGGCTGCCATGCCGTGAATCAAGCAGGCCCATCTCACGAATACGACCAGTTTGGTCCCATTTCCAAGGGTCAGACGGACATGGGATCAAAACTTGGATCCGGTTTGAAAGCATCATGGATTGCCTCGCATGCCTAGCTATTCTGATGCCGTTTCTCTGATTGCCGACACGCCACGTGCCGCATCATGCCAGCAACTCGATCTTCCGCGCCCTCCTATGCTAACGTGTGTCATTTGCCAGGTCGCAGAGCCAAGTATCCTCGCCGCCAAGACCAAAAGCAGGCCAAACCCCCCTTTGCCAAACTCGTCGAGCGAACGGCGATGCTAACCAACTGCTGCCGTCGACAACCCGTTAGCTTCCCGCGCTTCCTCATGTGGTGGCGCCATCGAACTCACTTCTCCAAAAGACCTTCCTCGGGAGCTTCCCGGCCCGCAGAGACGCGTGTGTCCGTCGGGCACGCTCAGTCGTCGGCGGGACCCGTCATGAGCTTGAGGTTGCCGACCACGACGGGCGGGCGGCGGGCGGAGGACTTCCAGAGGGTCTCCTCGACGGTCGTCTGGGCCATCTCCCAGACGAGGCGGTGGTGGAACTCGGGGCTGGCGGAGTAGGCGTCCTCGCACTCGACGGCCTCCTTGGGGAGGACGGGCATCCAGTCGAGCTTGTCGTCGACGACGACGGCGGGGTCGATGTCGATGCGGACGACCAGGTCCCGCTTTCCGCCGTTGTTGTCCGCGGCGGCGGCAGCGGCGGCGGCGGGGTCGGGATTGTCGCGGTCCTCGACGGCGGCGATGCAGACCGTGTCGGTGTCGGTGCGGTAGACGGCGGCGAAGGTGTTGGGCGCGCCGGCGGGGAGGAAGGCCTCGTCGACGCCGGCGAGGGTGACGTGGACGGTCTCGAGGTTGGGGTACATGCAGAAGCGGGGGTAGATGGCCGAGACCTCGTCCTCGAGCTGGGCCCAGAAGTGCTCGGCGTCGGCGAAGGGGCCGCCGCCGGCGGACAAGCCCTTGGCGGCGATGCGGACCGTCTTGACCACTGCGTTCCCCTGGACGCCGAGGTCGGGGGCAGAGAGAGGCTCCTCCTGCTCGGCCTGGCCCTGCGAGGCGGTGGCGGGGGAGGCCTGCTGGTTGTGATGGCCGATGGAGACTTCGTCGGCGGCGGCGGAGGCCTGAGTGGTAGCGGAGATGGGGGAGTTGGTCTGAGACATGGTTTGCATGGGTTGAGCTTTGCGCGGGTTTTTGCAGAGTATATGAGCAAAGTTTCGTGTCTGACCTTGAGGGAGGAGAAGAGCTGGAATAGAGGAAGAGAGGAAGAGGCCGAGAGGGCCTCGAAAATTTAAATATCTGGTAAAAATTGAAAAAAAGGACGTCACATGAGTGGAACACGCTTAGTCGTGGGTTGCTCTCGCCCGGTTGAGGTCACGGAGATGCGGGCTTTGCTTGAGTTGCAAGCCGATGTCGTGTGTTGTGAATAGGACAACGGAAGGCCTGGAGTTGTTGCTTGGATGTGGGGATGCTCGCTTCTGGTGGGGAGGAAACGAGATCCTGAACATGTTCAGTCGCAAGACGCTTCCGTCCAGTGACAAAGAGACGGGTCAGAGGTATTGCTTGGTGGTGAGGTTTTTGATCAGCAGTTGAACAGGTAGGTGAGCTGGCTGTTGTTGGATGTGTGCTGCTGCTGTCTGGTGATCTTGATAGACAGTTGGGACACTGCGTTTTGTCCGTTTGTTGGATGAGAGGCTAGCCATGCTTTGGTCAATGATCAAGCGCTTTTGACAGCTTTCCAACGTGCATTTGTGCGGTTTCTTAGTGATGGGACTTTGTTCAGTAGTTGAAAACAAACTTGGGCTTTGCCTAGGCTGTTGAGTGATTGAGCAGAAAGCTGAAGTTTGCTCGGCCACAAGCATAGACTTTGTGGGTTGCCCCCGCCTCATGGGTGAAGGAAAGTAAGGAGGTTGAGGTTGGTGTGCTCTCGCCGAATGATCAAAACAACGATGGTAGGCTGCTCGAGTTATATCTTTGGGCCCTTTGGAACAACCTTGCTTCATGGCGGGACATGGCTGTTTTGTTGCGACTTTGAACTTGCAGCGTGCTCTCTCCCCCCCCTGTGAGGAGAAACCACTGCGCGACTTGCTTGGTTTCTGGTTATGGGGGCCCTCTTCCCTTGTGGTTGAAAACTTGCCGTGTTGGAGAGTTGCCTTTGACAAGTCTGTCAATAAGACGCACAACTCTGCCGGGCTGGCCTTGGTCGGGAGGGTTGGGGTCTGCGGAGTTTGTATTCCTGACCAAGTGAACAGGGCTCTTGTCTCTTATTCAACTCGAGCAGCTTGCAGCTGGAGCCGAGCTCCCCATCGGCAGCCAGCCACCCAGAGGCCGTGTCCTGAACAGATTTCGGATATCGTAAAACCCAGGGTCCAAGTCCCCGAAAGGACTACTCGTCTTCGCTTCCCAGGCGTATCGCGATGTACTCGACGACCATGTGCCACGTCTCGTGGCAGAAATCGTCGGCGTTGCAGATGGCGTGCCAGTCGTTGGTGACCCAGCCGAGGTCGTCGGAGCGGATGATGTCGACGCGCACGGCCCTGGTCTGTCCCGGCGCGGGCTTGAGGCATTCGTCCGGGATCTTGGACGCGGGCCGTATCCCGCCGAAGCACTCGCCGTAGTCCATCTCCATGACCTGGTAGTAGACCTGGTTGCTGGGCACGACGTACCTGAAGTGCCTCCCCCGCCTGCCGTGGCTCTTGAAGTTGCCGACCCAGAACGAGGCGTGCAGGGTGACGATGAAGACGGTGTCGAGCCGCGGGAACCGGAGGCCGGGGAGGGGGATCGGCCCGGGCCGCTCCGGGCCCCATCTGAGCCTGCGGTTCCTCAGGGCGGGGTCCATCTCCATGCGGCGGGAGGGGTTGAGGTCGTAGAGGTGCACTTTCCGGACCATCTCCCTGGCCGGCCGGGGCAGCGCGGGCGTGTCGACGAGGGTCCCGACGGGGCAGCGGGCGAACAGGAGCATCCCGCCGAGCCCGCCGGAGGACTTCAAAGCCGACCCCGTCTTTGTGGCGGAGCCGACGAGGAGGGCGTCGACCCGCGGGTTGAAGTAGACGTGGTCCTCGACGGCGCCCGTGTCGGATTCCGTACCGCCGGGACGGGCCCCCGAGTCGTCGTCGTGGAGGCGGATGTAGAGCCGGAGGAACTCGTGGCGGCTCTCGCGGTTGACCGCCGAGATGGCGGGCAGCCCGCTCCGGCAGGCGAGGAGCTCCCGGCTCGGGGCCACCGTGACGAGCCGGCCCTGGTCCGCGAGGGTTGTGCGCCATATTTTGAGCCGCAGCTCTTTCGGGAGCGAGGAGAAGAGTTCGAAGCTGGCCATTGTTTCACGCGCCGACATTGTCGATCTTTGTCTTTCTTTCTCTCTCTCTCTCTCTCTCTCTCTCTCTCTCGGACGTGGTGCGAAGGTGCCGGACAAGTCACGAGCAGTCAGGAAGACGCAAGACCGGGGGCGGCTGTGAGGCGAAGAACGAGGTACAGAGTCCGCAGGTTGTGGGATGAAAAAGGGCGAGACGAGAGACAGATAGAGGCGGACTCCCTCCTGCTCCTCCTCTTCCTCCTCCCTTCTCCAAAAAACGGTTCTTCTTCTTCAGTGTTGGCCAAGCCGTCCTATGATGGAAAGGTTTCCAATGTCGCCTCTGCCATGTTGCCGGTCACCTTGGCCTGCCCCGCGTCTCCCCCCCCCCTCAACTCATGTGTTTAGTAAGTAGCATAAAGCGAGGTTGCCGTTTCATACACTAGAGCTTAAACAGTGCTCAGAGCCCCTCTGATTGGTTCCAGGGGAAAGCGTTTGCTTCGTCCATCAGGATCGGACGAAGTCTACCGGAACTGTGTTTCGAGCGGTCCCAGGCCGTGCTTGCAATGGAATCCTGCCGGCGTGTCTTGATTGGATAAAGTCGCGGGCAGAGGAAGACAGAGACCGTCCAATGGTCCAAGGGCCGGAGTGCACAACGCACCCAAAGACCCCAAGTGGCAACGAAACGAAATGTTCTGAATGATGACCGAGACGATGGAATAACCGTATTTGCTGCCTCTCTCTCTCTCTCTATATGTATGTATATATCTGCTGATGTAACGCCGGATGGTCTCCAGTTCTATGGCCCGCCCAAATGCAACAAATGCAACCCGCGGAATCTCGAAATCGCCCCTCAAGAACCAGCAGCTTCGCAAGATCCTGCCGCTAACCAGATCTCCAACGCGCCTCTGGAGACTCTTCTCCTTGCACTCAAACCACCCCAAGAGATTCACGCGCCAGTGTTGCGGCCCACCTTGATGCCGACTTTAACCCACTTTCCAGTCTTTCTCTTCTTGGGCTCAGGCTCGAGCTCGCCCAGGTCGCCGGCCTTGCGCTTCTCCGCCGCTGCCTCGTTCTTCTCCTCCTTCGCGCGCTCCTGGTTTCCTTTATTGCGTCTGAAATCCCTGACGGCCTTTCTCATGTAATGGCCCCAAGGATCAAGCTTCTGTTTGTCCTGCTTCCAGTCGAGGCGACTGACGATGCTCTCCTCAGGGATGGAGTGCTCCACAAGGTACTCCTTGTCAAATCTGGGCGCGGTGTCCAGGCCAAACTGCAGAAGCAAGGACCTGGCACCCCAGAGTCTCTGGGTGTTATGGTCCCAGCCTGGGCCGCTTGTCTTGAACTCGATGACCTGAACGCCTGGGATGCCCTTGGCAGCTTGCTTGGCGGCTAGTTCGAGCGCCTTGACTCTATCAGGAGTAGCCGATAGGAAAGGGCTTCGTTCTCGGCATCGCACGTTTAGGTGCTTCTGGAGATGCAGCTGCAGGAAGATGGGATCGCTTCCGCGCTTCAGTCTGGACTTGATACCGTTGTTGGGCTGGCCTCTGTGGGTGACTCGGTACAGAACTTGCGGGCGGCTCAAACCTCCCTCGGTGTGGACCTCGTGAGAAGTCGAAAGCATTGCGACTCCGTTGACCGCGCCGTGGTCGCGCGATGTGCTGATGAACTGCAGGTAGTTGGGAAAGGCGTCCATGATGACTTGGTAGAACTCCGACTTGACCCGCACGACCCAAGGCATGTCGTCCGTGTGGTTCTTCGTCAGCCATCCAATGACCCTAGGAGAGTCATTGCTTGCGATCTTCTGGGCCGAGGATCTGTATTGGGCGACGGAAAGAGTGGCGGAAGGAACCAGAGCCATGACTGCGATTGTTTGAGAGCTGCGAGCGGTGGTGTTTGCCAAAAGTCGGAAGAGTAAATCGTCTAGTATGGTATGATAGAGTTGACTGCAGATTCTGTTCGCGGAAGTTAGCATACGGTTTATGTAGAAGACCAAACTGGGGAAAACGTACCAAGGATTGTTGACCTATTCTAGAAGCAGGCGTCTTGGGTTGGAGCTTGTGGTTGTTGATGGTGAGAAGTTTGGAGCAACTGGGCTGAAAAGAGGGCATTAAATATTCTATTCCCCTTCCTTAGATGGAGGAAAGAAGCAGCAACTGAGCTGCTCTTGCCGATCAAGATACTGGAATCGACAGCCCGTGAGAAAGGTATAAGTAGGCAGAATGGGAAGTTGAAGGTGAGGAAAGCAAAGAAACGATATTGATGTTCGACTAGGATGTTTTTGAAAGGTGCCAGCCTATATAGACTTGCGTGATGGATGAGATACTCAACACTGATTTAAATACGAGAGAATGTGACATGTATTCACTTGAGTCTCAAAACAACGAGTTTCTTCTTTGACTGCGGATGGTTGTTCGTATGCCGATGTGTTCCATCTCTCAGCTCAGACTACCTGACCATCCGCATCCCCATCACCCATGGACTGTAATCTGAATGACGAAACAAATCTACCAGACAAGGCCTTCCCTCTGCTCTCTGGGCAGAACACCTGCGAAACCCTGCAACCGTCTCTAACCTCGGCTTCGATCTTGTCCCAGACGCAGAGCAACATACTGGGCCGATAATCTCCATATGAAACACTCTGCCAAATGTCGATGCCTGAGAGGTATCCAACCATCGAAAGGCGGCGCGTCGGGATCTTAGGCTACAAGTTCGATTCGAATGAAGACGCGAGGCCATGGCCTTGAAAAGCCAAGCTGCAACATGCGACAGCCGAGCGGGCGGTGGAACCAGCGGAAGCTAGCCAAGGCAACATAGACTGTGCCGGACGACTGTGAGTATCGGAATCTGAAGTCGTAGTGGGTGTGGAAACGCGGTCCGAAAAGCGCCCTGAGCTCGGTCTGGGGGATCGAGAGGCTCACGATCTGTACGGCCGATAGGTTGGGAAGGCGAAGGGGCGGGAGTCTGACGTCGCACAACGGGTTTCGGGACAAGATGGCTTCCGTGGACCTGGGGCCGACGCTCGGGTCCGGATCAAAGATCTGGACGCTGCCTTTTGCACGAGCTACGAAATCGACGTCGTGGAGCCGGACCTCTCGGATCTGCTCCCGAGCAGCCTGGGGCAAGACGGGGGCGTCCGTCATGTATCCGAGAGTGTACTGCTCCTGTTCCGTGGAAGCCACGCCGTGGCTCATGCTCGCCTCATCATAGTCGACGTGTATCCCGAGAACCATGCGTGGATGCGCGTAGCCATGGCTCTGCGGGGATCTGTGGGCGGGGGCTTGCGGGTCGAGGAAGCGGACGTAGAGTCGCAGGAACTCCTTTCGGCTCTCGCGAGAGATGGCTGAGACGGCGGGGAGCTTGTGTTCTCCGCGCTCGCCGCCGATGTAGGAGACGAGCGTAGCGGGCATGTGTCGCCGGGCTTGGGGTCGAGGCTCTTCGTGCTCGAGTGCGAATCTCCAGATCTTGAGGCGCAGCTCTACCGGAAGAGATCCGAAAAGACCAAAGCCTGCCATTCTGGATGGCACAAGGGCTGGAGGAGCTGGCGTTGACGTGGGTTGCGGGAACCGGGTAGGGTTTCAAGCGGACAGGCGCCGAATCATATTCCTCAAAGTGAGTGAGTGTCGGCTCGACTTGCGGCTTGGGGATTCAGAAATGGTCCAGGAACTCGCTCCTGAATGAAGCCCAAGGCCAGAATGTTCTTGCAAGTGAAAGAAGCCGAAGACACGCGGGCGGGTGTGCTACACCTCAAAAGACTTGAAATGGCTGGGCTCTCTTTGCGGACGGCCGAGTTTCTAAGAGAGACCCAACTACATAAAACGTTGCTTTGCTCGGGCTCGGGTCTGTCTTCTGCAACCAGAATGCATCTAACCGAAACAGCAAGCGTCTTTCCAGAAGCCATTCTTCACCCTTTCAGCAGATCTTGTGGGTTATCAACACATCGAAAGCACCAAGCAGAACGTTCAAAGCCAGGAGCAACCATAACGATGCCCTTTTTTATTCAAATCATCACGTCACGTCTACCGGCGAGAACTCGGCGCCTCTTGCCGTCGAGGAGGCCTCTACGCGAACGACAGACGGCCCTCGTCCCAGCCGGGCCTCAACGACTCGCCGTCGAAGCTCATGTCGAAGCTCGAAGTGTGGACGTAGTCGGCCTGCCAGCCGATCGTCAGCTCGGCGCCCTCGGCGGCCTGGCTCCACACGGTGACGGCGATCGTGTTGTCGCCGTTGTAGTTGAGGATGCCCGTCGGGACGGGGAAGCGGACCTGGTTGCCGATGTACGGGCTGTACCGGCCGTACTGGTACCCGTTGACGAAGAGGAGGGCGCGCAGGCGGTTGCTGTCGTCCGACGCGGCGCCGAAGCGGAACGAGATGGAGACGTCGAGGCCTGCGGGGACGTCCAGGGGCACGACGGTGCGGAAGACGCGGATGCCGGCGTCGGGGACGGAGAGGGCGCCGTCGGCAGCGGCGGCAGCGGAGAAGGAGGAGGAGGAGGAGGAGGAGGAGGAGGAGGAGACGAACGGCTCCCAGTCGTCGTCGGGGTAGCCGGGGAGGTGGGCGCCCACCCGCTCGGCATACAGACCGCCCTCGTTGATGGGGCCGCGGACGGCATCGATCAGGTCGTTGCGGCCGGCGGTGCCGGCGATCTTCCACCCGGAGAACTTGTACGCCCCGGCGTCGGGGCCGAGGAGGGTCGCGTTGGAGATGCCGCGGGGGGCGAGGGCGGCCTCGCGCAGGTCGTGGCCCGAGTTGTCCATGACGACGACCAGGACGTTGTCCCCGCTCTCGGCGAGGGTGGCGTTCTCGAAAGAGAACCCGCGCGCGTCGGCCCCGAGGTAGGAGAGGCCGAGGTAGGAGCCGATGTAGTCCGAGTTCAGCCAGACGGAGTAGCCGAAGGCCAGACCGCCGGTCAGGTTGAGGAAGACGCCCGTCGGGGCGTTCTCGCCGGTCGCGAACGTGGCGCGGTAGACGTGGTTGCCGACGTGGATGTCGTACTCGTCGACGTAGAGCACGGGGTTGTTGGGGGCCGGCTTGGCCGTGTTGGAAGTTTCGGTCTTGTCGGCGACTGGACGCGTGTCAGAGGCTGCTTAGCAGCGACGGTTTGTTTGGCTGGGGGGGAGAGGCATCAGCAACGTACCAGCCCAGCCGTCGGAGGTGGCCTCGTAACCTGCCGCGATCTCGGGCAAGCTGTCGTGAACCTTCCAAGGGCCCAGAGCGGGGACCTCGAAGTCTACGGGGCCCTCGATCTTGGCCGTGAAGGCGTTTCCGTCTCTCGAGATGATCTCGACCTTCTCGCCGTTCCAGGTGATGGAGGAGAGGGAGGCGGGAGCGAAGACGGTGATAGTCGTCTCCTCGTCGGCGTCACCGGAAAGGGCCAAGCCGCGACTGGCCTCGTCAAAAGAGGCGGATCGGACCAGGTACGGGCCTTGGACGAAAACTGCAAAGGAGTCAGCAGTTTTGTTTCCTCCGGACGCCCCTTCTCTCACCAAGCTTACCGGTGTTGTCGGCCGGGGCCAGAGGGTTGTTGTCGAGAGTCGGGACCCAGAAGAGGTAGGCGGCGCTGCGGTCGAGGAGAACGGCGCGGGACCCGTCGCCGAGGCCGACCAGGGTGATCCCCTTCTTCTGGGTGTACGCGACGGTGACGTTGGCCTCGCCCGGGTAGACGTCGAAGTCGGCGACGTTGGCCTCTCCGGCGATCTCGGCGGAGGTGACGCCCGTCACGGCGAACTCGCCGGACTCGCCCTCGGGAAGCCAAAAGGCAATGACCTCGCGGCCGTCGAGGACGGCGTAGCTCAGGACCTCGGCGGTGGAGTACAGGAGCGTCTTCTCGCCGAACGCGAAGTCCGTGACGAGCACCTTGGCCTGGTGGCCGTTGATGGCGACGGAGCCACCGTGCTGAGGGATGGTGACTTTGGGTTCGGGGGCTCAGCATGATGAATGAAATCCGTGCAAGAGAAAAAAAACAGTAGACGAAACTCACAAGATCCCTGGGAGGTCTTGACCGAGAGCTTGAAGGCCTCGTTCGTGTTGGACGGCGTGTACGCGTGGCGGACAACGTAGAAGGCAGCATCGTTGTCGACGTTGCGAAGCTCGGATGTGCTGATTGCCGTGTTGGTCGTGTAGCCAGTGCCCTGGGTGCGAGTTAACAATCATGGGCGTCTCTCTATCTCGGAGTTTGGGGTGATTTTACGTTTCCCACCCTCTCCGTCTTTGTCAAGTCCTTGGCCACTTTGGAGATGTTAGTAATGCTCCTTTTTTCTTTTTCTTCTTTAATCTTCATTCGGGATCAAGCGTTGGTACCTCTGGTGAATAGAGTCAGCAGCTTCGTCTCGTAGAACTTGCTGCCGATGATTCTGTTCTCGGACACGGGAGAAGAGTAGTCGTAACTCGATGCTATCCGTCCCCAGTCAGCATTCCCCGGCTGCTCGTTCCCACCGCATGGGCGAGCTGTACTCACCAACAACAGGACAGGCAAGCCATCCCCAGTTGGTGCCGCCGAACATCATGTATAGGGATATGGCAGTGACCCTCTGGTAGATGAGATCGCGGTAGAACATGTTGGCGAAGTCGGCGCCGATGTCAGCGGGACAACCCCCCTCGGGTCCGCCCCAGGGGTTGTACGAGCCTCCCTGGAACTCTGGCAGGAAGTTCGGCTGTGAGCTGCAAACCCGTTAGCGACGTGAATCGTTTCTTTAGTGGTGGTCGAGGGTGCCTACGGAGACTGGACCGTGAAGTAGCTATTTAAACCCGTTGTTAGTTGTGGCTCATGAAGCGTCTTTTCATCGGCAATCTTACGTGTGGTAGTCCTGGGTCAACTGCGGTCAAACGGGTCAGCCGGACCAGCAGAGCAATGAGCGGAAGCACAACTCACGTAGGGGTTATACTGCCCGTTGGTGCCGGTGCACTCGCTCAAGTTGCAGCTCCAGCAAGAAGGGTAACTGTCCACGCCGACGACGTCGACGTTTCCGGTAGCATTGGAGAAGTCTCTGGACCAGGAGAAGCCTCGCTGGCGTCCCGTTAGTCGACGCGTCCAGCGCTGAAAACGCCTGCCCTTGGGCGAGCGAGTCTTACCATGTTGGGCGCGTTATGGGCCAGAGGGACGTCGATGCCGTTCTCGCGCGCGGCGTCCTGGAGGAGCTGCATGTAGTTCGCGATGGGCGGGTTGAGCACTCTGCCGGGGATGTCCGTCCACTGACCGTTGAGCTCGTTCTCGATCTGGGTTCCCGGTCAGTGTATGCGACTGCCAGTTTTGCTTTGCGGAACCGAGACTCCGCCTACCTGGAACATGAGGACGTTGCCGCCGTTGGTGACCAGATGCGGGGTGATGACCTTGGAGATCTCGGACCAGTACGGCGTCCAGGCCTCGGTGTAGCCGGGGTCGTCGTTCCTCAGAGAGCCGAACTCGCCGGTCGTGAGCCAGAGGGGGAACCCGCCGGCGTTGGTTTCGGCGTTGACGTAGGGCCCGGGCCTGATGATGAGGTAGACGCCGAGCTCCTTGGCGACGGTCATGATGGAGGTGAAGTTGTGAGCCCCCGTGTCGAAGTCCAGAACGCCGGGCGTGGGGTTGTGATAGCCCCAGTGGTTGTAGATGGAAAACGCATTGAAGCTGTTCGGCCCAACGCTCAGTCAGCTTCGTAATCACCCCAGCCGTTCCCGCAACTGTCTTACCCGGCCGCCTTGACCTTCTCGAGGAGGTCTCGCCAGAGTTCAGGACTTCACCGTGTCAGTCAGTCCAGCACATGAGTGACGACGCTGGGCCACAAACACGGGTATGCGCCAGTAATGAAACTGAGAGAGAGAGAGAGACCGGTCAGTCCAAGTCTATCTAGTCTGATGGGGCTCAGCGGCAGGGGGAAAGCGGAGGCCATACCTCGCCAGAGAAGACAAAGAGTCTCTCGCCGTTGACGATGTAGCTGTGGCGGTCCCTGCATGGGAGGAGCTGCGCGTCAACAGAGCCCTCGATGCAGCATCAACCCCTCACTCACTCCCCCCTTTCCCCCCCCTGGGGGCCGTCTCGAGAGGTTTACCATTGGACAACTTGGTTGAGGCCGTTATCGTGCACCGGCCAGTCGACAACATCCTGCGCCGAGGCGCCCTGCAGCCCGCCCAGCGAGGCGGCGAGCCAAAGAAGGCCGCCGGCGTTCGAAGCAAGTCTCATCGCGTCACTGTCTTCGTTGCTGGATCTCGCTTCAGATGCGGCGGCGTGAGGAGGGCGAAAAAGGCGAAACCAACCAGGCGAGACTGGCGCGAGAGCTGTCACCGCACCGCACCGCGCCGCATCTTTTTAAAAGACGAGCGTCCCCCGGCGACGGCCACACACCACGTTCCACCTCAGAAACAGCGTGACATCCGGACAGATGCACTCGGGGTTGAACAGGCCGACGATTGCGGGGGATCGTGAGGGGAATCCCTCCCTTCCCCCGCCAAGTCCGTCCCCGCGATCCGGCTAAGCGCAGCAATCATCGAGGCACGTAAACCTTGACATCATCGTGCCTTGCAGCGCCCGCCGGCTCCCTCAGCAGCGAGTTGAGGATTTCGACGGCCCATTTTAACCCGTCTCTTTCACCGACGAAGGCTCGGCGCCGTATCGATGCGCGCCTCACTGGTCCGCGTAGTGGGCGTCTGTACCACGGATACGCGAGCACGAGAAGAGACTCTCCGGCCCCCGGCCCCCCCTAGCAGCCAAACACGGTCCGATCCTGCGTCGCAACATCGTGGGCCGATGGACCGCTTCGTCAATCATCCGGGAGGAGGCGAGACATGGAGAAAAACAAACAGAAAAACCCCGGAAACATGTACGTTCAACGGTCGGGTGGCGGCAGCCTCGTAAGCGACGTTTACGGCAGCGTCGGCGATAGGTCCGGCATCAGGTCGCGGTGCCATCCCGGCGAGCGAAGTAGGTTGACAACTTACAACTAAGCATGCACTCTTCTCGAAGCATCTCGTTCACGCAGTGCCTGGTGCCGTCATTGCACACGACGGTGGGCTCACATCATGGAGGGAACTTGTCCAAAGGAACCCAGTTGGGGGGTTAGATCCCTTGCTCCCCCAAGAGCGTGATGTCGACTGTTGAGTATCAGGGAATACCCCGCACAAAGAAACGCATGTCGATCGACCCCAGTAAACACTGTCCTGCAGCCGGTCTTGATATACTATGTATGGCTTGAACTCGTCTGTTGAATCATGGGCTCGGGAAATGAACACTGTCAATCAGGCTCAAATGGCTGTCACCAGACTTTCAACAAACGTCTATTAATAGAGTATAGATGTGGTCATTGTACTATGTAGCTAAGACTGCCCACACCTGTCAGGGATCTGACTCATGGCCCCTGGCAGCACTCGCCGCGACGATTTCGCCGGCCGGCTGTGGCTTGGTTGGCCCTGTCTCGGCCCGTTCAGCACCTCCAGGAGGTGATCTGCTGGTCGTACTCGACAGTCCGGGGGTCCTCCGGGAGGGGAACACCGAGGTTGTAGTTGTAGGAGGAGGTGAGACCGCGGTCGTCGCCCTTGTCGTCGCAGTTGTCAAACTTGTAGAACTGGCACTTGCCGCCGGTGTTGGTGGACAGCGAGGTGACCTTGTCCATGAACCTGTCGCTGATTTCCGTCGAGTTGGCGCTGTTGAAGTCGAAGTAGGAGACTGCACGCGAGCCGTGTTAGCAACTTCGGTCGCCTGTCTCGGACAGGGAGGTCTCGAATACTCACCACACTGGCCCGGGGGGGAGCCGAAGACGAGGCAGTCACCGCGGAAGCCCTGGTTTTTCACATCTTCTGTTAGCAAGTCTTTCCGCCGCAGCCAGAGCGTGGGGGGTCACAGCCGGGCCTTACAGCATCGGTGCACTGAAGCACGAAGATGTTCTCGGGGGTGGTCACGTTGCGGTCGGGGTTGGGCTCCTCGCGGGCCTCCAACTCGCGGGCCTCCAATTTGACTCTGGTCTCGACGACTTCGGTCTTCTGGAACGCGTCGAAGGCGGCCGAGTTCATGACGGTGCCGGAGAGCTTGAAGCTCGCGCCGGAGTCGGCCTTGACCACGGCGTTGAGGTTGCCGCCGATGGCGGCGGACATGACGCCGGTGGTGGCGGCCGCCGCGGCGAGGACGATGGTGGAGAAGGTCTTCATCTTGGAAGTGTGCGTGTGTTGTTAACGAGTGGTATTGGTTTCTTGGTTAAAAAGAGAGACTGGAAGACCGGTTTAGAGAGCGACTTGAGTAGCGAGAGTTGGTGATGGTGGACGGACGACGAGGTGGGAAGTGGCTCTTATATATCCTTGTAGGCCTGGGGCCAAACTTCGCGCAGGTCATCCACAAAGTTTCCCCTACATATATTGCGTACAACCTCGTCCTGCATCACCCATGGTCGTTTTGCGTTTCGGCATTTGTCTTTTGATTGTCATCGACTCATCGTCGACGCATCTCCACCGCTTCCATTGCCGAGCGGCCGTCGGAAACACAAAGAAAAGGAGAGAGGTTCAGGCCCGAGCGTCTCGGACTTGGCGAGTTATACACTGTATCCGTACATTGTACTCTTTGGGAGCAATGCCTACCGGAATGGAGCTTATAGACGTCGCCAACTCCCAGGATCCTTGATAAGGTTTTGGGTCGGCGGGGGTCGACGGCGGTGGAAACCAGCGCACGAAGGGGGGATGAACAGACTGGGGGCGAGCCGTTCGCTGCGCAGCCCGTTCTCGCCCGCTCGCAGATCGCAGAGTATTTCTTTACGTGCGTCCGTCAGAGAATCCGGCTATCGTCTGAACTGCGGCTTTCGTCTGAACTGACGCGAGGATCGGACGGCGGTAAGGATGCCCCCCCAACGACGCCAAACGCCAACTTTCTGGCCGTGATGATCTCCGCGCGCCACCCCTGGCTGGTTAATCTTAAGACTGACACCGCCACCGGGAAGACAAGTCAGTCGGTCCATACGGAGTACTGAGTTTATTGTTCTGTGTCGATCCCGGAGTGCCCGGTGCGGCTGGAAGCATCGCGGGGGTTGCGTTCGTCTTCTTCCCATTAGCGAATGAAACGTGTGTAATCTTAGTGCAATCAAAGTGACACTTCACATTGCCAACGGCGCCACCTAGTATTCCGGCTCGGTCCTTGTCTGTCATCGGTATCGGCGGCCTTTCGCGTCCAATAGCCTTTTCTGCAGTTTCGGGTGCCCCGTCGTACGTCTTTCGACACCCAGGGTTACCCCAGCTTGCTAATTTAAGCGCCGCATAAGCCGGTAAGAAATAAAGCTTTTTCGCACAGCCTAGGAATGCGCATGTCAGCATCCCGGCCAACCAAACAAGTCGACTCCGTCCGCCGTGGGGGGAACACAGGGTCCGAGACCACCGCCGCCACGCCCGAATATATGGGGACCGGTGCCGCCCGCGCGTGTGCAAACCCATCCGTCCCTCCGATGACCCTCCGGCCTGCGCCCGGCTGAGAGGGACCGAACGGAGTGGAGAGGGGGAAAAGACCCAAAATGTGTCCTCATCTTCCGCCAGTGACTAGGTCGGAACAGGAAGTATGGGCTCGAAGGCGTTGATTGGTCAAGCAAGCCAGAACGGAATCCCTGTTATCTGTCGGCTCATCGGACGGACTCCGCTCGCTCGCTCCGCGGCCCCTCCTCCGATCTCTGGTTGAACCATAGTTAACAAGCGCCCCCCAACATTCCCATGAGTTGGCTCGTTTGTTCGCGTTCCGGTTTCCCGTCGCCTTCGTTGAACACGCCGCCGCCGGCTTCTATCCGCAAGGAATCCGCGCCGAAGCCTGCCCAGCATGAGCAGCACGAGCAGCGCGACAGCGTCTCGGGAGCCTGCAACCGTTGCCGATGACTCAGGTGCGCAGTGCTGCGAGGAACCCGGATCGCTACCAGGTTGGCGGGAGCGGAATCCCGTCCCCGGAGATGGCACCACGTAAGTAGCATGTAACCGGCTCGATGAGAGAGTGTGTGTGGCAGACGATTACGGCCTCGTCAGATAACACAACCAATGGGAGGCGTACAAGAGCCATGCTTTCTTTTCCCCCGGCTGACGGATGACCGGTGTGGGTTTAGGGGGGAACCTGGACGTCAGCCACACGGCCAATTCCAGGTCTTTGCCCTCACAAACCGGCCCAAACAGACCCGAGCGAGAGCTCCGAAGACCCGAAAGGGGTGCAAAGAATGCAGGTACGCCGAGGTCTGGATTTCGTAGTTGTACTAGTCTGACCACCCGAGCTTGGACGGCAGGCGACGCCACGTCAGATGCGACCTGGCCACGCCGCACTGCATGCGATGCGTAAAGGCCAATCGACTCTGCGAGGGATACGACGACCCAGACGCCCTGGTAGCGCAGCCCAAGAAGCCTCGGGGCCTGGCGCCGCTCGCCCCTCGCCCGGGGGCGGGGGCGGGGGCGGGGGCGGGAAGCGTCCCCCAAGGCGCCGACGTTCGCATCCTGATGACCCCCGGCGTGGAAGCGGCGCTGTTCCGCCACCAGAGGCAATGGGACGCGTTCCAGGTTTTCGTCGTCAACCACGAGCAGGGCGACACCATCTTGAGGGACGGCATGGGGGTGATGATGCTGCAGTGCTCCCACTCCGAGACGGCCCTCCGCGAGGTCTGCAGCGGCATCGGGGCGCTGGTCAGGGTGCTCGGCCACCACATCTTCGACGAGGAGCCGATGGACGCAGACTACAGCCAGGCCCTGGAGCACTACGGCCGGGGCGCCAAGGCCGTCGTCAGCGCCGGCACGGCGGCGGACAACCTGCCGAGCGTGATCCTGACGTCGTTCCTGTTCGTCACCTTTGACATGATAGCCGGCAACGTCGCGTCCGCCGTCAAGCACCACAACCACGCCGTCGCCATGATGGAGCAGTACGTCGACGTCCGGGTCGAGCGCGAGGGGGTGCCGCTCGAGAGGCTCCGCTTCTCCCGCCTCGAGACCGGCATGTACGAGTGGTTGCTGCGCCACGACACCCACCCCTGGGCCCTCGGCTTCGGCGGCCCGGAGTGCCTGCGGACCATCGCCCCGGCCCGGAGGTTCCCGCACTGCCGCCACAGGCACACGATGCGGGACATCCCGGAGGCCTTTGACGCCATCGCTCAGGCCACGTCCTGGTGGTACGTCGCGCAGCACGCCATGCTGCACTGCCTGCACGAGATCAAGCTCAAGACCAAGGCGAAGACCAAGACCAAGGTCCCGAAGGGCGGAGACGAGGAGGACGGCAGCAGCGCGGCGTCGTCCCTCTGGGGAGAATGCGTCGCGATCCTGCAGTCCTGGCGCGCGAGCTTCGCGCCTCTGCTGCAGGCCGCCAGACGGCACCGCGACCGCAGCTACCGCCGCTGGTTCAAGGCCATGACGCTCGAGACGCTCTACGTCGAGACGCTCGCGGCCGTCCACGCGCGGCGGCCCGGGAACGGGAGCGCGGACGTCCTCGTGCCCCCCGCCGCCGTCGCCGCGTCGCCGCTGTACGTCGAGATGATCCGGCACGCCGTGCGGCTGGCCGAGGCGCTGGGGCCGTTCAACGGGGTGGAGACGCTGGTGGAGGAGAACGATATCGTGCGGCCGCTGGCGTGCGTGCAGTTCAAGACGCGGGACCCGGCCGTCGTGCGGGAGCTGACGGGCGCGCTGCGGCGCCTCGGCGGCGGAACGGGCATCGCCGAGAGCTTGCTGTACATGCGCGAGTTCCGGGGCCAGGGCCGGCCGCTGAAGGGGTTGGAGAGGGGCTGGGGCTTCGCCATGACCTCGGCGGGGATGACCATGGGCGCCGAGTTGCTCGATTACCTGGACTGAGCTGGGGGATGGGGGATGGGGGGGACAGGAAACGTAGATTTGTGGCCGTCATATTGAGGGTAACGTGCAGGTTCCTTCTGACGAAACGCTCCAGCTTGATTTTCCAGCACTCATGTGAACCTTTTGTTCCTTGCCGGGGAGGACGGGATGATGTATATAGTACACAGCCTGGGAAAGCGCCTCAGCGCGACATTGGTAGGGAGCCAGAAACGATTATTCCCATGGTGATACGATAGCCAAACATGACCCTGCGCGGGAGAAGGAAATGACAAAAGAGAAGCACAATTTCACGCCGTTTCCAAACCCCCATGGGGTTGTTGAAGATCCAAGACTGTCAGGGGTTCAAAGATGGCAGAGAGTGTCGGTCATGCTAGTTTCGGCCTGTCTGCCGACCGACTGGAAGACGTATCTAAGCCGCTGGAAAGTAGTCTAGAGAGGTACGTCAGGATATGCGGCCGCTAATTGTATGTCCGGATACATGGCTGTATGTACAGGATATGATGAACGACGATAGAGGATTTACATGGGTGCGAGAAGGCGCCTTCGGACTTCACCCCTCGACATGATCCGAAAACTTCGTTCGCCTTTGGGAGGTGACCTCCTCTTTCCAGTGTCACGGGATGACGGACGAGACCGGGGCGGTTTCCCGGTCGTTGCCCAACTCTCGCCGAGTGAGTTGGGTAGACCGGCTTACCTCGCGGGCCTGCTGAGGAGAGGCTCCTGGTCGCCGCCCTCGTGGCCCACCTGCTGCTGCTTGTCTCTCTTGTTGTAGGGCCAGTAGCCCTTCTCCTTGCAGATCATGGCGAAGAAGCCGGTGGCGACGGCGACCCAGTACAGGTTGTACGAGACGACGGAGCCGACGGTGGCCGAGTTCTGCCAGCCCAGGACGGCGTTGAAGATGCCCCAGAAGCCGCCGCCGTTGAGGTCGGGGTTACAGCACTGGGCGGTTTGTCAAACGGTTGCTCTAGCATCTGAGTTTTGGGGGAAGGGTGCTCACGTTTACGTGCCAGACGCTTCTGCGGATGTCGTAGGAGCCGGGTCCAGAGCCGAGCTCCGCCGCGTCGCCTCCGACAATCTTGTTCCACTTGACGGCATGTTAGCGTGCCCCACCCCGGCGAGCTCGTGGGGGAGGGAAGGAAAGGACGCACCTCGTTTTGCTCGAAATGCCACACGCCCTTGGAGAAGAGGCCGGCGGCGATGAGGTACAGGAAGCAAGTCGAGACGATGAGGAAGACCTGGATGGGCGCCTTCTTGGAGCCCCTGCGCGCGCGGAGAGAATGAGTGAGATGTTTGTCTACCACAACGTCTGCGACGTCTAGCGCCGGGACTCACCTGTAGATGAAGTAGCCAACGACGGCGCCGAGAGCGAGGCCGAGAATGGCGGATGCGGCGATGGAGGCGGCGGTCTCGCTCACGCCTACGCCGGCGATGAAAAGGACGCCCTCAAAGCCCTCGCGCAGGACGGTGATGAAGGGCAGCAGGAACAAGGCGTACTTCTCGCCGAGGTACTTGAGGCGGTCGCGGAAGGGGCCGGCATGGCTCCGGCCGGCGCTGAGGGCCTTGGACAGCTTCAGGCGCCACTTGTCCTGGAGCTTGGTGACGCGCAGCAGGACGGCGCCCATGGCGGTGATGACGAGGGAGGCGCTGAGGGAGAAGATGCCTTCCCAGACGCTCTCGGCGGCGGCAAAGCGGTCGGCGCCGAGGCTGCGGATGCCGCTGATGATGGCCATGGCGATGAGGACGCAGGTGAGGAGGCCGGCGGCGGTACCGACCCAGACCTGCCTCTCCATCTTCTGCTGGAGGGAGGGGTCATCCTTGGTGGCAAGGGTGCGCCTGATGAAGGCGAGGAGTACGGAGACGATGATTGCGGTCTCGAGGGACTCGCGGAAGGTGATGAAGAATACTGCAGGGTTGTTGTTAGTGGGAGAGCGATACCGAGGTCGGGAGAAAAGGTTGGAGGGGGGTTTGTTCGTACTGGGGAGGGAGAATAGATCCTCCATTGTTGCGAATCGACCCGACGGCGTGCCACGGGATGGTAGGTCGATGTGCGGGTGAGAATGAGTATGAGTATGAGAATGAGTATGAGAATGAGAATGAGTATGAGAATGAGTATGAGAATGAGTATGAGAATGAGTATGAGAATGAGTATGAGAATGAGTATGAGAATGAGTATGAGAATGAGTATGAGAATGAGTATGAGAATGAGGTGAGAGTAAGAGTGAAAGTGAGAGTGAGAGTAAGGGTGTTGAGGTTAAGGATGAGCGGGTGGCGGCCGCGGAATGAGTGATGGAATGGCCCAACCAGAACCAGAGACGGCTAGGTGTCGGATGCGGTGACACGGCACTGGAACTCAAGAGGCAGCAGAGCCCGGATGCAAGGCACGCAGGTGTATGGATGTATGTATGAAGGTTACGTACGGACCGGCGTAGAGTTCGGTAGCAATGACAGGAGGACGAAGATGGCTTCACCTCGTGGGGGACGGATGAGGCGGAGGAAGCATGGGGCAAGAATAGGCGACTATGCAATTAAGACTGTGCCGAGGAACCAAGACGGGGGCTCAGCCACGGGGATTCCTGTCGTGTGTCGTGTGAGAGCGGATTCCGAAAGGGTTTTCATCTCCTTCTTCCCAGAGTCACGCTACCAAGGAGGAGGGGCATCGTACCTGCCACTAGACGCTGTCGGATCAGATAAAAAAGCAGGTGCATCCCACTCAAAAGCGGGTCCATCCGCCCAACGCAGGTACGTACCCTACGTTGGACGGCCCATAAGGAAGGCGCGAAGTGCGGCTTTTCCCTTATCAGATCGTTGTTTCCACATGGCGTAATTTTGTCATCAGGCGACGCTTTTTCACGTGTGCCTTTTCATCTATTGTCTCGCTTCGCTTCACTTCGCTCCTGCCATGTAAATCAAATCACCTGCATTCTGCCCGCCCACATTTGCTTACCGCCGTCGCCCCCGCCGACCTCCGCCCTCCGACCTCCGCTCTCCGCCGTCTACACCACCTCATCCTGGTTCAAGTGTCTATCTACAGCGGGCTGGGAAGATCCGATCCGTCCAATGTCCTCCACACTCGGTCTGGATCATATGGAAGCTGCCCTATTTTTTTCTTTTTTTTTTTCTGTGGGATCTGACAAGTCTATGAATCACGACCGAACTCTCGCTCCTTTGACTTCCACTTGACTTGACAGAGACATAGACCCGGGCTGCACACGACACAAGGGAGCCAACACACGCTCTCTCTTTCCCTCTCTTTCCCTCTCTCTCTCTCTCTCCCACCCCCCGTCCACCATGGCCTTCTCATCGCCGCCCTCGGCCTTCTTGGCTCGATTCGCTGCTCTGGCGCTCTTCGTAACATGCGTCCTGGCAAAGACCATCGAGCTCGACTGGAGCATTGGATGGGTCCTGGCCAACCCGGACGGCGCATTCGACAAGCCCACCATCGGCGTCAACGGTCACTGGCCCCTGCCTCTCATCGAGGCCGACAAGGGCGACAGGCTGCTGCTCACCGTTCATAACCACCTGGGGAATGCGAGCACCAGTCTGCACTTTCATGGTCTGTTCCAGAACGGCACCAACCACATGGATGGTGCCGCCGGCATAACCCAATGCGCCATCCCCCCCGGGAACTCCTTTACATACGATTTCGAGGTGAGTCCTCGCCCGTCGTCTTAGACCAACCCCTCGTCCCCCGTGAGCTAGCTCATGCCGATTTTCAGTTTGACCAAGTCGGCACCTACTGGTACCACGCCCACAACGATGGCCAGTATCCAGAAGGTCTCCGCGGTCCCCTGGTCATCCACGACCCCGAGGGCCCTTACGAGGGGAAATACGACGAGGAGCTCGTCATCACCGTCTCCGACTGGTACCACCAGTCGACCCGCTCTCTCATCAAGAAGATGATCAACGTCGAGAACCCCACCGGCGCCGAGCCCGTCCCCAACTCGGCCCTCATGAACGACACCCAGGACCTCAAGGTCAACGTCCAGCCCGGCAAGACCTACCTCGTCCGCATGGTCAACATTGGTGCCTTCGCCTCTCACTACGTCTGGTTCGAGGGCCACTCGCTGCGCGTCGTCGAGGTCGATGGCGTCTGGACCCACGAGGCCGAGGCCGACATGCTCTACATCGCTCCCGCCCAGCGTTACAGCGTCCTGTTGACGACCAAAGATGACGCGTCCCGCAACTTTGCCATCGTCGCCGCCATGGACGAGGACCTCTTTGACACGATCCCCGACGGTCTGAACGCCAACGTCACCGGCTGGCTCGTCTACGACGACCAGAGGTCCCTACCGGAGCCTACTGCCGTCGACGACTTTGAACCCCTCGATGACTTTGGTCTGGTTCCCTTTGACGAGATGGACCTCCTCGATAAGGTCGACTACTCCTTCAGCCTCGACGTCAAGATGGACAACCTCGCCGACGGCGCAAACTAGTGAGTTGACGTCCCGCCCTCACGCGAACCGCCCTCGACTGACCACCATGCAGCGCCTTCTTCAACAACAAGACCTACGTCCTGCCCAAGGTCCCCTCGCTCTACACGGCTTTGACTGTCGGCGCCGAGCATGCCGCCGACCCCCGTGTCTACGGCACCCACTCCATCCCGTACGTCTTGAGGCACAACGACGTCGTCGAAATCATCCTGAACAACGATGACGACGGTAAGCACCCTTTCCATCTGCACGGCCACCAGTTCCAGGTCGTCCACCGTTCCGATGAGGACGCCGGTCATTTCGCCAACGGCACCGCCGTCGCCCTGCCGCGCCGCCCCATGCGCCGCGACACCCTCCTCGTCGAGGGCAACGGCAACTTTGTCATCCGCTTCAGGGCCGACAACCCCGGCGTGTGGCTGTTCCACTGCCACATCGAGTGGCACATGGACCAAGGCCTCATCGCCACCATCGTCGAGGCGCCCGAGGCCCTGCAGGGGCACAAGATCCCCGAGGGCCACTTGGACGTGTGCCGTGCCGCGGGCGTTCCGACGCGAGGCAACGCCGCTGGGAACACGAAGAACGTGCTCGACCTCACGGGCGAGAACAAGCCCCCGGGTCCTCTGCCTGATGGTTTCACCCCCAAGGGCTATGTCGCCATGTTCTTCAGTTGCGTCGCCGCCTTCTTGGGCATGAGCATCATTTCATGGCAAGTCTCGTCGTCTCGTTGGCATGGCTGCTGGCACAACGGAACTAACTCTTTTGACAGGTACGGAGCCATGGACTCCGGCAAGGAGTCCAGTATCGAAGAGAGTCCTCCCCCCGAATATACGGACGGGGACGAATAAAATATGTGGGTTACATAGCAAGACATTTACGTATATACCAAGTTACGTTAGAATTTGAGTCGGACATAACATTTCCAAACAAGTGGCGTCGGTTTTGGTACTGATGGCAGTCAAGTCACAACGGTCTCCGAACCTTATTCCACGTCAACAGGGCAGGGGCCTGTTATAGGGCCGCAGGGATACGAGGGGGGGGCTGTGGGTGCTTCGCATGTTCTGCGAGCAGGCTCTCTTCATGCGCCGGGCTTCCGTCCTCCAGCCGAGTTTGAGCACCCCGATAGCTCCGGGCTCATGGGCAATCCCGAGCCCGACCACAACTGGCATCGATCCGGAGCCAAATTGACTCATTCATGTTCGGAGTATCATCCACTGCCCGATAACACCCAAACCCTCTGTCACACACACATAAATGTAACAGTCTTTACACCTACGCTGATTACGCAGCTTGAGGCCGGCGTCGCAGCTTAACTGTGCAGGCACACGCCCTCGACCCGCCAGCTCGGAAGGCGGCGAGAACCACGCCGGCGAAAGTGAGACGACGTTGTAACGGGTCCCCCCCTCTCTTCTCGCTTCTCGCGCAAGTTCTATTTTCACAACAGGTACCAGGCCCAGGCGAAACATACCATGGCAATGGAGGTCCCGATGGAATGGGCGGCGGCGGCGGCGATGGAGACCAGGACGGCGCAGGTGACGAAGGAACGCATCTTGGAGTTGAGAGGCTGAATGGGGTGACTTGGAGATTATCTGGGGGAGTGGAGAAGGGAGAAGAGGATTGGGTAGGAGGAGGGGTTTCGTCTTGATGTCGATCTAAGTGATGAAGCGAGCTTGCGTGCGGGAAGAGGGGGGGGCAGAGACAGGAATAGCGAACGCCGGGAGAAGCGGTTGTTACATGCTTGTATTGAGGCTCTATTCTAGCAATCACCACCTTGGGAGGAACAGTCCGTCTACCACACGTGCCGTGCGTCAGTCCAGGCTTGCCGGGCTTTGGAGGGGACATGGGAAGCTTGTGTTAGTCCCTGGTGTAGAGAGGACCCCATCAGCCGCCGAGAAGGGGTCAGGGCCAAGGCATTGACCCTTGGTGCTCGGATTTGCGCCGGATCGCCGAACCGGATCTCAGTGTATGTGTGTGTGTGTATGTTTTAACCTGCGAGTTGCCGAAGAAGCTCGTCTCACGGGGTGAAGGAAGCCAAGCAGTCCCGCCGGGGCCTAACGCAACTCTCTATGTGCATCTGCGTAGTACTGCTGCCACTCCGTCATGGGGACTAGGGGAACCAACGCCAATCCTTGTCTTCAAAATGGAAGAGTGGGAGGGGGGGTTGGTGATGCATCTAATCTTATCAATCACATCAGTTCACTACCAAAACAACCCACAACAACTCATCGGGCATAGGCCAACGAACGCCGGCGAACGATTCCGGGTTCGGGCATGCCGCGCCTGCTGCCAAGAGAGACGGTGGGACGCGGCGGGCGTGTTCCCATTGGGCCAAGGGATCTGATAAGCTGGCATCCCGGAAAGAGACTCTTTTGTATTACTATTATTGCTATTATTGCTATTATTGTCATCATTTTACGTTCGAAGCCGTTCCCGGGGTGGTATGCCTCCATCGCACCACCACGGCGAGTCTGGCGATGCGCGACCTCGCCTTTCGTATTCCCAGCTGTCGCCAAGCTGTTATACAGCGATTCCCTGTTCTGACTCGGATGCCATCTGCAAGACGTCTCTCCTTCGACATAAAGTTCGCATGCGCGTCTCTCTGTCTGGCCTTGGGCTGCCGCTTGGGGGAAGACACGTCGTGAACATGAACGATACCTCCCAAGAGTTATCCCAATATACGCTGTCGCCACCTGCACCACCATCACCCCATCAGTGCCCCGTCCAACAGAAAGCCGGCCGGCAGATATGTGGGCTCCCGCGGATGGGTTCCCAGCGTTGTTCTGGGCCGCGTCTGTAGCAGCAGCCCTCGCGTTACTGCGTTCGTTTCTGTCGGTCGCCCTCGTTGCTCGTCTGTCATGGTGCGGCCGATTCTTCGGAAGCATGTGCGAGCGGGCTCGGCGGAAGTGGCTGGAAGGAACAAAGTCTGGCAGCCTTCTTGGATCCGGCGGGAGACGAGAGATGGAGAGAGCTTTTGTCGTGAACTGACGGACAGAAACAGTCGGCGGAAAGGCGGCCCTCGTCGCTCGGGACGACTACTACAACACCAAGATCTCCATCTCTTACAAGAACGGTGAGCCGAACCTGGCATCTTTCACAATCCATCTCACCAAGAACAAGCACCATCACCTCAACAGCCACCCCCCCCGCAGTATCGCACTAACTAACAAACAAACCCTCCCCAGATCCGACCTCCAACAGCGACTTCACCACCATCATCCAGGAGCAGTCCGTCGCGGGCCTCGCGACGCGTCTTGGTGAGGTTGGGTGCGTGAGGTAACGTATCCGAGGCGGTCGCCCCCCCCCATCAAGGTCGCACAGGTACACATTATGATACTCTAGCACAGTCGGTAAACAAGACTGGTGAGTTGGGAGACGTCGGTCGTAGGGTGCGTCGGCGCTGGAGGTTGGACGAGGGGAGAGTGATTCGTGTTCGCTGATGGGTGGACTGGGAGGGTGATGTGCCATGTGCGATGAGACGATGTCCCGATCTTTAGAGTTAGCAAGCGATGTTATAACTTACAACTACGGTACGGGAATGATGCTTCTCGCCTGTAATCACACATTCGCCACGTTTTTTTTGGTGTCGGTAGTGACATGGTGAAGCCACCTACTCGTAGGAGTATCTTTTTTATTACTCTGAATCACTCCTAGATCCCGCATCGTGACACCAACAACAACTCAATAAAGAACAATAGTGACAATCTCCACAAACCGATGACCGTTAAGAAGAAGAAGAAGAAAAACACCGATTCGACGTGTCAACACATTTGCTGGACATGTCGAAACGATTGTGTATCAGTCGGCGCTCCCACTCACTCCTCCGTTACGCAAACACGCGTAACATTGATAACCAACTCTGGAAACACGGGTCATTTGGAGAGGGGGGGAAAAGGGAAAAAAGGAAGCAAAAAAGAAAGAAAGAAGAAAAAAGAAGAAGAAAACGTCATCGCGGCCGCTGCCTCGCTCAAACGCACGAGGCGGCCATGATCCCGGAGAGCAGCCCGCATCACGCCGCCCCCAAGCTCCTGCGCTTCTCGGCCTTGGACGCGCCGCCGAACCCCAGAGCCTTGTTGACGATGGTGTCCACGATGGAGGATATCTCGCCCTTCTGCCGCTTCTGATCTTGTTGCTGCTGCTGCTGCTGATGCTGTTGTTCGTGATGATGGTCTTGCTGGCTCGTGCCGCCGTCATTGCCCCCGCCGACGTCGCGGTTGGCCGCCGCCGCCGTCACGTCGTACGTGTCCGTGTCCGTGTTCCTGTCCATGCGTGTTTAGCGTCCGATACTCTCACTTATGCGGGGGAAAAGGGGGGGAGGGGGCGAGGCCAGCAGGACGTACTGCAACTGAACGTGCCCATCTGAGCCGGGGGGAGTCTGATGGATGCCGCTGTCGCCGGCGTGGACACCGGGGGCGGATTCGTTTGGTGCTGTCGCGGACATATTCTGGCTTGCTTGGTGCGATGGCACGTTTGCGGTCTGTGATTGTCCCTTTTTTTCTTCCCCCCTTTCTTGCTTGGCTGTTGTTGGAGTAGACACGGCTTTATAGCGTTCTCGGTGAGTCGACCGCCATCATCATCACGTCTCGGCCGCGAAACATGCGTCGTCGCTCTCATTAACCTTTACAAACAGCATCACCCGTACGTCATAGAGACCCGAAGGAGGCTGTGCCGACACCGAGGTATGACTACAAGGCGGTGCCCCGCCGGAGAGTGTGCTTACTACACCTTATAGACAAGCGGTCCGGCTGGCTGGCTGGCTGGAGGGTTTATATCAAACATCGGATGGTCCGGGCAACTTTGGCATGGGTGATGAGAAACAACCGACATTTCCGTCAGAAACTGTTAATCAACATCGACACGAAATGCGCCAACAAACTGTCGCCGTCGCCCCTCCTGCACGCGGGCTCTTCGAATATCGCCAGCGTTCTCTATCCTCGGCCAGGGAAGCTGGGCGACGGGAACACGAGCCGTATGGCACTCGTGTTTGTTCTCTCAGACTGGCAAGGGATCCAAGACGCCTGTCCGCCCCTCCCCTCAGTGTAGCTATAGACGAGACAGCCCGCCCTGACTGTGCCTCCGTCGCCGTCGTTGTTACCTAGAACCCAAATCCGATAATCCCATCTCGTTCCACTTACTAACGTGTTCCTCCGTGTCCGCGGCAGAACGGCCACTCGAAAGGGTAACCACTCACAAACGCTAAACACCCGCCTCAGAAGCTTCAGACGCCCGATCGGCTCTTTCCACCGCCCCCCTCCTTGCCGAACGGGAACTGGAGGGACTCCGACGGAAGGCCGACCTTGCACCCGGCCTCCTAGGAGACCCGGGAGCCCGTGGTCGACGCCATCGTCGTGCCTGCTATACCTGGGGCGCGGGTGCATGATGGACGGGGCGAAAGGGCCGCATAAGTTGAACCAAGGACGATTCTTATGCGATGAGTCAGAGAAGAAGAAAAAAAAAAGAAAAAAAAAAAGAAGGGCTTCTCGTGCTATAGGAGATGCGCCGATGCTTGATAGTCTCCAGCAGGGGTCTTTCCTGGTCGAGGGGGACTCTGTGCATCCAGTCCTTCTTTCATGACCTCCCTCATGTAGGGCGTTGCCGTCCAGTCGTCTGGTGATACACGGGCCTTTCTCGGCTTCTGCCTCGGCCAACGTTTTCCAGATCCTTTTGGCGTATGCTGCAAAAATAGAACCGAGGGCTGGTTGCACCGTTTCACCAAGAATGCTTCCTTCGCGCCCCCGATCTACTCTCGCACGCCTCTTGCACCGTGTCGTTTGGTATCCGCATCCTTGCCGTTGCAGGACCGAGGGAGGTATACGCGTTCAGACTGGATGGATTGGGAAAAATCGATGTTCTGACTCACCGTCACATGTTGTCTTGAAGAGCGGGAGCGAAACTGAGCGAAGACACTGTTGTGCGCTGCGTGGCGGCTCTAGTTGATTGACATGCGAACCGCAAGTCGACGCCGTGAGGAACATGCCAGTTTGATGTACCCTGCACGTCTCCATCCAGCCGGTTGCCAGAAGCCCATCTGCCATCTTGCACCATAGGAGTTACTCAGGGAGATGTGGTCATACTGAGCCAGGTTTGTGAGTGTCAAACGATGAGTTGCTGGCTGCCATCAAAAGAAAAGAAAAGAAAAAAGCTGGCAGAAGACAAGCGCAAGCGGTGACATCACCGGTATTCGCAAACAACTTTACCGCGCTTTGCCGGATCTGAACAAGTCGGGAGCTTCAGGCTGGGGGTCCGAACGTGCCGGTACTCCCGCCGCATTCCCGGGCAACTAGTCGGCATCTGGTTGGCTCCCCGGCCGGTACCGGCCGGGAAACGCGAGCCGCGAGTGGGTTCAAAGGGGACTTGGAACGTCGGACAGACAATCTCGGCATCTCGATGACTGACTAATGCGTGATGCGAAACGGAGGGGGTTTTCCAGATGCCGTCTACCCTAGCCCGTCTCTCACTTGCTAGTTTCGCCCGTGTACGGACTGGTATTTCCAATCCTTGCCACGCGGCTTATAACCTCGGCAACCGACGGGACGTTGTGTGTTTGTTGGATGAGTCAAAGAAACCAAACCAAACCAAACATTATGAACAACTCCGGCGCGCCAAGTCAGCAATAAGATTCTTTTAGACACCCTCTCCCCCCCCCCCCCTCCCCTCGTTCGTCGGGATGCGGTAGCACTGTAATCGACCGACTGACTGCTCTCCGCCCACATCTCCAGCATAACGATTGTGGCGACGTCTGACTTGTGCCCGCACGCCTCGCCTCGCTGTCCCCGCCGGCCGGCAGCAACAACACGACGCGCAGGCCCAGCGCTTGCCACGATGGACGGCCCCGACAAGGAGACCAGGTCCGACTCGTCCCGGGACGATGGCGGAGGAGGAGAGACCGTCCGCACCGGGAGTCGCGTCGGGCGCGTGTTGAGCCGCATCGCGTCCACGCCCACGGCGGACCCCGGTCCTCCGCCGGACGGAGGATACGATGCCTGGATGGCCGGTGAGCAGGCGTCAACGCGCCCTTTGTCTGTTGTCTGAATGAGTCGAGCTGACCATGCCCCTCTCTCTCTCTCTCTCTCTCTCGCATAGTCCTGAGTGCGCACTTCATCTTCATGGACACATGGTGAGCACACACACACACACACACACACACAAACATGTCACCTTGGCGCTGAAAGGGGGAACGCACCCGTCCCGGAACTGACCGTCGCATAGGGGGTTCGTCAACTCGTTTGGCGTGTTCCAGACGTACTACGTCCGGCAGCTGGGCCGGCCGCCCTCGGACATCTCCTGGATCGGGTCGTTCCAGGTCTTCCTCCTCTTCTTCGTCGGCGCCTTCTCCGGCCGCTTCACGGACGCGGGCTACTTCCGGCACCTCTTCCTGTGCGGGTCCTTCCTGGTGCTCCTCGGCATCTTCGCCACGTCGTGGTGCACGCGGTACTGGCAGATCTTCCTCGCCCACGGCGTGTGCGTCGGCCTGGGCTTCGGCCTCGTCTTCTGCCCGTCGCTGGCCACGCTGTCGACCTACTTTGACAGGAAGCGGGCGCTGGCCATCGGCATCGCCGCCGTCGGCAGCGCGTCCGGCGGCCTCGTCTTCCCGAGCACCGTCCGCCAGCTTCTGCCGCGCGTCGGCTTCCCCTGGGCCATGCGCACCCTCGGCTTCATCCAGCTCGCGACGCTGTCCGTGGGCCTGGTCTTCCTGAAGCCGCGGATACCGCCGCGCAGGGCCACCGAGGTCGTCGACCTGTCCGCCTTCAGGGAGCTCGAGTACACCTTCTACACCGCGGGAGGGTTCTTTGTAAGTCACAGTCGGCGCGGGCGGCCTTTTCTGCCGAGTACAGGAAGAAGAAGGAAAAAAAAGAAAAAAAAAAAGAAAGAAAGCGGAACGAATTGCTGAGACCATTGATTGATTGCTTGCTAGTCCTTCATGGGCGTATACTTTGCCTTCTACTACCTGGCCTCGTACAGCCGAGACGAGCTCGGGTTTTCGTACACGGACTCGCTGAACCTGCTCCTGGTCCTCAACGGCATCGGCTTCGTGGGGCGCCTCGGGCCCAACTTCCTCGCCGACAAGGTCGGGACCATCACCGTCTTCACGCCCATGGCGTTCCTCTCGGGGCTCATGATGTACTGCTGGATCGCCGTCGGGTCCCCGACGGGCCTCTACGTCTGGACCGTCTTCTTCGGCGTCGCCGGCAACGCCATCCAGTCCCTCTTCCCCGCCGGCATCAGCGCCCTGACGACGGACCCGAGCAAGCAGGGCTCGCGCATCGGCATGGTCTTCACCGTCGTCTCCTTCGCCGTGCTCACCGGCAACCCGATCGCCGGCGCCATCGTCTCCGCCACCGGCGGTCGCTACCTCGGCGCCCAGGCCTTTGCCGGCAGCTGTCTGATGCTCGGGTCGTTCTTCCTCGCGCTGGCCCGCGTCGTCAAGACGAGGAGGATAGGAAACGGGTGGTTTGTCAAGGTTTAACGTGGCCGGGGCCCCGCGCACGAGCTCGCATGTATCCAACGTACAACTCTCCGAAGCCGTAAAGCTGTAATTGTAAACGTCTTCTTCTCTCCTATCAGATGCAGTGACACGGGCTGTTGAAGGGTGACGACTGGAGTCGTCTCGGTCAGCCGCATGGCCGGCCGTTGGGCGCCAGCAATCACCTAGTCATCAGACTCGAACCATGTTGGAAGATCGGGGTACATTAACGACATATCCGGTCCATCTTGATGCGTGCGGGCACTCGGGCCCGTATCATGCATTCATGCGAATTAGCACTCCAATAGGTAGGTTTCAGGGGGGCATAATTAAGAAGACAGGGACATATCGCTCGAAAGTGAAATCGAGACCAGGTCTTTCAGAAACCTTGCACAGCACACACACACACACACGTTTACTGGCACCGGTCGTATGCGTTTCCAAGTGTGCGAATAGCGTCGAGGTTGACGCGGCAACAAACCGAACCTGTTTGTTTTCGTCGCCTCGACGCACGTCACGGTGAAAACTGGCCTCCCGGGAACTTGATGATGCCGGGACATGTTCCCGTCATCGTCAAAACCCCGTCGGTGCGCGTAGTACTATCTGTGATGGCGGCATTGGCCTTGAACTTTGAAGCAGTCTTTGAGCCTCCGACAGATCACCGCGAAACCCACCCAACACCCATCTGACATGGGGCGGTGAACTGCGTCGACCCGAGATGATGGACCTCTCGGCTGGTCTCAACCGACATGATCCCCATGACGGCTTCGTTGGTCTGGACAAGTAGCCCCGACTGCGCGGCGCAAGCCCACGAGAACCGCACCGCAGTGCTCGAGTCCTGACGCCAGACCGGCGGCGCCGGGTGTTTTCAGCCTGCCGATCATACAGCATGAGGCGGCTGTCTCCCCGAGCATCGTCACGAGAATTTCACAGATTTGGCCGCTTCGGGGGAGGAAGTAAGCGTTCGGCTGGAGCTGGAGCTGGACCAGTTGGCTGAGCAGAGTGTCAGTGATATCTCCAAGGCGACTCTAGTCCCGGACCCCCTTCCACCTCCACGGGAGAACCGAAACTTGTCTTCACAACGCGCGCAAACCAACCGCGTCGGTTTGATCCATCAAAGGCTGGTTTCGCCAACCGGCATGTATGCGAACGTGATTCACGAGTGTTTTTTGCGGCTGGCGACCTTGACCAACGCGTCTAACTGACCAAGAAACGTCTTTGCAACGCCGAATACGCGGAAACGCCCCTCGAGACGAAACGCTGCTGTGATGCTCAAAGTCTTGCCTCAGCTCCTCGCCACGTTGACTGTGTGTCTGTCTGTCTGTCTGTCTGCACAACCAGCATCGGCAATTCGGTCTCGTCCTCGAAGACGAAGGCGGCCGGCTGATTACGAAAGACAGGTCCGACGGACCACGTTTTAGCAATGCACGCGCCGTCGCCGCGGAGAGTCTCAGTCGCGTGTGCCGCCCTGACTCGCTACCAGCCCAAGGGGACACGGCGCAAGGACATGCGGTCAGGAAACGGTCAAAGGAACACACGAAGCTCGACGAGAGGAAGGTCGAAGGCCCTCCCCCGAGCGAAATGAGCAGGACACCGGCTCCTCCGAGAGGGGGGGTTCGTCCTATGAGGGCCGTCATCCCAGGGTTTTATGGGACGGCGAGGGCGGGGGGAGCGTTGCAACAAGACTCTATTCTGCGGGTAACTGACACCCTGAATGTCTGGTCAGGGGCCGCCGACTCCGTAGACGAGTTTATTCTCTGCTGTTGGACCGTTGGACGAGTGTCCGTCTCCCGGGATGGCCCCTATCGCCTTGGAGCTTAAAGTTCGCAACCTGGAACAGCAGCGACGCGCGAGTCGCGACAAACGAAATCAAAACCCCGTCTGAAACCCCCCACTGCCACCCCAGTTCTGCTTCCTAGCAGCGGCCCGGGGGGGGGGGGGAGGGGGACTCGTCTTTTCAAGGTTGAGGGTTGGACGTGGTGCGCAGGACAGCGCCCGCGTCGAGACGGCGACGAGAAGGACGGAAGTTCCTGGTGCCGGCGTTCGAGGCCGTATAACAACAGACGGCAAGCCCACCTCAACAACATCGCGTCCTTATTTCAGACGACAGACAGTGCTCCCTATTCGTCGGCGGTGCTTGTGTTTGGTCTGCTACTATTACTATTACTATTTCATAATCCATCCAGTCTGTGACTCGGGCCGCCATGCCTTCCATCACGCAGACCCTCGTTTCTCTTCTGTCAGCCGCCGCGTACGTCGGCCAAGTCCGGGCGGTTGATCCGTTCGTCGATCTTGGCTACACGACGCTGCAGGGCGTCGCCGAGCCGGGCGGTGCGACGCGATGGCTGGGCGTCAGATACGCCGCGCCGCCGCTGGGCCCGCTCCGGTTCGCCGCGCCGGTAGACCCCCCAAGCACGACTGAGATGGTCGATGCCTCGAGCGTAGGAAGCCCCCGATCGCATGACGAAGAAGACCAGTGAAAAAGACGGTCCGCTAACACGTTGGTTGGGGCGCGCCGTGACAGTTCCGCCCGATATGCCTCGCCCGGAGCGCGTCAGACTTCACGATGAAGCCCAACAAACGCTTCACGCCCGCCGAGGACTGCCTGTTCCTCAACATCTTCGCGCCGTCCAACGCGACGGCCGAGTCGAAGCTGCCGGTCATGTACTTCATCCAGGGCGGCGGCTTCCAGTCCAACTCCAACGCCAACTTCAACGGCAGCGACCTGGCCGTGTTCGGAAACATCCTGGTGGTCCAGGTCAACTACCGCGTCGGGCCCTACGGTTTCCTGCAGAGCAAGGAGGTGCAGGCCGGGGCGAGCATGAACAACGGCTTGAAGGATATGATCCAGGGGTTGAAGTGGCTGAAGCAACACGCCGCCGCTGTAAGTCTTTTTTTTTCCTTTTCTTTCTTTGGCTTCCGGCCAAGACGTTGCAACCCCCTTTCCAGGCCCTGTATCGACTGACTGAGTTCCGACAAAGTTCGGAGGAGACCCGGATCACATGGTCATGTCGGGCGACTCGGCCGGCGCGACGGCCGTCGCCATGCTCCTCGCCGCGTTCGGGGACAACGATCCGGGCCTGATCAAGGGCGCCATCATGGAGTCGGTCTCGGTGGCGACCATCCGCACGCTCGACGAGGGCCAGGAGCAGTACAACTGCCTCACCAACGCCACCGGCTGCAACAAGGAGGCCGACACCCTCGCCTGCCTCCGCGGCGTCGACGCCGCGGCTCTCCAGACGGAGGAGTGCCAGTTCAACCCCAACCTGGACGGCGATCTCGTCAAGGCCTCGACGCTGCAGCTGTTCGCCGAGGGCAAGTACCTCAAGGTGCCGACCATCGCCGGCACGTGCACCGACGAGGGCACCAAGAACGTCGACCAGAAGACGGACACGGTCGAGGCGGCCCTCAAGTCCATCAACGACCAGGCCACGCAGTCCCTCAGCAACGCCTCCCTCGCCCTGATCCAGGAGACCTTCCTCGACAAGCCGGGGCCCGTGTTCCCGGACTCGGGCAAGCTGTGGCGCCCGCTCGCCAACGTCTTCGGCGACTTCCGGCTCAACTGCGTCACCAAGGTCTTCCAGGACGCCATGGCCCGCGACGGCGTCAAGACCTTCAACTACCGCTACGGCGTGCTCGACGACGAGCAGGAGGCCCTGGGCTTCGGCGCCTACCACACCGTCGAGCTCAACGGCGTCTTCGGGCCCAACAACACGGACGGCGGCCCGCCCAAGAGCTACTCGACCACCAACGCGCCCATCGTGCCGCTGACCATGGCCTACTGGGCCAGCTTCGTGCGCACCCTCGACCCGAACGCCGCCGCCGTCATGCCCGGCATGCCCGAGTGGAAGCCCTGGACCGTCGACGGCAAGGAGAGGCTCCTCTTCCAGAACAACACGGGCACCATGGAGGCCATGCCCGCCACCCAGCAGGACACCTGCGCCATGCTGGCGCCCATGATCACCTTCATCGAGACGCCGGCCACCGAGGCCCAGAAGGCCTCCGTGCAGCTGCAGAAGGTCTCCTCCGGCTCGTCGTCGTCCGCCGAAGACACGGGTATGGGCATGGGCATGGGCATGGGCATGGGCATGGGCATGGAGTCGGGGTGTCCGGCGAAGGGAGCCGAGGGCAACGGGACGAAGCACGACGGGGGCATGGAGTCCGGGTCGCCGAAGGGCGCCAAGGGCAACGGCACGAAACACGACGGGGGCATGGGCGAAGGCGGGAAGGGAGGCGGCGGCGGCAAGGGAGGCGGCGGGAAGAACGGCACCAGCCCCGCCCCTTCGGGCACGCCGATGCCCGCTCCCAGCTCCGCAACGAGCATCGGCTACGGGTTCTCGGGGGTGTTGTCCGCCATGCTCGTCGTGTGCGTCGGTCACGCCTTGCTGGCTTGGTAGAGGGTGTTGTATCCTTAACAGAGGATATGTACCATGTTTTCCGATTATAGACGCAGACGGGTCTCGTCTGTCCTAGCTGTTTATTTTAGATCCATGTATTTTATTTTATTTTATTCTATTTTATTTTTTCCGACCCTGTTCGCTTCGCCTTTTGTCGCTTTCACGACCCTTCTACAGTGTCTCACAGTTTGCTATCCTTCTTCTCTTCTTTCCATAGCCGAGACTTCGACACTCCTGACTGCGCGATCAAGACACGGTCGAAGAGCCCCCCCCGGTGCGCCAGCTGGGCCACCAACCAGCCCTCGATCGCAGACACCAGGCCTTCGACGTCGCCAAAGGTGTTGGCGGCGTGAAGGCATATCCGCACCCGCTCGCTCCCCACCGGAACCGTAGGCGCAACAATGGGCCGGATCATGAAGCCGCGCTGCTGGCAGTGCTGCGCGAGACCGCGCGGGTCCGACGTGAACAGGGGTATGATGGGGGACTTGGGCCTGCCCGGAGCCAGACGCATCAAGGTCTTTTCTGGCCGGTGACGGTCCAGCAGCGTCAGCAGCAGGTCGTTGGTGTGGCCGATGAGAGACCAGAGGTGGCGGATGAGGCTCTCGGCGTGGCCGTCTCTGATGAAGTCGTATGCCGTTTGTATGCTCGCCAGTGTCGTGAAGGGCATGGCGGTGGTGTAGATGAGGCTGCGAGCGTAGTTGACGAGGTACGATCGAGTGGTTTGGGAGCACAGGACAATCGCTGGGCGGGGTTTGTGAGATGGGTAATCGTCAAAACTCAAAAGGCAAGGGATCGGGGAGGGGAATTACCTCCAGAGCAACTCATTGCTTTGCCGAACGTGTGCACGCGGGCCCAGACACGGTCTTCGAGGCCCAGCTCGCAGACGAGCCCTCGGCCTCTCGGCCCGAGCAGGCCCGTCGAGTGCGCCTCGTCGACGACGACGAGGCCGTTGCCGCGAGGCAGATGCCGCTCGACGCACTCGACAAGCTGTCTCAGGGGGGCGACGTCCCCGTCCATGCTGTAGACCCCCTCGACGGCGACGAAGACGCGCCTGGAGCCGTCCCTCACCTGCCGGCCGCCGTCGCCGTCGGTCAGCCCCGCGAGCACCTCGCTCAGGCTCGGCGGCCATCGCGGGGCTCCCGCGGGCTCCACGGCGTTGTGCGCGAAGGCCACCTTCTTGCCGGCCCGGCTCAGCCTCATGCCGTCGTGCACGCTCGCGTGGATGAGCTCGTCGTGGACGATGACGTCCCCGGGCTGCGGGGCGCAGCCGAAGAGGCCGACGTTGGCGTCGAAGCCCGAGTTGAAGAGGAGCCCGGCCGGGCCGCGGTGGAAAGCGGCAACGTCCCTCTCCAGCGACTCGGCCTGCGACGCGTTGCCGTCCAGCAGGCGCGAGCCGCCGGAGCCGAGGAGCGGCGGATTCTCCCCGGCGCCGGCGCCGTTGCCGTCGGACGATGGATCGGACGACCCCAGGTGGGCCTCGATCCGGGCGAGGTACCGACGCCGGACGTCCGGGTGGGCCGAGAGAGACAGGTACGCGTTGGATGAGAAGTCGACGGTGCCGGCCGGGACGAGCGTCAGTTTCCGGAGCTGGCCCTTGGATTCGCGCCGGGCCAGGATCGCCGCAAAGAGCTTGTCTAGACGGTCGTTGGCCGGCATGTCGGAGGTGTGTGTATTCACGGATTCTGTTCAAATTACGCGAGAGGAGGGGGAAACGCGAGCAGGACAAGTACAAACGAACAAGACTGAAAGGGCATTGTAAAAACACACACGCACACGACATACGCGCGAGTTTCTCCACGCTTTCTTTTCTTTTTCTTTTTTTTTCTTTCTTTTCTTTCCCCCCCTCTCCCCTTCGCACCCCTGGCCGAAGACCTCGCAGCGCTTGTGGCCGGAAACGAACACAGATGCAAGATCCATGCAAGGATGAGCCCGCCCACAGATCAAACCCAACCTCCGCCGAGCCGCGCCGGTGGGAGAGGCTCGAAGACGACACGACACTCCCCTTTGATAGCCGCTGCCCCGCTAGGTCTCCAAGACAAATGCCGCAGCTGTCGGCCTCCCCGCCTGTTGCCCCGGCCACTCCCGGTTCCTCGGAGCTGCCTGTTCAGTGATCCCTGTATCTGCTCTCTAGAACTCTAATGATGAAGAATGAGACGAAGAAGACGGAGCCGGCGCGTTCCCGAGTAAACCAAACCTGGCCACATCTCGAGCGGCTTTGCTCTTCGTTCCCAAGGCCACAACTCTCTAATGGCAGCTTGACACCTCCAACGAAGTCCCCCCCCTCTCCAATGGCACCAGTCGGCGCTCTACTCTGGCGTTCGCTCAGAACGTACCAGATCTATGGCGCCAACACCGACGTCGGCAAGACCGTCTTCGCCTCTGTTCTGTGCAACGCCGCCCGTACGTTTTGGCCGCGTGAGCAGACGGCGTTCCTGAAACCCGTTTCCACCGGCCCGGCTGCCGACGCCGATGATGGGTGTATGTTGTTGTGAACCCCCGCCGGGTCACGTCTCCCCCCAACCCTCAGCTAACATCAGAAATAGAACTACAAAGTCCGGCCCGATTCTGTCGTGGTTCTCTCGCTGATTTCTCGCTCCCCAGTCACATCGAGCGGTTCGCGCCCGCCGTCGCGAAGAAGACGCTGTTCCAGTTTGATATCCCGGCGAGCCCCCATCTAGCCGCGGAAGCCTCGGACCAGGTGAATGGTTCTCCGGCTCGCCCTCCCCCGCCCCCCTCCATCGCACAAGTGTTGCTGTTTTGCTGTTTTGCTAACTAACGTCTGGCCAAGCCCACCCCGAAGAACAGTCAAATCCTGAGAAGCATTCACGACTACGCATCGCGCCGTGCGGCCGAGGGCCCGGGCTGGCTCTTCATCGAAACGGCCGGCGGAGTCCATTCGCCGGCGCCGTCCGGGACCACGCAGGCCGACCTCTACACCCCGCTCCGCGTGCCGGTCGTCCTCGTCGGCGACGCCAAGCTGGGCGGCATCTCGCAGACCATCTCGGCCTTTGAGTCGCTCACGCTCCGCGGCTACGACGTCGAGAGCGTCCTGCTCTTCCGCGACGACTACTACCGGAACCACGCCTACCTGGCCGACTACTTCACGCGCGACCGCGGGATCCCCGTCGGCGCGCTGCACCGGCCTCCGGCCCGCGCCGACGACGCCCGGGCGGACGCCGAAGCCATGGCTCGCTACTACCGCGAGGCGGCCGCGAGCGACGTGGCCAGAGACGCCCTGGCGCACCTGCACGACCGCCACCTCGCCCGCGTCTCCCGCCTCGAGACCATGGCCCGCGACGCCCACAGCACCATCTGGTACCCGTTCACGCAGCACAGGGGCCTGACGCCCGACAAGATCACGGCCATCGACTCGGCCCACGGCGACGACTTCCAGACCCTCGTCCCCGCGGGCGGCGCGGCGCGGCGCGACGACCAGGCGCTGCTGCAACCCTCGTTCGACGGGTCCTCTTCGTGGTGGACCCAGGGCCTCGGCCACGCGAACCCGGAGCTCACGCTGGCGGCGTCGTACGCCGCCGGCCGCTACGGCCACGTCATGTTCGCCTCGGCCGTCCACGAGCCGGCGCTCGCGCTCGCCCAGGCCCTCCTGCGGGGCCTGCGGAACCCGCGCCTCGCCCGCGTCTTCTACTCGGACAACGGCAGCACCGGCATGGAGGTCGCCGTCAAGATGGGCCTGCGCGCCGCGCGGCTCCGGTACGGCCGCGCCGCCGGCGACGCGCTCGAGGTCCTCGGCCTGCGGGGCAGCTACCACGGCGACACCATGGGCGCCATGGACGCGACGGAGCCGTCCGTCTTCAACGAGCAGGTCGAGTGGTACGACGCCAAGGGCTTCTGGTTCGACTACCCCTCCGTCGTGTGCAGGGACGGCACGTGGCGCGTCCGCGTGCCCGAGGCCCTGCGCCCGCACCTGGGCGGCGGCTGGGAGTTCGGCGCCTTGTCCGAGGTCTTTGACGTCGTCGGCAGGGAGGAGGCGCGGCAGGCCCGGCTGTACGAGAAGTACGTGGTCGAGACCCTGGGTCGCCTCCGCGACCAAGGCCGCAAGTTCGGCGCTTTGGTTATGGAGCCCGTCGTTCTCGGGGCAGGCGGCATGATCATGGCGTAAGTGAAGAGGGGAGAGAGAGAGAGAGAGAGAGAGAGAGAGAGCATGATGAGAGGGGGGGTTTCGTGTTGAACGGGAGAAGATTGCTAATTTGACGTTGCAGCGACCCCCTGTTCCAAAGGACGCTCGTCAAGGTCGTCCGCCGGCACCCGGAGCTTTTCGGCACGGCGAGCAACGCCCCCTCGGCCGAGACGACAGACGCCAACGGCTGGACCGGCCTCCCGGTCGTGTTCGACGAGGTCTTCACCGGCCTCGGCCGTCTCGGCCGGATGTCGGCGGCGTCGTTCCTCGGCGTCGACCCGGACGTCGTGGTCAACGCCAAGCTCCTCACCGGCGGGCTCGTGCCGCTCTGCACGACGACCGCGTCCGACAGCATATTCCGCGCGTTCGAAGGCGACGAGAAGAGCGACGCCCTGCTTCACGGCCACAGCTACACCGCACACCCCGTGGGATGCCAGGTCGCCGTCAAGTCGCTGCAGGAGCTGCAGAGGATGGACCGAGACGGAGAGTGGGACTGGGCCAAGACCGGGGGGTGGGCGCCTGTCGCGGCGTCCGGGACCCGCGCCTCGCAGTCTGGCGGCGGCGGCAACATCCCTGCGGCATGGTCGGTGTGGTCGCATTCCTTCGTGGACTGGGTCTCGAGGCAGACGGGCCGCGTGGACGGAGTATGGGCTCTGGGGTCGGTTCTCGCGATCCACATGGAGGACGGCGAGGGCGCCGGCTACTCAAGCACCGCGGCCGCCGATGTCCAGAGCGCTCTGCTCCGTAGGGGGGAGGACGGCCCGGGGGGTGCGCGATGGAACGTCCACAGCAGAGTCCTCGGAAACGTGCTCTACGTGATGACGAGCCAAACGACGAGGCAAGAGGATGTCCAGAGGCTGGAGGCTCTTCTTCGGAAGGCTCTTGGCTGAGGGCTTCTCGTGTTAGCGTAGGGGGCATGGTGCAAGGGTTTCCGGCTCCGGCCACGGTTCGTATCGGGACTTTGACGTTGCGGCGGACACTTGATACTTGTTCATGTGGCGGCATCCTCTACTTACTCATCATGCGATAGCTGGTTCGTCTCCTTGTCGTATTGGGCTCATCTGACGGGATGTGTGACGATGCAGCCATTGGAGTCTGCACCCAATAATACGCCAAGCACACACACCCCAAGCTATCACATCGAGAACTATCCTCTCTCATCCCTAGCCCCGCTGGCGCGAGATAGAATAAAATAAAATAAAAAAGGTCGAAAGTATGTATGGTGCCGCATGACTGCGTCGGTTGGCCGGGGGAAGCCAGCCCTCATCGTCCTCGTCCTACCGGTGCAAGATAACACTGCAACACGATCCGTGAAAAAATAAAATAAAATAAAAAAGTCTGAAAGCGTATCTGGTACTGCATGACTGCATCGATTGGCCGGGGGGAGCCAGCTCTCATCGGATTGCTCTCTCAGCCTTTGGAAGATTTCCATCGCATATCGCGCATATAATATATCATACTGCCCCCCCCCTGCCTCATTACGTCTGACTATTCGAGCGTAACACCCGTACATCCATAGGCTTCTTTCATGGTATCCTTGCCCCCGAATAAATGCTCTCTGTTGCTTCCGAGAGGGGTCACGGTCTCTTCCGCACCAGTGTGATGGATGTCCGAGGCCTCGCAACGCTGTGGAACTGCTTGGTTAGAGTTTAACAAGCTAAACCAAAACAAGTCACGAAACCTTCCTCACTGACGGACCTGTGATCTTGCCGCCACCTCGCTGCGGTCAGTGCTCCGGCGAGCCTTTCGGAGCCCTCAGCCGTCATGATCGCGTAGTAGACTCCATCCGGCGCGCCCGACATCGGGGGGTCGAGGAGCAGGATGCGCGGGTTGTTCTTCTTGTGTTTACGTTTCTCTGATGACCAGCGCCTGCATCACCCGAGGTCCCTCTCGGGCAAGGCAACGTACCGGTAGAGTAATCCGTCGGCCCTGTCTCAGACGGGTCGGCGGCTTTCCAGGATCGAGTGGCGCAGAGGGACGGGACTGCATCGATGTGACCACGCAAAGCAGACAGATACAACCGCGGCATTCCTTGACACCACCCTGAGGGGTTTGTCTGGGGACCCCGCTGTCGTGCCAGCCTACTGCAGGGTTGTAAAAAATACTACTAGTATTTAGTATACTAATACTAGACTTAAGTATACTTAGTATTAGTATAGGAAAACTATACTAACCTTAGTATTAGTAAGTATTAGTATAGTCTCTATTAGTATTAGTATTACTTAGGTATACTTAAGTATACTAATTAGTATATAAAAATAAGTATAAATAAATATAAATAAATAAAAATAAAGATAATATACTTTAAGTTATATATATACTATATATAAGAGTTTATATACTTTAGTATAAGTATATATATACTATTAATACTTTTTATAGTATTTTTTTATTTAATATTTATAATTAATTTATAATTAATACTAGTTCTTAAGTACTAAGTTAGTTATTACCTAGTAACTAGATTAGTAAGCAAGAAGTTTTACTTACTAAAGTAGTTAAAAATAGTAATTATTTTTTTAGAATATTAACTTATTATTTTTACTTATTTTATTTACTTTTACTTATTTTTATATACTAATTAGTATACTTAAGTATACTAGTACTAAACTAGCCTAGTATTAGTATACCCCTATACTAGACTAGCCTAGTATTAGTATAGGCTCAAAAATACTATTAGTATTAGTATAGGCCAATACTAGACTTAAGTATACTAATTTACAACCCTGGCCTACTGCATGCACACGCACGGCCTCTTCCAGCCGGGTTTAACGCCGAGTGTGCTTATCATTCCCGAGCTATGTGTGCCGTCGGCGCAAAGCCATACCAGAGTTGGATGAAGCGATCCGACAGTCAGTCATGACTGACAATGGCAGACGACGCGGGGGCTCGGGGCTCGGGGCTCGGGGCCCAAGTCTCCTCCGAAAGGACCGAAGACGCGTTCGTTGGCCATTTGTTTCCAAACGGATTTCCTACCGAGCACGCGCGATTCTGCGAATTGGAGAATATCCAAAGAAACGACCATCAACAACTTGGGCACACGGAGGCCATCCCGCATGGCTCAGTTATGTCTGTTGACGCAGGAGCCCCGGGCTCTATAAGAGCCTTTGTTAGCCTTGGCCCCGTCACCGGCGTTTCCCTGCCAAGGAGTGATGATCAGCAACTAGTGATAGTAATGCATCGAACCGGGAGGTCACGCAGAGCTTCTTGATCAGATCTTCAGCAACAGGCTTTATTTACAGTACTTCTCACCTAACTAAGCCTTTCCCGGCGGGGGCGGGCTGCCGAGCGCCACTCTGCGCCGGCTACGAAGTCGGATGATTTGCGTATGGCTGGCTGTCCCACGTGTCTATACCAAATCAAGGGCAGATCTGCAATCTCATCAGTCCGCCCGCCGCCGTCGAGTGCCGGCCCGTCCGCTCTGCCGCTTCGACTTTCATCAACTGGTGATGCGTGTAAGATGTGTGCCGACCAGCCGCTTATCCTGCACCCTCTATCTAGGCTCTCTTCGCCGGCCAATCTCTAAGCAAATCCACCTGCTACTCACCGAGTCACCCAGCCAGCCAGTCGGTCAGGGGACGTCGCTCGAGGAGACTCGTGGGGATGCCTTAGCAACTTGGGTAGAGACCTGGATTAGATACAATCCAGGTCTCTACCCGTCTCCGTCAGTCAGCAGATTACTATTATTACTATAATTACCATGATTACTACCGAGTTACAAGTACATGCCGTTCCCTCGTAAAGGTCGGCAGATACACCATATTCACTATCTACTCTGTGTAGATGCACCATTCTATCATTGCTACCGTTGTGTACCTGTGCGACCTTGAGAGATACCGCCTTGGTAACGTACCTTGGCTCCCACAGCCCGGAGCCGAACCAGCAACCTTGTTTATTGCGTTGAGCAGGTATTGGGCATGACGATAGAGGGACCACCTTGGACAAAGGATCTTGGTTCCCACAGCCAAGCCAAGTTTTCTCCGGGCCCACCGAAGACTAAAAGCGGGTGGCCGGGCCCGTCTCGGCATCGAAAGCTCGACGTCGATCCTCCTTTGATCAGCCCCCGCTACCAGACACTAGCAAGACATAACCATGAGGCACAATCCACGACAGGGCACGCCGGTCAAGGGAGGTCAAGCCGTTCGTTGCCCCATCTACTGTACCTACATAGTACTACACGTGTAGTGGGCTTCTAGAAAGCCCCATCCGGCTCTTCGGCAGCCGTCGATGCCACGCGCGGCGAGATTCCGCGACTCCTGAGCAACAAGAGAGAAGATATGTAGACACCCCCTCCTCCCCATTACACGTAGCGGTCGAAATCCGTCGGAATCTGTACGAGACGGACGACCGACTTCGCGCCTCGCCCCTTGTGCTCCCCCCCCCCCCCCCCCCCCCGAACTGACCGTTGCCCTTCCCAAGACCCGTCCTGTCCATGACGGGACGATGGGACGTGAGACTGGCCTTCTTCGCCTGCTTTCCCACACGCGGCGCCGGCACACCGTTAAGCGCCGAACCGACCATTTCCCTTCCCAAGACCCGTCCTGTCCGTGATGGGACGATGGGACGATGGGACGATGGGACGATGGGACGTGAAACAGGCCTTCGCCTGCTTTCCCACGCGCGGCACCGGCACACCGTTCAGCGCCGACCGGCCGATGGTGGGTCATTTTCTGTTGCAGCACGGTGGGACGCGGGCCATGTGGGCATGACGTCGCCGTCCCAACTATCCCCGAGCTACATCCTGGCCGAGGGACGGACTTGGGCATCGTGGCCAAATGCCGTCGCCGGTGCTAGGGCCAGAAACTGCACTTGGTGGTGAGGACTGGCGAGGGGAGAGCTTCTCTCTGATTATAATATAAACACTCTGGATCACCTTCATCCGCTTGATACGAAAAGAGAAGGGGGAAAAAAAAGGCACTCACTTCACAGCCTCACATCCCACATCGACGCCGTCACAATCATATATTACCGTATACTCTGCCTGATTGCCTCGTACCTCTAGCATCACACCGTCCATCACCGCCACAGCATGGCACACCCCCAGTTTGGAAAGCGCTTGATCCCCCAAATCATCGACGAGACCGCCAGGTCGGAACCAAACCGGGAACTCCTGTCCGTCCCGCGCTCCTCCGACCCCAGAGATGGCTGGGAGCCCATCACCTTCAGGCAGATCGCCAACGCGGTGAACCGCGTAGCTCGGATCGTCATCGAGAAGTGCGGCACGCCCGAGCCCGGGAGCTTCCCCACGCTCACCTACATCGGACCCGGCGATGTGCGGTACCTCATCGTCACCGTCGCCTGCATCAAGGCGGGCTACAAGGCCCTCCTGACCTCGCCGCGGAACTCCTTCGAGGGCCACATGAACCTCTTTGAGAAGACGGACTGCCACGTCATCTTCTTCGACCCGTCCTTCGAGGACGTCGTCCAGCCCCTTCTGGAGGAGCGCCCGATGCACGCCGTGGAGGTCACCTCCGCCGACGGCTGGCTGTCCGACGACGAGGTCCCCCACTTCCCCTACGACAAGACCTTCGACGAGGCCAAGTACGACCCCGTCGTCGTCCTGCACTCGAGCGGCAGCACCGGCCTGCCGAAGCCTCTCGTCGCCCGCGTCGGCATGATGGCCATCGCCGACGCCTTCCGGGACGTCGGAGCCTTCCGCGGCTCCGAGAACGCCCTCAGGTCCGTCATGTCCGGCAGCCGCATCTTCCTGCCGATGCCCCTCTTCCACGCCGCCGGCTGCTACATGCTGCTGAACGCCACCGTCTTCTGGGGGCACCCCGTCGCCCTGGGCTTCCCGGACCGGCCCCTGACGCCCCAGGTCGTCATCGACGCCGTCGAGCACGCCCGGGTCGACAACACCATCCTTCCCCCCTCGATCCTGGAGAACATGAGCGACATGCCCGAGGGCGTCGCGGCGCTTCGGAAGCTCAAGCGCGTCCACTTTGGCGGCGGTAACCTTTCTCGCGACGCCGGGAACAAGCTGGTCAAAGAGGGCGTTTTTCTTGTGAACATCATCGGCTCTACAGAGTACGTGGTTTTTTTTTTTTTGGTTTTTTTTGTTTTGTTTTTGTTTTTGTCTTTTTCCTCTTTCTTCTTGCTCTCGTCGACTTTTTTTTTTCTTCTTCTCCTTTTTCTGTACAGTACTAACACCAGACGGCGTAGGGCTTTTATTCTGCCATACTTCGTCCAGAAGAACCCGGAGCTATGGCAATGGTTCATCATCGACTCGGAGAGGACGGGCGTCGACTGGCGCCGTGTGAGCGGCGAGGACGACGACGTCTACGAGCAGGTCCTCGTCCGCAAGGAAGGGAACGCCCTCCAGGGGATCTTCTGGACGTTCCCCGACATCGACGAGTACAACACGAAGGACATGTACCGCAAGCACCCGACGCTGCCCGACCACTGGATGTTCCACGGCCGCTCCGACAGCATCATCGTCTTCTCCAACGGCGAGAAGCTGAACCCCGTCACCATCGAGGAGATCGTCACGGGCCACCCCCGGGTCAAGGGCGCCGTCGTCGCCGGCGCCATGCGCTTCCAGCCCCTGCTCGTCCTCGAGCCGACCGAGCCGCTCGAGTCCGCGGAGGACGAGGAGAAGTTCGTCGACGACGTCTGGCCCCTGGTCGTCAAGGCGAACAAGGAGACAGTCGCCCACGGCCGGATCGGCCGCGCCTTCGTCGCCGTCGCCAAGCCCGAGAAGCCCTTCCCCCGCGCCGGCAAGGGCACCATCCAGCGGCCCCTGGCCCTGAAGCTGTACAAGGACGAGATCGACGAGTGGTACGCCAGCGCCGAGGAGGGAGGCGACCCCACCTCGGCGGACGTCGACGTCGGCTCCCAGGAGGCCCTGATCGACTCCATCCAGCAGCTGTTCCAGAACACCCTCGGCAGCCGGCCCCTGTCGGCCGACTCGGACTTCTTCAGCGTCGGCATCGACTCCATGCAGGTCATCAACGCCTCCCGCCTCCTCCGCAAGGGCCTCGAGGCCGCCGGCGCCGCCGTCCCCGCCGACGCCATCGCCGCCCGCGCCATCTACGCCCACCCCACGCCTCGCCGGCTGGCCGCGTACCTGATGCACCGCGTGGGCAGCAACGACGCCCCGACGCAGCAGAACGGCCACAGCGCCCACCACCACGACATCCACGTCATGGAGGCGCAGCTGGCCAGGTACACCGGCGACCTCCCCCCCGAGAACCCCGCCGGCAAGCCCGCGCCTGCCGACCGCGGCCAGACCGTCCTCGTCACGGGCACGACGGGCGGGCTGGGCTCCTACCTCCTCGACTTCATGGAGTCCAACCCGGCCGTCGCGAAGATCGTCTGCCTCAACCGCGGCGAGGACGTCGCCAAGCGCCAGGCCAGGATGAGCGCCGAGCGCGGCCTCGCGACCTCGTGGGCCAAGGCCGAGTTCCTCTCCGCCGACCTGTCCAAGAGCGACCTCGGCCTCGGGCCCGCCGTGTACGAGCGGCTCCTCCGGGAGGCGGACCGCGTCATCCACAACGCCTGGCCCGTCAACTTCAACATCTCGGCCGAGACGTTCGAGCCGCACGTCCGCGGCGTCCGCCACTGGGTCGACTTCTCCCTGCGGGCGGCCAAGAACGTGCCCGTCGTCTTCGTCAGCAGCATCGGCACCGTCGACGGCTGGCGCGGCCCCGGCCCCGTGCCCGAGAAGCCGCTCACCGACCTGTCCCTCCCCGGCACCGGCTACGGCCGCTCCAAGCTGGTCGGCTCCCTGATCCTCGACGAGGCGACGCGGCGCTCCGGCGTGCCCACCGCCGTCGTCCGCGTCGGCCAGGTCGCCGGCCCGGCCTCGCGGGACGGCGTCTGGAACCGCCAGGAGTGGCTGCCGACCATCATCGCCAGCTCCAAGCACCTCGGCGTCCTGCCCGGGGACCTCGGCGCCATGTCGACCGTCGACTGGACCCCCATCGAGGGCATCACCAATCTCCTCCTCGAGGTCTCGGGCGTCGCCGCTCCCGTGCCCCTCGGGGCCATCAACGGCTACTTCCACGGCGTCAACCCCCACACCGTCACATGGAAGGAGCTCGTGGAGGCCGTCAGGTCCTACTACGGCGACAGCATCAGGGAGGTCGTGTCGTTCGCCGAGTGGGTGCGGGTCTTGGAGAAGAGCGCCGGCTCCACCGACGACGTGGACAAGAACCCGGGCGTCAAGCTGCTCGACTTCTTCAAGGACCTGGCCTCGAGCGGGAGCCAGAGCCTCGGGTACTCGATGGAGCGGACGGTCAAGAGCAGCAGAACCATGAGAGAGATGCAGGCCGTGACGCCCGAGCTGATGCAGAACTGGTGCAGGCAGTGGGCGTTCTAGGCTGGGTTCGGGACGGGTAAGCGGGTGGAAACGACTAACGACTCACGTAATTACCATGTAACAAAGCTTTCTCAAACTTTCAAGTTCTACGAACAAAACCCGTCTGTGATCTTGATGTCCTGTGGATTTTGGCATGGCCCCGCGAGTATATGCTTGTTCGACACTCAACGGCGTCTGACTGGTTGATAGCGTCTGGGGTTTCTGCACAACGCGCAGGTGGAAATGCACGTCATATTATCCGATACGGGGGGCTGTGTGCCGCCTGTCTGATGGAATCGGTCGCATCGTCGGATGAGAAGGCAACTGTGACTATGAGCCTGGGCTTCCTTGGGCTGCACTCCGATTTGGACGGAAACCCGAGCGAGGAACGCCTACACGTTTGAACCGCTTCGAAAGGCAACCATGAGTATGCCCACTGCGGACTACCAGCACCATGCCCTGTCGGCGACCGGTTCCATCCGCCTCTTGACCCTCTCGCGAGACGAGTTCCAGCCTCACGGCATGCTCTTGTCCCTCGCCGAGGCGCATTTGAGCGACCTGGCGAGCATGAGGCTCACCGGCGTCTGGTCCGAGATGCTCTCTAAAAGGGCCATACAGAGCAAGGCGGCTGTGCCTGGCGAGGGATCCGGATCGAGGTGTGGCTTCTGGAGGGCGCTCGCACGCCTTCCGTCCTGCGCCGGACCTCGGAGGGAGCCCCTCGGGGGACGGGCGAAGACGGCGATGATCGTGTGACGTTCAGGATCATCGGGGAAACCCACCTGCACGCGTTCGATATCCGGTCGAGCAGCCTGACTTCGCTGAAGGAGCGGCATCTCTTTCAGAAGACCCGGATAATATAAGCAGGACAACATGGCCAAGGCGGTTGCTAGGTGTAGAGTTGTAGAGTGGAAGACTGATGTGTCGCTTAACAGTCCAACACAGTCGGAAAAAGGACAGTGTCATGACTGATATTTGATACGATAGAAGAAGGCTTCTAGATAAAAACGCAGTAACCTGAGATGACTGCCTAGTCACCATACCTGGTAGACCTGTTGATGTGACTGTTTTGCCACCTGTTCTATATCTCAACACATTATCGAAATCCGGCACTCAAAACTTCGCATCACCACACGAACCTCCTGGATAATCATGGCTTGGATGCAGAACAACATCACGGCGTAAACAAACTATTGCGATGCAGTTAGACAAGAAAAAGAAAGGAAAAAAGGAGATCATGCGAGAAAATGCAAAAGATTACGTGCGCCGAGGGGGAATCGAACCCCCGGCTCCCCGACGCTGCTGGATGGCAACGGAGAATTTTACCACTAAACCATCGGCGCTGGTTGTGGTTGATGTGCTCAAAATACTGAAGATCAAGGCCGGGGTTGTGCATCCAGAGCGTTGCAACCTTGATTATTCACCTCACTGAGCACCTAGATCACCCACCCAGATGAGGGACGGTAGCGGGGGCCTGGCCATCATTAGGTCTTGCAGTTCGCAGCAAACCGAACTGTAGGCGAGTCGGCCCAAGACCCGTGGACGAGATGGACCTGTGCATATAAAGAAGTGAATCCATAGCCGCGAAAGGATATCAACATCGCGACTCTGCCTCACAAGAGTCGTCGCCGCCAAGCAGCTGGCTTGCCGTGGCATTCGCAGTAATTAGCACCTCACGTGGGGCTTGAAACACCGCCCCCGACGGCCAAGACCCATGCGACCGAATCATGAAGAAAAGCCATCTATCTTGTAGTTGTGAGTTCGTCAAGGCACAATGCATTGGTCTCTCTCTCTGTCTCTCTCGCACCCGGAAAAGCAACCGCGATGCACATCTCAAGCTGGTAGCTCCCGGTCCTGCACCGTCCAAATCGGACCCCTCTCCAATAGTTGGAGAGAAAGAAAAAAGGGCCCAAAGTTTGAGATGCCAAAGGAACCGTCGTCATAGTCGTTGTCGTCGTCTTTGCAAGATTCACCCCAAGAGCGATCGACCCAGGGAGCACACGTCCGCCCAGGCATCTTGCCGTCGTCACCCTCCTTTGTCGCCGTCGTCCACCTCGCAGCCCGTCATCTCTCTCTCTTATAGAAGAAAATGCCCGTCACCTCACGGGTCTCGAGACCCCCACCATCTTACTTGGGCACGGCGAACTTGGCCGTCCACTCCTTGGCCGTCGCGATGGCCCCTTGCTCGTCCTCCTTCCAGCTCTTCGCAACGTCGGCGGCAAGCGGGTCGTCGGGGTTGGGAGCGCCCAGGAGGGCCTGGATGGAGAGGAGGATGGTTCGGATCTGCAGGGCGGGGGACCAGTTGTCTGTAGTGGGGGGGGAGGGCGAGCGTTCTTTGTCAGTGTCTCTATGCGCGCGGGACAAGCCGAGGCTGTTGTGGGGAACTCACTCTTGAGAACGTCAAGGCAGATACGGCCCAGCTTGTCGACGTTGGGGTGGAAGATCTTGGTCAGGAAGCGGATCTTGGGAGGAGTCATGGGGTAGTCGTCGGGGAGGAACAACTCCAGCTTGAAGACACCGCCTGCAGCACGCCGTCAGTTTGCGGGCCCATCCGAGTGTACATGTGAATGCGAATGCGCACCCTCATACGGCGACTGTGTAGGGCCGTGGATCTCGACATCGAAGTAGCGGAGGTTGTCCTCGTGGGGGACAGCGCTGATACCGGGGACGCTGGCAAAGGGCGTCTGTTAGCGAAATGTCGCAACGCAACAGCCATGGCGGGGTGGGAGTGAGTGGAAGTCATACGGCTCGGCCATGAGACGCTCGGTCTCCTTGACAATACGCTTGGGCAAGGCCATGGTGGGCGACAGGGTTGGAAATGTGTGCGTGTGTTTGTGTGTTTGTGAATGCAAACGAAGAAGAAAGAAAAGCTGTTTGTGTTTCCCCAGGACGCTGGAGATGGTCGCAAGATGACGGTGGGTATTGGAGCAGCCGGGCCGTCGGCGGGGTCTGAATGACTGGGGAACCGGGTTCTTTGGTTTCAGGGCCCCCGAGAAGGATGGGATGCAAGGTTCGGTGCAGTCGTTTGCTTGCTTCGATTCGTATCGGGGGAAGAGGAATTTCGCAAGAGCAATTGCGGTCGGGATGTCCGGAGAGAGATGTGGACGGAGCGGCGGCGGCGACAAAGGCGACGAGACGAGGACTCGGGGGGGAATGTTTCGAGGGCAAGGCATGCAGGCAAAAAGATGAATGACCCTGCCTTGTTCGCAATTGCCCCGCGGAAGATGCCAGAGGAGGGTACCTAGCTGGGTACCTAAGGTATCTGAAGCACCTTGTAGATACCTAGGTACCTACACTAGGTACAGATACGACAGAAGTGGGGAATTACGATGATGCAGTGAATTTCATTGGCCAGAGATGACGGTGAGTGCAACAAAGTACCTGCCCAGTGCTTTTGCATGCGGAGATACATCGAGTTCGATGTGGGGCTGCAGCTGTCGTCCCGTCCATCCACAGGTCCACGGGCGCACAGGTGCACTTCTCGATCGTGTCGCGTGCATTTGATCTGATTGAGCTCCCCGAGCCTCATCCGCCAGACGACGGTACTGTCAGCACCATCAAGCCGCCTTCTCGAGTCGCTCGCTCGCTACGCCAGCAAACGACGGGGACGAGTTCTCGGGTCCATCTCTTGTCACTGAGACATACACCACGCCCGGTTGCCGTTGGATCATGGCAAAGGCGTATCGCTGACAGATGCCCTCATGAGGCGTCTCTCTCTCACTCTCACCCACACACTCTCTCTCTCTCGCTTGAGCCACGGCCATTTACACCATGCCGCACTTCGACCAGCTCGACGCCCCCAAAAAGGGCAAGCCCATCAAGTCCGCCTTTGACAGTGAGAGCTTCGACGCCGACGGCACCATCCACGTTGCCGGGCTGGTCGGGTCCGCCACAATCTCACCCTCTGGTCGAGATGTCACATTGGCATCGTGAGTGTTAACCCAGGGTCCCAAACCCGGTCCCCCCAAAACTCGACCGGAGCCGTGCTGACACGCCCCCCGTCAGGCCCGAGGGCTTGTCCATCATCGACCTGGACTCACCCTACAACCCTCCCCGCCGGCTCAGCAGCCATAGCTCGCCCTGGCTTGTCACCGACGTGCAATGGTCGCCCTTCGCCGCCCGCGACTACTGGGTCGTCTCCACGGCCAACCACCGTGCGCTCGTATGGAACCTCAACCTGCGAGACGACTCGGCCTCCGGCGCCATCGAGCACTCCCTCCAGGGCCACAGCAGGGCCATCACCGACATCAACTGGTCCGCCTACCACCCCGACCAGCTCGCATCGTGCGCAGTCGACGGCTACGTCCACTGCTGGGATCTCCGCCGCCCGAGACAGCCCGTCCTGACCTTTTGCGACTGGTTCGCCGGCGCCACCCAGGTCAAGTACAACCGTCAGGACCCCCACATTCTGGCCTCCTCTCACGACAGGTGGCTGCACATCTGGGACGAGCGGCGGGCGTGCGAGCCTCTCAAGTCCATCAGCGCCCACACCTCCAAGATCTACGGCATCGACTGGAACCGGACGAGGTCCACGGGCATCGTCACCTGTTCCCTGGATAAGCACATCAAGTTTTGGGACTACGGCAGCGACCAGGATGTCCCGGAGCGCGTCATACGCACCCAGTTCCCCGTTTGGCGCGCTCGCCACACCCCCTTTGGCCGCGGCCTCCTGGCCATGCCCCAGAACGAGCCGGGCGATCTGTATCTGTACGACCAGCGACCGCCTCCCGAGGACCCCGGCGAGGGTCCGACAGAGCCCGTCGCCGTCTTCCCCGGGCACGGCAACCACAAGGCCAAGGAGTTCCTGTGGAGAAGCAGGGGCGGCATAACCGACGACGGGCTGGACGAGAGAGACTTCCAGCTGGTCTCCTGGGGCGAGGACAACGAGCTGCGGCTGCAGCAAGTCGACCCGTCCATCCTCGAGTCGGTGGGCTACGTCAAGGGGATGCCGGCGACCAAGAACCTGGTCCTCACGCGCAAAGGCGCCGCCTACAAGACCTTCCGGACGGTCGGCGACCACATCATCCGAGACCGGAGGAGCGGCACGATGAGCGACCCCCGCAACAGCGCGCAATATCGGCAGAGCGCCCTGACCATGGGGATGCGCTCGGGGCCGACCACCTACGCCAAGCTCGGCGCCGCCTGGAAGGGCTCCTCCATGAAGGCCAAGAGCGCTTCCAAGGAGATGGACCGCAGCCAGGCCCACATCGGGTGGATGAAGGGCATCATGATGAACAAGAGGAAGGCGTCCACCGACAGTCCCCTCCGGAGGGGCGACTCCAAGGACTCGAGCATGTTCAGCCCCGGCTACATGGACGACGACAAGTGGGGGGACCCGGAGACCATCCAGGAGGAGTTTCTGCGCATCAGCATGCAGCTCCCCAAGGTGAAGTGGGAGCACATCGACATGGACAACCTGACGCTCAAGGCCTCCCTCAACGGCCCCTGGGGCGCCGACGGCGAACCCATCTTCATCAAGGTCACCGTCGACATCCCGTCCAACTACCCCAAGTTCAGGGCCCCGACCTTCTTCGTCGAGAAGACGGGCTTCATGTCGGCGAGGACGCACAGGAAGATCGAGCACGAGCTCCACGAGCTCTGCCAGCAGTTCCTGGAACGCAAGCAGAACTGCCTGGACGTCGCCTTCTCCTACCTCCTGGGCGAGATCGACCTCGCGGCGAGCACAAACTTCTTCAAAAACGTAAAGGACCTCGACGACCCCCTGGACGCGCTCGGCTCCGAGAGCTCGAGCGAGGACGAGAACGACATACCGGCGGGCGGGTCGGCGTCCATGTCGCAGGAGCTGCCCCCCCACGACGCCGAAGCCGACAGCACCCTGGCGCCCAACAACCGGCCCACGATCCCGCCGCTGCCGCGCTTCTGCGGCGCCCGCTTCGCCAACGACGGGCGCCTCGTCTGCTTCTTCCCGACCAAGGAGGAGAAGGCGAGGGCGCTGTTCTCCACGTCCGTCGAACCGCTGCGGGAGAGGTCAAAGGGCGAGCCGGTGTTCGCCGGCTTCGGCCGTCTCGCGCACGACTCGCCGCCGGGTAAGAGATACGGCCAGGACGACATGTCGGCGACGGACGACCAATCCGACTCGGACGACTCCACGGGGTCCTCGTCGTCGAGCGACTCGGGGTCGACGTCCATCAACAAGATGAGCTTGTGGTACCAGCCCCGGCACCGGTTCAAGAGGACCTGGAGCGACAACCGGTCCGTCCGGTCGAGCGGCGGCGGCACGGGAGTGGGCACGGGCACGGGCACGGGGTCCCTTAGGAGGCGGCCCGGGGCCAAGTCCAAGAACGTCATATCCCTCCACGACACCTCGGACCTCCTGCCCGCCAAGAAGGAGTTCGCCCGGGAATACGCCATCTTCGGAGACGGTGCCCAGGTCTGCGAGCACAACGCCCAGGTCGCCGAGAAGCACGGATGCCGGGACCTCGTCGACGTCTGGCGCTACCTCTCGCTGATCCTCCGCAAGGACATCCCGCTCGAGTTCTCCAACATGGACCCCCACCACAACTCGATCCTGATCATCGCCCGCGACGCGCTCGCGCGCTTCCGCCACGAGGACTCGCCGGGCGTCCAGGACACGGCCGTCTTCAGCGGCAGGGTGAAATGGGGCAACCACCCGTTGGCGAGGCACTTCATCAGCGACCTCTTCGAGTACTACGAGAAGACGGCCGACATCCAGATGCTGGCCATGCTCTCGTGCATCTTCAGCGAAGCCTTCGCCGAGGACAGCGTCGCGTATGCCGAGTCGCACATGACGCAGCCCGACACGCCGCTGCCGATGAAGGCCCCGGCCTTCTCGCTCGACTACTTCCCCACGGACGCGTCGCTCTGGAACCTGGACGGGAGGAGCCAGACCAACTCGGCCATCGCCACCCCGGGGACGCTGCACACCCCCGTCCGCTATTCCGGCTCCCAGGGATCCGCCGAAGAGGTCTTCTGGGCCGGCGACCCGGGCTCCAACTCGTACTCGTGCGGCGAAACCCCGCCCAACAGGGGCTTCAAGGAGTACCTCGGCGAGGGCGACCACGCGCCGCCGAGCCTGTCGACGTCGCCCAGCGGGAGGACGCTGTCGCGGGTCAACTCGGGACTGCCGTCGAGCTTCGCCATCAACCTACCCCGCCCGTTCAGCGGCGTCGCGACGGGGACCACGACCGCCGCCTCGTCGCCCCCGAACCACGGCCGCAAACGCCCGAGCCCGGCGGAAACGGTCCTCAGCGCCCTCGCTCCTGGCGGCGGCGGCGGCGGCGGCGGCGGCGGCGCGGTCGGCAACGTCACATGGGGGCACTCGACCGTCATGGGCGACTCGGGCACGACGCGCACCTCGCTCTCGGACGACGACGTCAGCCGCGAGGAGCTCTTCTCCCTCGTCCCCATCGGCGTCTCGGTCCACCTCGAGGACCAGACCATATTCGACGACGACGGCTGGATGACGGCGCCGCTCCTCGAACCCTGCCGCAGCGACATGTACGCCACGTACCGCTACGTCTACGCCGAGATCCTGCAGATGTGGAACCAGCCCCTGGCTCGCCTCGAGATCATGAAGTTCAACGTGCTCCAGCAGCAGCAGCAGCAGACCCAGGCGTGCGGGGCGCTCGACGACTTCCACGAGACGTACAGCATCGCCGACACGTCCACCACGGTCCAGCAGCAACAGTACCACCACCACGAACAACAACAACAACAACAACAACAGCATCAGCAGGAGCAGCAGCAGCAGCAGCAACAACAACAGCAGCAGCATCAGCAGCCGTACACCACCTCCCCGATCCTGCTCGGGAAGAAGGAGCAGCTCCAGGCGCTCGTCGCCTCGGGGCGCGGCCTCGACGTGACGGGCGTCTGCCGCGTCCACGAGACGCAGCTCGAGCCCTTGAAATACATCTCGGCCACGGCGACCCGCCTCGGCGGCGCCGTCGGCACCTGCGACCGCTGCCGCCGCAGCCAGACCCAGCTCCTCTGCGTCTACTGCCGCGAGCCCATCGACGCGCTGTACCCGCCGTGCCTCGGCTGCGGCTGCGCCTTCCACGACGCGTGCCTCGCCGAGTGGCACGCCGCCGGCGAGACCTCGTGCCCCGCGGGCGACGAGTGCAACTGCGTCGAGGAGGCGTCCATGGGGCAGGTCGAGTCGTGGGCCGCCATGATGGGGGCGCTGCGCAAGGGACAGCAGCCCGGCGTGGCGGGGGGCTTCATGGGCAGGGGGTTCGTGCTACCGCCGCCGGCGATCGAGGAGCCCGCCGCCGCCGCCGCCGCCGCCGACGACGACGACGAGAGGGGGGACTGGGAGAGCGTGCGCAGCGCCTCGGGGATCCCGAGCCGGATGCAGGGCGGTGGCGGCGCGGTGATGAGCGCCGCGAGGATCAGCCTGGGTAACAGGCTGAAGAAGTCGGCGGGCGACACGGCGGCCGCGTGGAGTCGGGCCTCGAACCTGGGGAGGACCCGGGGCGGGAGAGGGGCTGTAATGAACGGGGGCGGGAGCACACCCGGCAGTTGGCGGAGCGGGAGGTGACTCGGGAGCGTTACGATGGGGTCCCTTGTTGGGGGAGTGGTTGGGGGATATCTGTACCACCTGTGTATAATATTGGCACCTGTGAGAGTATTCAGTGTGTTCGAGTACCAAGCGTTTTTTTTTTTTTTTGTCTTGATCTATAGCGGGAACCAGGAGGAGCTACGTCTCACGTATTTTGATGTCTATTTTCGGACGGGGGGTTGAGGGGGAGCTTCCGGTAACACAGTCTCAACGTGTCCCATCGCCTTTTCTCTTCCTTTTTAGGGCCTTGTGAAGAGATGAGGGGTTTTTTCTTCTTTCCCTTTTTTCGCCCATGAAAAGTACGCGGCGAGTAGCCCGCCTCGCTTCTTTTTTCCTTGAAATTCTCGGAGAACATCGTCGCATCGGCAAGCGACGGCGGTTCTCTGTCTTTCTTTGTCAGGCAGCTAGCTCGTGCCTAGCATCATCATCATCATCAGCAGCAGCAGCACTCGCTGTGTATGTGTGTGTGTGTGTCGTTTTCAGTCTTCATCCTTGTCTGCGTAGTGGACGACAAATACGCCCGCCCGGGACGAACGGACGGACCCCCCCCCCCCTCCTCCCTTCAAACGAGTAATACGAGGCGTCCAACACAGCCACCCATCTCTCCCCCAAAGCCGCCTCTGTCGTGGGTACCAAAGTTCGAGTCCGGCGACGAAGCTTGAGACCCCGTAGAACCCGCGGAAGGGCCCCTCCCCCCTCTAGCTCGTTCTCTGGAGAAGACTGGCGAGAGCCGGCTGCCTAAGCAGTTGCTGGCACATGAGGAAACGCCCAGTAGCTGTAACCCGCCAGCCGGAGAAGGATAAAAAAGAGCTGAAGATGGAATCGCATCAATAGCGCCGTGAACGGCAGCAGAGGAGGCAGCACAGGGAGGAGGTCTAGACACGGACTTGCTCTCCCACCTAACCTGGCCTGGGGAGGGAGGCAATGTGTCGTCGTCCGACGGCGCCGTCGCGGCCCGCTGAGGCCAGTGCGAGCCGATTTCGCAAATCAGTGCGTGATGACCAGTCCGAGACCCGGGCTTAGCGGAGTTTCTCGCAGAGATATCAAGCCGACTCCACTCTATCCGATCTCCCCACCGGTGACGACGACGGTCCAGTCATGTGCAATCTCAATCACGGCAGCTCCTCCGATCCAAGCGAGTCATTATGCTCTTGGACGAGTGTTAAGGAAGGAAGGAAAGGAAGGGGGCTTCTAGAGGCGTAGTGTAGTAATGCCAGGCGATGCACAAGCTACCTACCAGCATGGATGGCACCATAGCATGCAAGCAGTGCTACGATCAGGGGTGTTGACGATGGGTCATGCCTGTGTTGCTTCCGGTCGCTTATATCAGCGTGCAACAGAGCTCAGGGGCCCTATTCGGCGCAGCCGCTTTGACGTCTCAAGTGCAGTGGGGAGGAACGTAACAATGCTGATGCCGAGATCTGGAAATCATAACAGTCGGATATTATATTGCGATAGCGAAAAAGGTCCTCTTAGCACGGCGGAAAGGTCGGCGGGGAAGCACACGATGGACCCACGGCCTGTTTTCATCTTCTTTTCTCCTCGGAGACAGCCGCGGAAAATAGAGGAGAGGGGGAAATAAAAAGTTTACCTGCAGGTCGGCAAAGAGAATCCATTCCCATTAAATGTTTCAATGCCCCTTGCTTGCTTAGGTATCCGAGGAGCCGGGACAAGGTCCCCTCTCGCCGGATGGTCTGGGCTGCATGAAACGGTGTGTACCTTTGGATTGGCAGGATGATGGGCCATGACGGATAGGATGGCGTAGGATACCGGTAGCTGCATCGTCCTTGAGGAAGTCTTGACATGTTGTCCCGTCGTGCCAGGGCAAAGCAGAGTAGAGCAGAGCAGAGTAGAGCAGAGCAGAGCAGAGCAGACCAGGGTTGGGAAGACGGGACGTCGGCGAAGAGATGATAAGGGGGGGGAAACTAAAAAGAGGAAAAGCTGCCGCGAAATGGGGGTTACCTGGCTTCGTTCGGTGCTGGCAAGGATCTAGGAACCACCGCACCCAAGGATCAAGGGTCCTTATGTCGGGGAACCGTTGGTCGTGGGGATTATGGCTAGCGGCCTGCAAGCGAGGGGATCCAAGATGGGGCCGCTTGCCAGGTTGGGAATTCAATGTTTCTCGCTTGACCGAGAGGATGACACGGCGGTGTCTTGGCCAAGATGAGCAGAGGGCAAATGGCGTTGTTGACTCGTGTTTGCACGACAAGCAAACGAGCCCGTTGATGTTTGGCGGTGTCGTGGAAGAATGGCATTGCTGCCGGCAAGCCACGTCTAGAGGATGGACATTGTCGCTGCCGCAGGTGGAGGCCTCGCCGGGCGACGGTGCGTGAATTCGGACGGCAAGGGGACTGTTTGACGTTTGTAGGAAACGCGGCGGGTTGCCAATGCAGTCTCCCTCTCCTGCCCCGGTCTGCGGCAGAGGACCCCTGGGTTGGCTCTGATTACTGAAACGGGATTATTGATGAGACGGCTCGGCGCAACAGGTCGTCGAGGGTCTTTTGGCGTCGTCGCGAGAATGCTGGGCCAGCTGGCTGCGACGGGCACATATCATGTCCAGGAAGAGTCCCGAAACACAATGGTGGGCGGCGATCCCAATGACCTAATGAGAGAAAACGTCGAAGGCTTTCTATTTGCCGGGCACTTGGGCCTTCCGAGCCAGCAGTAAGGACGACACATGTGTGGGAAATGGACGGTTTGACCCCCTTCCTAATCGATGGTTCCAAGGAATGCCCACGAGATATAGCAATGCTATTATGTCGAGGCGGCCACCGGATGGTACCTTGCTGTGGAGGCAATTTCGTGGAATGCAAGGCAGAGGGCAAACGAAGGAGGCTTGCTGCGACGCGCCGTTATGCACCACACCATGCGCGCGGGTCGTCGTCATCTCTCGGTTGGTGCACAACAACTGGACTGGCGACCCGACCCCGGGCGTTGTGAAAGAGTTGGGCTAGTGCAGATCCACGGACGATTTTCCTGCAGCAGGCGTGATTTCGGCGCACCTTGGATCCTGGTGTAAACAGCAACGTTTGGGACGTTGATAATTCCAGGTTGCTTAGATTGCGTTGCGTTTGTGTTGCAGCGGGAGAGGCACGAGGGAGATGTGCAATTATGTAAGCGTCCCCTATTGCACGGGAGACGCCACACCACCTTGGGAGGAAGGTCCGGTGTAGGTACGAAGTGCATCCACTACCTACCCACCCAGGTAGGTAGGTAGGTACACCTAGGTGGGTAGGTATTCTGTAGTGTATCTGTAAGGGACCAAGGTACGTACCTTGGACATTCAGGACCAGGGAAGAGGCAGGAAGGAGCGATAAAGACGCGTGGCATACTACTAAGTGCGTCAGGTACGGAGCAAGTGCATACCGGTACATCAAATCTACCATCAAGTAGTATCTACTTTTTACTTTATACAGAGTACCTAATGCTTTGTGTTGTACACTCGCTAGACACACACGGAAAGCGCGCGGGGCTGGGCTCGGCCGTGTGTGTCGCTTTGGCTCTCGGGCGCGCCTCCGCCTCCGAGATGGCATGGCAATGCAACCAGTGAATGAATGGCTTGAGCTCACAGGCGTTATACTTATCTTGATGATTGTCGTTGGCATGACCTTTTTATTGTCTTTTGCCTGCCGCGACCTTTCTCTCGCGTTTGGACCAAGTGTGTTTCATTTTCATGGTAACCCAACCCCAATAGTGACAGGGAGGTCCCGGCCCGGAACGTCATCTTCCATCTTCCATCCTCTGTCTATCTCTCGCAATGCCATCCCGTCGATGGGTGAGGGGGATGTGGCATTCAACATCTATAGTAGGCAGATCCTGGGCAGAAAAAAAGGAAAGGCAAGTGGCTGATGGATGCACGTCATATCATCCTAATTTCTTTCCGCAGAGTTTGGCAGGAGAAGAAGATCAGACAGAAAACGAGGGAGGAAAAAGAAAGAAGAGGAACAAAATACACACATACACACATACACAAAACTGTGTGACAGAGAATCAGAAGAAGGAGAAGAATGAAAAAAAATTAAGGGGAAAAAAAGGGTAAAAGACTAGAAGAAAAAAAAGGAAGAAAAGAAAGATAAATAATTAAATAAATAAATAAAAAAGAGGGAAAAAAGAAGAGGGAAAAAAAAGTGAAGGAACGATTCGCCAGGACCAGCCGTGCATGTACAAGGGACATGGAGAAGCCTAGATACCCACCTACCTAATCGTGAGTAGCGCCGCCCACCAGAGTACACAGTACATAGACCCAAGATGTGGATGCGACGGCGTCCCCCCTGTCGGCGAACGGCCTGGGACTTCTACCAGTAGTTTACTGCGTAGCACCGCCAAACACGCAGAGTGCCGGATCCCTGCAGCGTCCGGCCATGTCAGGAACCAATCCTGCCCAACAACAACACCCATTGCCCACACGAAAGCTTGTCCCTCTACCACCGGAAGCACTCGCTCGAGCATCAACCAAACAAGCCCAACCCGTCCAAGACTGGATTGACAACCCGGATAGCGTTCTTGTATCCGTATCCTACACTACCGTCTCATTCCCATTTGGTCCCGTCGCCTTGCCTTGCTGGCTGCCCGTTCCATTCTTCTACTCCGCTGCCCCCTCAAGGGTCCTCCTTTCCTCGCCTCTAGGACTCTTCTTCTCCGATTCTTGTCGTCTCCTCGTCGTCGTCGTCGTCGTCTTTCATGCAGACTCAAAAGAAGGCCCCCCAGTGACCCGACTCGATCCCTCAAAATCCGGCCTGACCAGCTCTGCTTTTGTGCCATTGAGTCTCAACGCCTTCGTCCTGACGTCCATCCTGCCTATGGCTACGCGCTCAAGTCGATTAAATCATCCCCCGTGGCACGATACCATCACCTTTCTTGTACCGCCACACCCCGTACGAATCCCAGCACGCCGGCAATACGTCGCCCAAACCTGCCGCACTACCCTGCAGTTAGTTCCCCGAGTCCCTGATACGCCGCGTCGCTCGCCTGTCCGGCCTTTCCACCGCCCGCCAGCAAAAGGACCCAATTTCGCTCCAGAGCCGAACCCTGCAGTCCACTCCAGTCTGCCGTGTCCTTCATCAATATCGACACTCCGACAGTCATCGAGGGAGCTGTCCGGATCCATTGCTCGTCCCGGCTCCATCTGATCATCTGCACGCCTACACTCTAGTGTGCTGCTATATTTTGCATCATTCGCCTCCAGTCTCGGAGCCACGCTTGCATCACTCACTCCGCCCGCCTTGCTTGTTGCCCCAGACGGCATAGCTGCACTCGCACCCTGACTGGGCTCGTTTCTACCCACCCTGGTCTCCGTCCAGCAACACACACACACACACACACACACCACGGGGTGAACCGCACTGCATTGTCACGCGTCCGTCTGTCCTGACTGGGCCGTATCCGCAACCGAGTCCTGCATCTGCAAACCTCGTCTTTCAAAGTCCCATCCTGGCCCAACCTCGCCTTTACACCGCAAAGTCAATTGATGACACACGCCTGCCCGTCCCGCAACACGCCATGTCTTCCACCACTGGCGCATCGAAGCGATTCGAGCTTCCCAAGCTCGACTTCAAGTTCGGCTCGCTGACCGACGGAACCAACATCCCCCCTCCGCTCCCCAGCCCTGTCCAGGAGGTCCCCACGCCTCCGCAGACCCCGCGCGTGAGCGAAACCAAGGAGTCCGACTCGGCCGTCAGGGCAAAGGTCGATGACAAGACGAATGGCCACGCGGCCGCTGTGCCAGGCTCGCCCGCCACCACCAACGGTACGAAAGGATTCCCGGAAGACATGCCGCTCTCTCCGGCATTGTCGAGCAGACAAGGCAGCATCCGTCGTCTCTTCAGCCGGACTTTACTGAACCAAGCATATGCAGAAGGCGACAACCACGCGAACGCCAACGGCGGCGGCGGACCCCCGTCCCGTCCCATGAGCCGCAACGCAGGCAGCATCGCCGACGAGAAGAAGACGAAGCGCACCAGCGGCTGGTTCAAGAGACTGAGGTCCTCGGAATCGTCCCCGCCTCAGAGGCGATCCAGCACCGTCTACGAGCACCCCAACATCAGCGAGACCAGCAGCAGCCATACGCCGAGCAAGCTGCAGGCTCCTCCGGTGGTTCAGGGGCCGCCGCCGCCCATGATCCCCGAGCTCAGCGCGCTCCAGGCCAAGCTGGACCTGACGGACGGCGGCAGTCTCGGAGATGACCTGTTCAAGAACATCAAGTAACCACCTCCCGGGGGGGAGCGAAATTTCGCCCCCCCGCAACGAGTCATGGACAATATTTACAGACTTGCCGGTTTTTGGAGTCGGGAACCGGCCGCCTTGTCGGACACGAAAATCGAACCGGCACGCGCCGACGAGCGAACGACCGAATCCGAGCGGATGCACCCACACGATTTCCTAGCGTACTCCTTCAGTTGAACTTATTTTCGAGCCAGAGCTGGGGATGAGAGAGAGAGAGAGAGAGAGAGAGAGAGAGAGAGAGAGAGAGAGAGAGAGAGAGAGGCGGTGGTGGGAAAAGGCGCGGTAAAGTGATGAAGAGCATAGGCAAGATTGGAAGAAGTTATGCAAGATACCCAGCTCGTACCGCGGGCTCATTCTGACATACGATGTTTACACTTTCTTTGTTACGGTTTCTCTTTCATTTCCTTTTCTTTTTTTTTTCTTGTTCTTTTTTTTTTTTTTTTCCTTCAAATTCCCTTCCTTTCTTCCCTTTTTTTTCTTCTCCCCCTCTTCACTTCAACTCGTTGCGCTGTCTGGAATACAAAGGCATCATGGGACGATAATTGCAGTATTCTATGGCTTGCTGGTTGTACCCTCTCCTACCGTACGGCTTACCTTTTCCTGTACATGTTTTATGTGTCGAGGGTTTGACGAAGGCTGGAAAGAGAAAAGAAAGGCCGGAAATTTGGGGACGGACGCCGATCCCAAGATGGCATGAGGCCAGTGACGATACCATACCAGAAGGCGAAAGGGCAGAAGAGGCCACGATAAGTAGGAGGCGCCATGGGCTGGCGGGCGGTCAAGCATGTATGTCCCGACGCTGCTGGTGCCTTTTTGGCCAATGCGGCCTGCAATAGAGTCTAGGTTTTGACGGCTTACGATGAGTTTTAAATCGACGCCGCCCTTGCAAGCAATTGGTCCGTCAAGCAACGCGATGAGAGCACGAGAGACGAGAAGAAATGGGCTGGTGAAATTACCAGCGTGCATCCATCCAGCTGTGGGAGGAAACCCCATCTCATACCGCCACAACGGACCTCAACTTTCACCACACGGTAAAGTTTACAAGAGATAGATAGACACAGGCAGCGAACCCCACTGCATCCGACCTTTTTATTGCGCTTTGGCCCCTTGGGGGGGAGGGGAAGGGGGACAGGCACCTACTGTATGTGGTGAGAGGCTTGCAGATGTAATGCAGTAGTGCGTGAGGAAGCCCACCCCAGCATCTAGCTGGTTCTGTTGACGAATAGCAGGTGCATTAGTTTACATACCGGTACTCAGGTACCTACATGCCGCAGCAGTTAGTCACCCAGTAGTGTATACCGGTAGTAGGGTGAGGGAATGCGCGCGCGTGTGTGCGTGGATGCCAGAAGCTGCAGCCGTATAAGCTTTAGCAGCCCATCCGCGCACCATCAGCGGCTGTTTTCTTGCGCGTGTCATGGCGAGGCGGGCAACGGCAACATGCCATCCGATCCTGCTGTTGATCCGTCCTTGGGCTGCCGTGCCTCTCCCGGACACCGGAGCTGCCAGCCGCGGTGGTGGTGGTGGTGGTGTACGGATAGTGGTGAAGAGGAAGCTCGAGCCAATCGCAGAGACAGCGGGACCCCTCCAAAGGGAGGGAGAGGAGGGGCCGCGCCAGCCCCACGATTGGTCGGCGTCGTATGGCGGGTATTAACGTCATTGTGAGCTTTTGCCGAGCTACACTGTAGGTACCTGTGGGTAGGCATTTTACTTTACTTTACGGATGCAGCTATACGAGAAGCTTCTCACCTCCTACCTTCTTCGCGCCCCCCCAAACAATATACCCTCGACACTTCATCTTGGGCCAATTGTCCACCAATCCGAGGAACCGCAATCCACATAGACGGACACAAATGGCGTCGAGTCTGCGCGCGACGACGACGCTCCGGCCTCTGGCCTCCGCGCTGCGGCCGGCCACAGGCAGACACGCCCAGCAGCAGCACCACCACCAGCACCACCAACACCAGCACCAGCACCTCCTCCCGCGGGTCGCCCGACGACACAAGTCCGGCCCGTACGGCTATACCCAGGCCAAGGCCCTCGTCTTCTCCAAGGAAGGCGAGCCCAGCGACGTCCTGCAGTACGTCGTCGTCGTCCCCCCCCCCCCCCCCCCCCCGAACCCGACAAGTGACCAACTGACCAACGCGCTCTCCCCCCTCCCGCCAGGCTGCACACGCACTCCATCTCCCCCTCCATCCCCTCCTCCGCCGTCCTGCTGCGCGCACTCGCCGCCCCGATCAACCCGGCCGACGTCAACACGATCCAGGGCACCTACGGCGCCAAGCCGCCCTTCACCCAGCTCATCGGCACCCCCGAGCCCGCCGCCATCCCCGGCAACGAGGGCGTCTTCGAGGTCGTCTCCGTCGGCTCCCGCGACTCGGGCCTCCAGAAAGGCGACTGGGTCATACCCTCGGCGAGCTCCTTCGGCACCTGGCGCACCCACGCCGTCGCCGACGCCAAGCACGTCATGAAGGTCTCCAAGGAGGGGCTGACCCCGACCCAGGTCGCCACCGTCAGCGTGAACCCCTGCACCGCCTACCGCATCCTGCGCACCTACGGGCCCGGCGAGATCCGCGCCGCCGCCGACGCCAACCCCGGCGCCATGCGCGCCCTCGACCCCGGCAGCGGCGCCTGGTTCATCCAGAACGGCGCCAACAGCGGCGTCGGCCGCGCCGCCATCCAGCTCGGCAAGCTCTGGGGCCTGCGCAGCATCAACGTCGTGCGCGAGCGCGACACCGACGCCGAGACGGCCCGCCTCAAGGACGACCTCGCCGGCCTCGGCGCCACCGTCGTCGTCACCGAGAAGGAGTTCCTCGCCCGCGACTGGCGCGACCGCCTCATGGACCTCACCCGCGCCGGCCGCGAGCCCGTCGGCCTCGGCCTCAACTGCGTCGGCGGCAAGTCCGCCACCGCTGTCGCCCGGAGCCTCGCCGAGGGCGCCACCATGGTCTCGTACGGCGGCATGGCCCGCCAGCCCGTCATGCTGCCCACCGGCCTGCTCATCTTCAAGGACCTGCGCTTCGTCGGCTTCTGGCTGTCCAAGTGGAACGAGCGCGACCCCCGCGGCCGCAGGTTCGCCGTCGAGGACGTGCTCGGCATGATCCGCGAGGGACGCTTCCGCGACGTCCCCGTCGACGAGGTGCCCTGGCACTGGGACACGGAGGAGAAGCTCCTCAAGGACGCCGTCCAGGGCGCCCTAGGCGGCTTCCGCAAGGGCAAGGGAGTCTTTGTCTTTGGCGAGACGTGAGTAGGGGGGGAAGGGCCGATGAGACCGTCTGTGTGTGTGTGTATAGACTGTGACCTTTGTAGGATACGGGATAGATTGGGGCTTTTTTCATTTTTTTCAATTTTTTTTTTCCATCGTTTTTTCCCTTCTTCTTTGGATGGGGGGGTCTGGGCCGGCCAAACCATCAAAATGCAACTTGCCGCCCGTTTTCGAAACGCGACTCGGTAGTTTCTGAACATGTAACGAAGTGATGAGAAAGTGGCATAGACACGCTATTCGAAGCATCACCCTGATTCTTCGGTGACGAGACAAACTATATGGGTACTTGTTCGTGTACCTACGTATACTGACTGCTTTCGACCCCCCTTGGACACACTTCCCACCAGTATCGGGACCTCAACATCTGCGTCCTTGGAGGACGACTTACATCTTCCACCTCTCCCACGACTGGCTCGACAACGCTCTCGTGCTCTTCGCCGGCCGACGACGACGACCCGCAATCCGTCGTTTCTCAGCCCCCGTCCTCGGTTATATTCCACGCAGGGGCTCCCGTCATCCGAGGATTCTACGTCGTCGCTGGCTTCTTCAAAACATCCGCCTTCGCGTCGTATTCAAGAGTCGTTATCCCGGCCGTCGTTGACACGCCCGCGCCTCGCCTCGCTCTCCCCACCCCCGTGTCCGCTCTCCCGTTCCAGCTGCTCACTCCACTCGGCAGCCGTGCGCTTGGCCTGCTCATCCTGTGCGTTGGAACGGACGAGCTTCCACAGCTCCGACCCAGGAGTGTCGAGCCTCCCGATCCACCTGAACTCCCAGCACCCGGGGCCGGTCTCGTGGAACCGTATCTTGGCAAACACGTTGAGGCGCTTGTC